GGACCTTGGCCGATGTCCCACAGGCCTGCCGCCATATGCAGGTCGATGATAGTCCGGGCATCGACGATGGGTTGTCGACTCACCACCACGGTCAAGTTGATCCAACTACGGATACAACTCTGACTGTGATCCAGGCCCTGGCGAGACAGGCTCGGCTCTGTCGGAGACTCGGAAACACCTTTGGTCATCTGATGATTCCGCTTTTCACAGATTTGGTTGACACATCCTTCGAGAACAACCCAATCTTGTCCAATTGACGGACGAGCTGACCAGTCCTGGCCCGAATCCCGAGATCAGATATGCCCGCACAATTGCTCAACTGCGGCTAGATTTGAACCCCTCCGAGCGCAAAGTTGGTGCTCGCGTTATACAGAGACGGTGCCAATGCACCACCCAGCCGGGAATCGCCGTACGCCAGGCCATCGCCAGGGCGTTGACAGGCGCTTTCAAAGACGCCCAGACACGTCGTACGAGCTGCAAGCACCCAAATGAAGCCTATACCGCTTTCGACTCTTTACATACAATCAAGACAAATCATCTTGTCCGACCATCCCATATCTCAAATTCAGTGGATACTTTACGATGGCGGCCGTCATTCGCGAGGTACGAATGACGGTCGTGACAACGTCTTCCCCTCTGGAGCACCCAGATCGGATCTTTAGGCGGCAGTGGTGACCCTTGTCACGGCCCCGTGTATCGCGTCGCGCAAGCTGCTCCTTATTAAGTAACACGGCCGCTTGGGACGGCCGTGCTGGGTTCAATACCGCCCTGGTTCGCCTGGGTCCTGAAAGTGACACAGACATATCAGATGGAGATCAAGAGGTCCACCGACCGGTAGTTCCACACGAACCTGCACTCGTGTAGTCGGTTACGGCAATGTCGAGTTGTCGGCAACGTCAGTTGTTGCAGCCGCTTCCTGCTCCGCACGTCAAGCGCAAACCTTCAGAGTGACAGCAACGGTCAACGTTAGCGCCCCAGGGAAATAGGGTATCCGGGCTAGGGTGACAACGGCCTGAAGAGAAGGACAGGAGAACTTCCAGTCGGCGACATCGTCTTCGATAGGTGGAGAGACTAGCGGGCGTCGCTGACGGCCTGCGGCTCCCATCTCGTCATCATCACCCCCTCTACATTCATCATCCACAGGGGCGACAGCATGTTTTCACGTTCAGCTGGACTTCTTCATTCTCGGTGACGCTCACCGGCTAAAGAACATGAACGAATTCCTGGGTCCGACGACGATCCGGCACAGGGCTGCAGACCGCACAGAGGCAAGACGAGGCCCAGGCCCAGATCCGAGCGGAGGATGCAGAGTCGAGGGAATCGAACAAAGATTATTGGAAAGCAACACATATTAACACCCCACCAAAGGCGACTTTGAGGGCAGCTTGACGAGATATCTGGGCTCATTATGAAGTCATTCTCCTATGGCGAATCTCGCTGGTCAGGACGAGCTCCATATTGCTACCCCCCCAGCCGACGGGAGTCATATCGATTTGCTGCTCCCCACTGACCACCAATATTGCAAAGGGGATCTGTCAAGTTTGACAGCCGCAAGGGGACCACCAGATCCAACGCTGATGGATCGGACTAGGACGATTCTAGTGGAGTGGCAAGAGAGTTAGGAGGTTTAACGTCCAAACATGTCCTCTGCCGATACCATGTTCCCCGTCTCCTCCAAGGATCAGCCACGCAAAGGGGAGCATCGATGATTACGCTGGACGCAAAACTGGCGTGACTGGCAAGGATAGGTGAGGAGCCAAAAGGGCTCTCCCTTTCTTGGGGTTGCCGGCCCCTGAGGCCGAAGTCAAGGGGCCCCGTCAGCATGCCATCCACTCGCAACTTGTCAAGCCGCCCCGCGGACAATGACCGCAGGCAAATCTGGGCTTACGGTAGACCTGGTCCCGGAAGCCGTGCACAATTGCCAATCTTCTGGCGTTGCTTCCGGACATCTGAAACCGAAGAGGCAGGTCCGACCGGTGCCAAAAACGATGATTATTCTCCACTCGTTTGCCTTGATCTGATCCCGGCCACCCGACGTTTGACTGCTCATCGGCCGCCCAGCCTAGGGGGAGCCCTTGACGACAGGAGAACAGGGCCAGCCAGCCTTTACGGAACCGCTTTCACAACTTCACCCTCCTTTCTCTCGACTATTCCCAGTCCTCACTCTCCGTCCCTGGTGCCAGAACCCAGCCTTAACGTGGCCCAAGCGTCCTGTCAAAATCGTCAAAAAAACTTCAAGTGAACTGGGGACTCCTCCCCCGGCTGGCCAGGGGGTACCCCAGCACCTGTCACGATTCTGGCGAGCGAATCGCATCCCATTCTCGCATTCAGGCCAGAATGCGAAATCCCAACGACGGTGGGCCTTGACACTGTCATAACCTTCAACGACGTCTCGTGGAAAGGGAGCCCCAAAAGGCAAAAGCAAAAGATGGGATTGACAAAGCGCAACGCCCACCATCTATGTACGCACGGGAGACATGTCTCTCGACTGCAGGAAATCTTTGACAGCCTTCTAAAACGGCGTCTGCAATGTTTCTTCAACCTCGAGCTACCGCCTCTCTGATTTGCTGATTCGCCCCCTTTCCTACAGATTCTCGTTATGATGTTATGTCGTGCATATCCACGACCCGCTGTCAAACCACCGTCTGTCGATGTTCGGGTCCCCTCGCCTACCTCCTCCGCTCGCCGGCAGGGATAGAGCCTCATACTTTCTTTTTTGGCTCTTGCAATGGGACGGTTTTGTACAGGATCTCGCTGCTTGTTCTGCCCATCAGGAACCCCTCACACCCCTTCAGAATTTGGCAGAAAAGAGGGAGGGGGGGCGGGAGCAACTTGTCACATTCCCGTCAGCCAGTCGCAACTCGTGGAGTTTTCTGGCAGGACCGTTGAGGCTGCAGTGGGTTGCGGGTTGCGGGTTACTCGACTGCGCCACCCTTTGACTTGTCTCGAAAAGAAACATCAGTCCGGCTCTCAGGGCCACCAGGGAGGGGGGGGTTTGTCACGCTGAGCTGCTTTCTCTTCTGGACGACACTTGCGAGTCTTGAGGTGAAGCTTGTCACAGACGTGACGACCCAACACTCCGGCCAACACACACACACACACACACACGCACTACGCATGCGTCCCAGCACCTTTCTCGCGTGAGCTGTCAACGACGGACGTTCTTGACACCCGGTCTGAGCAATTTGTCATTCCTCGTCTTGTCCCAACGGCCTCGTCTGCTGGCACGCCGGATTGGTCAATCGGGCTTTGACAGCTCGGCAGGAACATTGGAAGGCAGCAGTCACACACTCTATTCGCCTCCTTCTCCTCATGCTTAGGCCTTTTCCACCCATACAGATGGCCTCAACCCCCGGACGTTCGTCTTTGCCATGCGCTCGCTACCCGCAAGAAAGGGCTGAGCAGACAGACCCGTAGACAAGACACCAATTCACAAACACACACACATCAGACCAGGCACTCGAGACACGACAGCTGGGTTGCCGTGCCTGAATTAGTTGAGACCGTGTCTATTCGCAAGACTTGGGATTAATTTGCATACTTCAGGCCTAATTCGGAATAGGAGAGATGCGGCCTGAGCAAGGCAGAGGGGAAATTCACGAAGAGCTGCGATTTTCTTCTTACCTAACCCTATATCAGACGCGACCACGTCTTCGTGATATAAACAAAACGGCACCTGAGAAACGCCGGATCACCACAGATCAATGATCAACACTGTACCTGCCGCAAACTCCCTAATCAATCTTCTGCCCCAACGGCCTCCCGTCTTCCCATGCCCAGGCTTCCCTGAGAACCCCTTTTCCTCTGCCTCAGGACCTTGCGTGAACCCCCCTCATCCCTGGAGAGAAGTTGACAAATGGCGGAGATTTTCTCTAGAAAGGGAGAACCTTGTTAACCCCAAGACGAGGACGACGACGACGACGACGATTTCTCTTCTGAGCCTTTTTTCAGTTCGTAACGTCAAATCCCGAAGTCGAGGAGAATGGATGACGTGATACCCGAGCATCCGGGACAACAAGGGGGGGCCAGAGATCAGAGAACAGAAGAACAGAAACACCACACCGTTAAAGCAGGAACAGGGCGTGGACGACGGGACGGGTTTGTGGCGGCAGAAGCAGCAGCGGCGGCGGCAGCATGATCCAAAACGTCCCAAAGGTTGGGTGGGATGCGATGGCGATGGCGATGTCGCGCCAGCCCACACCCGCACCGTTGGCCGGCCCCCCGGTCGTCGTCGGTCGTGATTTGACATTCGTTCGAGACGAACGGGCTGCCAGGCACCAGGCACCAAGGCAACGTTGATCCCCTTAACCTTTTTTCTCCCCCCCCTTCCCGCATGGTTTGGTTGATGCTTGTTGTGCCTGACAACCAAAAAAAAAGCCCAGACAGAAACATCCCGAAAGGACGGACGGGATGGGCGGATGGAGGGGAAACCCCTCCATCGAGAGTGTCGCTCTCCCAGGCACGACTCTCATAGGCGGCCCGGGAAGGTCCTTGATATGCGAGAGGGCGACGACGGGATGGGAGGGAGACGGAAGTTTTTTTGGTCTGTTAAAGCAAGCAACAGCGCTGTTCATGCCTATATCTCCAAACAAATATGCTACTCCCGCACAACGGACGAAAAGAAGTAATTGAAATGATTTACCATGCACACCACACAATAAGGACGAAATCTGATCCAAGGTTCTTCGCTGGTAAAAAACGAGAACACGCCGTCCCGTGCTATGCCCAGTCTCCGATATTTTGTCCCCCCAACCCTCCGAATGCATTTCCCTGTCTACCTTTTTCCCTTCTTCGACTCCAAACCATAACCCGGTAACCCGACACTCCCCCCGTCCGTACCTACCTACCTACGCCCATCCATATCCCAAGTAGGTCGCCGTCCCTGATCCCAACACGACGATGTTTGGGAAAGAAGCCAGCGACATGGTGGCATACCCAACCAGGAGAAAGGGGAATGATCGACCACTGAGATGAACCCAACGCGCCGCCCGTTCCCCAACTCATGCTCGCCGTAGAACCTTATTTAGGAAACCGCCCCGGCCCCTTCTGGGCGTTTCATCCCCGGACGCGGCGGCGGCGACGGGGTTGTTGTTGTTGTGTTGATGTTGTTGGTGGGAGGGACGATGATGTTGATGGACGTCCTTCGTCGTCCCGTCTTTCCCCCCGAGGCCCGGATCGCTCGCCAGCTGCGCATCTCCCCTGCTGATCTTGACGTACGAGTCGTCCGAAGGAAGAGGCGGCGGCGGCGGCGTAGTGGCAGCGTTAGCGGTAGCGGCCGCCCCCGAGTCGAAGTAGCAGCCCTCGGCGGCAAGTTTCGACAGGCCCGGCGAGACGTTGGCTGCGTTGTTGTTGTTGGACGGAGGAGAGACGGTGGTGGAGGACGAGGAGGTGTTGTCGTCCTGGTCGGAGGGTTTCCCCTGCCGGATGTGGGAGAGGCCTCTGTCGAGGTACTCGACGAAGGGAGCCTTTGTGTCAAAACCAAACGACGGGCGTCGTTCCCTGTCGCCACCCGCTCTGTCACTTCGCGTGGCAGGCTGGTCTGATCCATCAGACCGGACAGGAACAGGAACAGGAACGGGAACGGCAGCTGGCGCGTCGGGTGCGGTGGTGGAAACGCAGCGGCTGCTGCTGGTGCTGCTGCTGTCCAGGGCTTTGCGGTAGAGGTCCGGGACGCGACGCCGGAACTCGGCTTCGAGGTCTCGTTCATGCTGGCCCATGGCCTGGGCGCGTTCTGGGCTGGCGGTAGGGTCCGGCGTGGACGGGTTGACTCTGCCCTCCTCGCTGTCGATCTGAGTCAGCAGGTCGTCGTATTGTTGCCGCAGGCGCGCCGCCGCGTCAGCGTCATCGTCCTCTGACGGCCGTGATTCCGTTTGTTTCTGGGCGTTGTCTCGACGGTGCGGAGGTTCCGCGCGGGCTGGGCCCCCGGCTTGCTCGTGCGTTGATGTCGTTGAGGAGGCGGCGGTCTTGGACCCGACGATGGAGGCGCTGTACGAGACGCTGAATTCCCTGTAGTGACCCTTGAGCACGAAACACCGGCCCGGCCAGCCCCAGGATTTGAACTTCTGATAGAGGACGTCGGCGACGGGGCATTCCCATGAGGAGTCGACGGCGCGGGCGTAGACGACCATGCAGACCGCCGACTGCCACTGTCCGAACTTTTGCCTGCTTGGCTCGTCGGGGAAGGCTCGTTCGATCATGTCAAAGGGGGCGTCTTGGATGAATTTCAAGGGGGCGCGAAGGTTGATCGCGCCGTTGATGTGGGATCTTTCGAAGTCGGTGGGCGATCGAAGATCGATGAGGAGTATTCTGCTGGGCGTGAGGATCTCGATGATCCTGTTGAGATGATGGGGCAGGATCATTTGGGCGCCTTCATATGCACCTGGTGTTGAGCCGCCCATTTTAAGATTCTGAAATTGTTGCGAGACGACGTCTCTTTCCCTTCGGTGATGGAACCAGGCCTGTCTAGTCAGTGTCTGTCTGTGAAGATGATGATGCAAAGTGCATACCTCGACATCCCATAGCTCAATGCCCAAGTTTGACGCTACGAAGTTCTTCTGGTCATCATTTGGAAGAGGCTCTTGTTGATAGTACTGCTGGAGGAGTGTTTCAACATGTTGTGAGAACTTTGGTGGCTCGGCGATGTCGCGGTAGACTGTGGTTCTTGAGCTCCTTTGCTGATTGGGGATCATGGTCCGTGAAATCACCGCCTCGGACGACGTCTGAGAAGCCGAGGACAGCTGGCGTTGAAGTGTTGCGAGGGAGGTCGTGGAGTGACCTGTTCTTAATAGCCCTGCCGCGCCCCTCGGTGGTGATGAAGACGGCGAGACAGGTTCAGCGGATACAAGCTGCCCACCGGCCGTGTTCCTCCTTGAAGCCTGCCCCATGCCCAGCGAGTAGGACCGCATGTCGGCCAGTCGTTGGCTAGCAACGCTGCCCTGATCTGTAGGCGCGTATGTGTAAGTCGTGTCTGAGAAGAACGTATTCATTGATGCAGAGTCGGGCTCTGTCAAGTCTGGTTCCGCACGAGAGCCCCTTACTGCGACTTGCATCGCCGCCTTGTCCTTCTGCCCCTTCTGCAACATCATGTTGTTCGACCTGATGAAAGCTATGAAGGAGGTGGCGTGATTTTCCGGCAGAAGATCCCAAACCATGACCGGCATCGACAACAAGAGCAGCGTCGAGTGGCTCTTGAACACCCCCTGAACCTTGACATATTTGGCCATGGCTGGGAAGTTGGATAACCATTGCTCCCATGCGTTGAGATCCAACTGCTGGTTATCTTCCAGAGCAAGCGAGATCATGACGTGCGGGGTGTCTTCGTTGGGCTCCCCAGATATCGGTGCCCCTGGCCCTCGCCCTCCCGGAATTCCTTCAGGGGTTTCGCTTTCGCTGGCCACTGTGTCCTGCGGGGGCGAGGGAGGTCGCGCTTCGGGTGGCAGAATGCGGGACATCTCGATACTCGGCGCTTTGTGGTTTGATGTCATCATGAAGTGGACAGGCGTCGATCTGGCCTCGAAGAGCTTGCCGTTGATCGTAATCGGTCTGGGGTGCTTCAGGCGGGCAAGGACTTCGGCATGCAACATGGCGGCAGAAAAGGCGCGTAGCCTCCATTCCTGCAAAACCTCGATTAGAGCGTTGGTGAACGAGTAGCGGCCTGGATCCGGTGCGATGGCATCCCAGCTCGACGCGGAGATGGTTTCTGTGATGCTGTTGCCGTTGGGAAACGTGGCACTCGCAGCTCCGGCACAGCAGTCGAGAAGGATGAGAACGTCCGAGGCCGAACGCTCTAACAAGGTCTGGATTGCTGACCATTGCAGCCACGGCGAGTCGGGATGCCGTGTTCTATCTCACGTCAGGGCAGTCCAGCACGAGCAATCATGTCACTTACGCGCACCAGGTGCTCTGTCTCGACTCATCGATCCTGGCATGGCCGCCGTAGTAGACCAGAAAGAGGGTGTCTTGTGCTTCATGGTCCTTGATCAACTTTCCAACTTGCATCATAAGCTCCAGATGTGAGTTCTCAGAAGGTATAGGGAATATCTCGGTATCAAAAGCGTAGTCCTCCCGGAGGCACCGTTCCAGGTCCTCGAGTTCGGGCAAGACGAAAAGGTCGTCAGAGCCCCAGTGAAGCAGTAAAGCCTGCACTTTCTTATATCGCTGTGAAGATCTACCACGATTGGGGAACGCACGGTTTGCGGACTACGAGGGGTCAACGAGATGCCGAGGTGGAGATATCCGGCCGACTTACATCCTCCAAGGTCTGGACGAAACTGTCGAGGTGTTTGACATGGTAGCTCACTCGACTTGTGTCGTGTGTGGCGGTCCGGGGGGCATCGCCGGAGCTGGATCCGTACTGGCCATCACCAGCTTGTGAGTGTACTCTTCGCGACTGGTTCGTCGTGACTCTGGCACCTACAGTCGAGTCTGCACTGCTCACGCTGTTCCCATCGTGCGGCCGTCGCGACCTGATGGTCACGTACGGCTGGTTGCTACTCATATCCGCCGGCGTCGTCGTGTGTCCTCCCTAATGCTCCCCAACTCCTCCTCTTTCAGATCAGGTATGTACGTCGTCCTCTGAGAGCGGTTTGCAATATCGCAGAAAAAAAAAGTCGGCGCGGGGTTCGTCGCTAGTCGGTATCAATGGGTTGCATGGCTGAAGTTGAAGTGTCGTGGGTGCTACGAAGGCCGGAGGAGCCCAAAGGTCTTCAGTCTCGGGACTGGCGTCTGATGCATCGTTGGGCAGGGTCCGACGGGAGCCACTCGGTCGCGAAAGAAGAGATGGGCGTCGTCGGCGGGTGTTTTCTGGCAATGCCCCGTCGTTGTCGTCGGTCGCGGGCTGGACATCCATCCCACTCAGTGTCGGTAACTAAAACGGTTTAGCGCCTATCAAGCGCCGGTGTCCCAATGAGGTAAATGTGGACCACTGCTGGGGTCTCATGAGTGCACGTGCATCGAAGCTCGTGTGGCTTCATGTGGCTGGTGAGGAAGCTTGGGCCGCCGTCAGTGACACCTCATCCACCTCATCCATAGTGGAGCTCACCCGAGTCCACTGAAAGCTACCTGGAATACCTACCTACCTACCTCACTACAAACCCATCCGTACACCGAGCGAAGTGTCCTCAGCAACGAGTCCGGTATCGACACCGGTCACACCGGTCACACCGTTCAATACCTAGCTACGCTATACCTACCGTTTCACCGAGAGTCCACTCATCGACAGCAATCTGAGTTTGTCTGTCGCCATCTCCAAGAATTTCTGACCACTATATACGAAGATCTCCATTCTCAGCACACGACACCAACATGCGCCAGCGAATCACCTTCATCCACAAGGCCAGTGACGGCGTCCCATTCGAGGATCTCACGGTGAGCGATGCCGGCATCAAGGGTCCGGAGATCAAGTCCGTCCGGGAGGACAGGGTAACCCTAGCTCTGGAAGAGCTCCCATCTGAGCTGTCACAGCTCCTGAGTGAGAGCCATGAGCTTCACATTCGATGGGTTAGTCCGGAGGCCTACGACACAGTCAGTCCCTTGGACTCGAGGGTCTCACCCGGCTTCCATCTATTCTATACGCCGAAGAAGGAGGGGCAATGGGATGCGTGAGTTTCGTAAGGAACAATGAAATACCAGGTGTTGACGTGAAATCAGGTCCAAGCTATGTGAAGCTCTCAGCAATGCATTCGGCGCCACTGGCTGCTCATCTTCAGAGGTCTGTACACTCAGCGTGCCTGGGTCGCTTTTCATTTCTGACTATTTCACAGTCTTTCACAAGTCTTCCGAATGACAGATTCTCTCACTCTGCAGCATTTCAATACTACGAGCCGCTAGAGAACCTCACGCAGTTCATCCAACACACAGCCGATAAACTGTGCCCGACATCGAACGATGCCTGCAAGTCTCGCACCGAAGACCTCAAAAGGGTGTCCTCTCTAGACGTCTCCTACGACACGATCTCCCACGCCCTCAAGATGACCGCCCAGTGGCCTTACGATCTCCATCAGATCTCCGTCGCTTCGACACCCGGCCACAGGACCGAAGTTGGCATTCTCACCACCGATACCTCTTCTAAGCCGGAGCCGCACGAGATCGGCATGACGGGCGGCCTCACCGTCCTAGGGGAGCACAAACAGCCGTCGCCTGTCCTCTTCAACGTGCCTGCCCGCCACCGGCGCCACGCCGAGTCCGCCCCCGGCTCCTCCTTCTCCGCCAAGTTCCTCGAACCGACGGGACTGCACCCAACGCTCCAGCTGACACTCAGCTCGCCCCGCCCGCCCGTCGACGACGCCTACTGCGCCATCCACGCACACTTCACCCTCCCAAAGGCCATCTTCGCCGATCGGTACCAGCTGTCGGACGACATCTTCCTCAAGTCGAAAAACTTGACGGCCCTGCGCTACTCCAGCATGCCCGTGGACCTGGAAGCGCCAGCCTACGCGACAAAGCCGTGGGGCTCCGGCGTGCTCCTCGAGCTCGCGCCGCCTGCCTCCGCGGAGGAAAAGGACGGCGAGTGGACGGCCGAGGTCCCGCTGCACCTGCGCTACCTCGAACCCGCCGCCGGCGGCTACACGGACCTCCAGCTCCCCTACCCCGCCGTCTTCTGGGCGTGTTCCTCCGAAGAGGGCACCAAGTTCCCCAGCAGCCCCTTCGAGCGCGTCAACCTCGGCTACGACGCGCTTTTCGGGCCGCGAACCGTCTTCTGGCACGTCGAGCCGCAGCCGGCGGCGGAGGCGGAGGCGGAGGCGGTAGGGGCTTCGGGGGCGGGCGGTCGGCTTACGAGCTCCGTGCGCGTGCCGGTCCTGGAGGCCGGCCAGGCGGGGTGGGTTCGGATGGGGACGGCGGGCGCGGTCATGCTGGGCTTCGCGTGGGTTCTGTGGAGGCTGGTTGCCGCGTATTCCCGGACCGGGTACGGCAAAAACGCAGCAGCTGCTGCCAAGGTTGGCGAGAAGAAGACGCAGTAGCGGTAGTAGTAAACCACGGTCGGTGGGTTTCAGGATGGCATTATCTCGTCCCGCATGTTGTAACGCAATCATGGGCCGGTTCTCGCTTTAATTGAAATGAGGATCATCTCCGCTTCCAAGGAAAAAGTTGTTTCGACGGGGGACGGGAGACAGTGTGTGCCGGAACTGCACGGTACGGCAACCCGGATGTGGCGGAGCCAAAACACGCGGCGTAGCGGCACTAAGAGCAGAGCGGCGCGGCGGGATGGAATCCTGCTGCCATCTTTTAACTATGTAAGCGGCGCGGCGCGGCGCGGCGTCGTCTGACATTATTTTTAACGTCAGTCTACCTGTGTGTACTGTGCTCTCTCATGTGAATCTCTCTCTCTCAGTGAGGCTTCCGATGAGTCTTCCAACACGACGACCATGATTTCGTACATCGTCGCCCTCGTGGCGTTCGTCGTCTTCTTCTCCGACCCCATCTACCGGCTGCTGTCCCCGTCGTCCGGAACCCGCATGGTCCGCACCCCACGCCCGCAGATGAACGAGTCGCTGCTCGCCATCGACCACCCCAACGCGACGGCCTTGTCGTGTCCGGCTGATACGTACGCCGTACATATCTTCTCTAAGGAACCGCTTGTCTTGTACATTGAGGGTTTCCTCAGTCCCGAAGAACGATCGCATCTTCTTGGTATCAGGTACTTCATCACCCCCCTGGCCTCCGCTCCCTGATGATTTGAATCACGATTTCTCACAACGAAGCACCACCACCACCACAACTTCAACTAACCAAAAAACCACATAGCCAATCCGAATTCGAGCCGTCGACAATCACCCACGACGGCGCGGGCGTGCATCGCGACACCTCGATCCGCGAGTCCGAGGTGGCCGTGATCCCGCGCACCGATGACGTCAGATGCATCGAGGCCCGCGCCCGGTCCCTGCAGGGCTGGCGCGAGGAGCTGTGGATCGAGCGCCTGCGCACCCAGCGCTACGTCGAGGGCGGCCACTACTCGTACCACTTCGACTGGAGCTCGAACCGCGGCGGGTGGGGCCGCGTGAGCAGCATGATGGTCTGGGTCGACGCGCGGGGCGACGGCGACGGCGAGGAGCTGGTCGGCGGCGGGACGGAGTTCCCCTTGCTCAGGATGCCGGGGCGGAGGGAGAAGTGGTGCCGGTTTTTGGAGTGCGGGAAGGTTGGCGAGGAGGAGGGGGAAGAAGGGAAGGGCGTCGTTTTCAAGGCGATTCCGGGGAATGCCGTGTACTGGGAGAACTTCCGCGCTGACGGGACCGGGGCTGGGTATGAAGAGACGTGGCATGCTGGGTTGCCGGTGAAGAAGGGCGTCAAGGTCGGTTTGAACATTTGGAGTACGGGGAGGATAGATTAAGCGTATTTCACACATGTATTATGGCGCAATGGCAGTTGGTTTCATGATGAGCCCTTAAAATGACAGCAGGTCGTTCAATTTTGAAACTTTTCCTCTACCGCAATAACATGCGAGAGAATCATCCTCGCCGCCTCCACCGGCGTCAACTCCGACACATCCAGCTCCAGCTCCGCCTCCCCTCCAAACCGAAACATGATCTCCTCCCTCCGCACAGCTTCCAAAATCCCGACATCCGTCAACTTCGTGTTCTTCCCTTCGCCCCGTCCCTCCCGGACCAACCTCCTCTGGTTCTCCTCCAAGCCGCAGTCCACCACGACTGAGACGAACGGGACGCCCCTGACCGCGGCCGCCTCGCGGTAGTCCTCAGCCGCGGCGCTGCCCGTGGCGCTCGTGCATCGCGAGTCGGTGAAGATCCAGGTGGTGTCCCTCGTGGCGGGCCGCCTCAGCAATCCCAGGATCTCGCGGCGGAGGTGGGAGCGTATGTCGTCGTACTCCGGGGAGGAGCGCTCTACCATGGCGGCGACGGGGTCGATGAAGAGGTGGTTGTGCAGGACCTTGCTGCCTGGTATGAGCTTGAGTAGCTCGTTAGCGATGGTGAGCTTGCCGACGCCCGGGTAGCCGTTGATGTAGATATAGCTCGGCATATTGTGTGCGGTGTTTTGCGGTCGAGTTTGGGTCAGGTTCGCCGATGCAAAATGTGTACGGTGTGAGAAGATAACATAGGTGAGGTGTTGTTGCCTTTTTCAAGAAAACTGTCGAGTGATTTATGGAAGAAAATCTTGTGAGTCAACCTTTCTCCGACTTCAGCTGTAATAGTCCTTTGGGTAAACTGCCCATCAACCGTTAACGCTGGTTGAATCTAATAATCATCTTGTAGAAGTGAGAAAAACATCGATACTAAATTATCATGATGGGGTGATTATTCTTAGCATCACTCATAACTTCACGTCAGTAAGTCATCTTCATACTCTCTATCCCCAAGTTCTCTCGCTGAGAAGTATTCTCTCTCAGTCGCACTTCTCTTACTTTTAGGACGACCCGTTTATATTAGCAATGAACTCTTAGACGTCCACAGGACGGAGTCAAGGGATGACAGAATCGTCCCCGGAAGACTCTTGTGTCACCCTGCCAATCTCGACCTCGGATAAAAAGAACCAATGGTCGCTCGATGAGTCAACGCATCCAAGATATACATGCACTTCTCAGATAACACCAAGCTGCCCAATCCGTCATGATCCTACAACCATCCATCGCACCAAGCATGACCCAATCACCACCAAAACCTCATGTGCCCGAAGAACCCCCATCCTCTAGAATCCTACATCCCAATTCCGACCACGCAAATCAAAACTCAACCCGCGTCAGCCGCGGCCTAGCTCACTCATCACCCAGGGCTGCCGAAAACCCATCACACCTAATCACGGCAGTCACACCGAGTGCACCGGCAATCACACACCCTCTACGCCTTCGGTACCAAGACACCGGGTTCACTAGCGCGCCACGCCGTAATCCCTTCCTCGCGTTTTCTGAAGACCTACCGGGTTGTAGGATTCAAAAACGCGAAAATGAGGCGGACGACCGGCGAGGCTGCCGTCGCCTCGTCTGAGTAATCCTGAACGTTGCAGTGTGACAATCTCCCGCGATTGACCAACTGCATAACACAATGGCTCGTATCAATCCTTTCGAAAATGCGGCGGCTGTATGAATACGAAATGTGAAGGTGAGAAGGAAGATGAATTGAATCTATCTGGAGACCTGATGGATGGACCTGGACAATCTACCGTATTCCGATTTGATGCACATGCAGCCTCTTCAAATGGAGACCTCGCGTCATGTCCTGAACAACACCCTTAATTCAACACCAATCCGACCAAAGAAAGTAATACCAAGAGTCTCTCTCTCTCAAACACCTTGCCGATGCGTTGCCTGCTTTTGTGACCAAAGCTCATGCACCTGACCCAAAAGACGAGATATTTGTTTGGATATCCTGTTTCGTCCGTTCTGTAATGACCCCCTGCGACAAAATGACGAGCTAGGCATTGAATCAATGAAGTTGGCTGCTGGTTGCAACACTGTTAAAGTCGAAAAGCAGGGAATTTGGAACGACCGGAAAGTTGAAAGAGAAAGTGCGCCGCATCAGCCGTAGCTGCCAGGGGTGGTGTGACGAGTGGCATGGCTTATTTGTGACCGAACCCATTGTATTTGTACCATCTGTACCAAAAAGCACATGGGTTCTGATCAATAGGTCATGCGACTCGTCAGGCCACCAAGGGATTAGTGTTGAGGGTGAGGATGCGCCGGCGGAGGCGGCGGGGGAGGCGGCGCGATGCTGGCATCATGCTCGACCTCGATCTCGAACTTGGGGATCTCGTCCGCCTTGAAGTACATGCCGAGGTCGTCGACGCCGGCGGCGGTCGAGATGGCGTACATCTCCTTGCCGAACGCGACGCGCCTCACCTTGGCACCCAGACCCCAGAGGCGGCCGGGCGTCATCTCCTGCGGGAGCACGTTCTCGAAGGACTGCCAGTTGCCGCGGACGTGGGCGAGCGCCGTCCTCTGCAGCGCGCGGTGACTGGGCACGCAGTGCTCGACGATCTTCTTCTCCCCGTGGCCCGCCCAGCTGATGACGAGGCGGACGGGCTTTGACGGCGCCGCAGGGGGCGGGGGCGCGGGCACCGAGACGGGGCCGGGTGCCGGGGGTGGAGGGGCCATGCCAGGAGGGGGTCTCATGCCGGGTGGGAATCGGTTTGGGGGCGGCAGAGGAGGCGGGGGTCCCTGGCCTGGAGCACGGGGGTACACACGCGCAGGAGGTCCTCTCCAGCCGGGGGGAGGAGGAGGAGGCTGCGAGTTCGAGATGGGAGGCGCCGGGATATAGGACGGGCGCGTGATAAGGCCGGGGTGTTGGCGACGGCGAGGGGCGTCTTCCGCATCAGAACAGGTCTCCTCGTCGGATGAGGCGGTCTTCTTGGACTTCTTCTTGCTCTTTCGGTGAGGCGATTTCGACTTCTTGCCCTTGTGGGAGATTATGTCGTCGACTTCGCTATCCGACGAAATTGCAGACACGGAGAGCACTTCGGAAGCGTCCAGCGTCGAGGCCTCGCTGTCGGAGGTGTCCGAGTCGTTGGGCTTCATACCGCGGGGGAAGGAAAAGCCATTAAGCTCGACGAACTGGTACACCTCCTGGGCTGACTTGGTGTGAAGGGTTTCGTAGGCGTCCTCGAGGTCGCGGCCGGTGGCTGACAGGATCTCCTGGCGTTTAGCCTTGTGGACCTTCACAGCGTAGATAGTGTACGACTTGTTGGGGTGACGAGAGGTGTAGATGTCGATGAAGGCACTTCTTCCGGATATCAGACGAAGGTTGTCTACAAGTTGCGTTAGTAGCTGAAAGTCTTGACGTGACTTGGGAGGGGAAGACTTGCCCATGATCTGCTCTCGCCAGGCGAGGCATAGAGGGTTGGGAGCCATCGTCTTCAGTAACTGACAATGCGACGGTGTAACAACTTCACGTTTCTCGTTCAAAAGCACTATCATGTGCACCGAATGGTAGCGTTCAGGTGTTTGTAAAGGTGAATAACGAGGATGTGCAGGCCATCGTGACTTCTTATATAATATCGGCTGCACTGGCTGTCTGCCGGCAGCAAGTTGACAGACAGCCTAATGCAAAGGGAAGAAGATGAGGCGAACGGTAAGTACACAGCCTGAGACCCATGCATGACCAATTCTAGTCGAGGTATGTTCGTACGTCTTCAGTCAGAGGCCGGGCAACTGAGGTCGGAGAGGCTGAAGCCCGCTTAGACGCCCATCCCATGTTCGGGTTGTGCATATGGGTAGTATGCATAGAATCAGATAGACAGCCGGCAAAGAGAATGTAGAAGAAGAAAGTCCATTCATCGGATTGGAAGCCCCAATGTACGTGTGTGGAAGTTGCATACCTAGCGAATCGCTGGAAAGGGGGGCTGGAAAAGAAAAGAAGGTCATCAATTGGACACCGCAACCCAATCAGATTCTTTCAGTACGCATGTGCCTTCGTATCGAGTATCTCTGCTGCAGGCAGTAATCGGAGTCATCGTTTCTTTTCGTTAGGTCTGCTGGGCTGAAGTCCTACTGCATTTCTCCCTTGCGCCATTCTCAGCTCCTGAATTCTGAACGCGTCGAAAAAGTGCAAAACGGATCGAAAATCGCATATCTGCCTGCCACGACAACGACCGGCCGACCACTCGTTGGAATCAGATATAAAATAGCGGCTCCCACGTCTCGTCTGCTGGCACGAGTTACACCGGGTGAGGAAATGGTTGAATTCCACCGTCAGAGTCATCGGTCATCGCGGCAGGGCGCCCCGAACGCAGCCCGATTCTACTTCGTGGCGGTCCGCGAGCCTCTCACACCCCCCGGAAGAAAATATCCCATTCGTTTCCACGAGATCCGTTTCGGTAAGAAGTTCGAGCTCGTTTTCTGCCGTCATCCCTGAGCTGCAACCCGCAATGGAAAGAAAGCCCCGCGGTGAAGATCGTCCGGATACCACGAGCCCAATTCAAAGTGAGACACTTCTTTTTTTGCGCTCTGATGATGACGCTCAGGTTGCGAGAGGACGAGCGGCGCGAGGCGTTAGCTCTGCCGTCTCCCAAAGAGATCAACATCACACCGAGTGTCCGACGAAACGGGAAGGCTGAGGTTATTGATGCTCTCTGAACCGTCCGAAGTGTGATCGCTGATGGCTCAGGACGAGGATCATGCCTGTCGAGAACACGCGCCGATCCCGCCTTACCGCAGCATGCAAGGAAGTTGTTTCCGCTGCAAGGTAGAGAAGGAGGGGTGCCCGAGATCAGAATTGTTATGTATCAGAAAACCGTGATGAAGCGCATCTCGAAGCGGGAGGGAAGCACGAAAGAAGCAACGTCGGACGCGAAGGTGACTCTGTGCGCAACCATTTCCCACGAGGGCGACGTCCCCGACCGCCACGTCTCAATGATGTGACAGTGTACGATGCTCCGAGGGTTGGGTGTATTACACGGCATTTGGCAGTCGGCGTTGAAGGCGAGGTCGGGTTCTTGCTGCGCGCTTCCTCCCGTTCCCGCTCCCTAAAGACATCATTTGGGACATCGGGCACCAATGTACAGAGTATCTCCAACTTGGTGTGCTACCCTGCATCATGCAAGTGAGGCTGGTCTTGATAGCCGAGATCGAACGATCTAACGAGGCGCGTTGTGATAGGTGCGCGATTGGTCGAGAGTGCAGTTTCATCCGCCCAAGTTGCCGATCTTAACACCATCCACAGCCAAAGATATTGAAGCCTCCAAGAGCCCAACGTCAACGACGACAGAGCCCAAGACTGTAACCATATTCGGCATCTTCCCTGTTGTTGACATAATCGGCACTGAGGGACGAATACTCAACGATAATCGTTACCTGACTCAGAAGTTGATCTTGTATATTTCAATCCCATGTTCGGGTAGGACGTGCGCTCAACATGACGGTCTGTGATACCTCACCACATGGTTCGTCGCCTTGTCCGGAGTCAAACCAACGTCAGTTGACCTTTAGTGCGTGTTCTGTGCTTCTCGAGGTTCAACCGCTACGTTAGTTCGTCGCATCGCTCTGCGCAAAACCTGAGACGGGGCTTAACGTAACAACACTTGGTATCCTGTCATCCTACCTATCTACCCATACTACCCATTCTAGCTTATGTCTGGAGACGTTCTAGACGCGACGTGACTGCTTCAACCAGAGCCGTCTCACGGTTCAACAGACCCATGACCTGCTGGAGTTTGGCCTTGCGGATCTCCGAGGGGATCTTAAGCTCCGATGCCTTGGACGGCGACTGCTGTGCTTCGTTGCCGTCGCCTGGCTTCTGTATGCGCTCCACCTCGGCAACAAGTTCGTCCCGTAATCGCTGCACGTCCTCAAACCGTTTCTTAAGCAGCTTTTGTTGTTTCGCAGCCGGGTTCCCCAGCACGCTGGCCTCCATGCTCTTGACCTCCTCCACAAACGCCTTCTCCTTGACACTAAGCTCCCGAGTTGCGGCTTTGCCGACGTATTTTCGGACGCCCTCGAGCCTCTCATTCAACCGCTTCTGGCGCTCCTGCGCCTCTGTGATCCGCCGCTCGAACCTGACCTCGTCGCTTTCACCGTCCCCGTCCTTGTCGTTACCCGCAATCTTGTCAATCTTCTCCTTCACTTCATTGGCCTTCTTGATCTGGTCCCGGAGCTCGTCTTGCAGCGTGCTACAGCGGCGGAAAATTTCTGCCACAGCAGTGCCGAGGCGGTAAGTGTCTTCGCCAAGGACGCGATGAGCATCTGTGAGAATCTGCAGAGTCACCGGGGACAGCCGGATCTCCTGGTTTACGATTGTCTTGTGGCGTGAGCTGCGTAGTCTGTTGATGAGCTCAGGAAGGTCAGACTGTTGCTCAAAGGCATGCGACGGCTGGAAGGTTGGACGAGGCTCATAAAAGTCCAGAGGTTCCATCGTGACAGGCTTCTCTTCGTAGGGGGTCTCGTGACGGATGGGGGTGAAGTCGTCTTCGGGTGTCTCGAAAGTCAGAGCAATCGGTTCGTACGGAGTAGCCGACAACAGGAAGTACCCGAGGTCTGGGTCGCGAATGGCAGCACACGCGGCCAATGACACATTGACGTCTCTGGATGGTTGGGTGAAGAGTCTGTCCCTAATAGAGTTCTGCCCATTGACCAAAAGACCGAGACGGAAGTCAGAGCCCGCCTCCGACTCGCCCGAGAGCTCACCCTCGAGACGGAAGACCCAGGGTGACAGAGAAAGGAAGGTGATGCCGGCGTGTGAGGTGACAAACAACGAGTACCGCGACATGACATCTGAAGAGAAGGTCGGCCAAGCGTCCTCGTTGACTTCGATACTGGCCAAGGTGTCGACGCATTGGAACGTAAGTAGAGACGGCGGGTCGGCGGCTGATAAGAGGCGTCCGAGCCTGGACTTATTGCGTGGGGGCAGCCACTGAGCTTCAATGCCCTCCAGATCGAGGTAGACTCGGACCTGACCGGTCGTGCAGAGCAAACAGACGACGGACAGAGAGAGCCCTTCTTGATCCCCGTCGTCAAAGTCCAAGTCTTCTTCCTCGCCCATCATGAGGTCCTCGGTGTCGACCTTCTTACCGATCACGGTGATGTCGGTCAACAAGCCGTCCAAGATGTCCTCGCTTTCGGGGTCGGCATCGAATTCGAACGGACCCTGCAGCCTTGGCACAACACCTGGCCGAGAGGGACGTGTGTATACTTCAATCGGCTGCTCGCCCGGTGCCGTGTCAATGATTTGCGGCTCCTGGGAGTCCAGGTCGCCCATCCATTCGAGCTGCTGCTGAGCAAGGAGCTTATCCCTCTCCGATACAGCGGGGTCGTCCTCCAATGCGGCCACCTTGGACACGATGGACACAGATAGCGACGGGATGAGAGTCGGGGGCGGCGCCCACTTTTGAGGCAGCAAAGGGCACAACGCGTAGACGTCACCCTCCCTCATGGCGACCCAGAGAGTCATCGGACTCCATCCCCCTGATCCACGTCCAGCAAAGCACGCTGATGCGACCTGCATCTCCAAAGAATACTGTGAGAAGCTTGCGTTCGTAGCCGCCGTGGATGCCGTGAAGTCCTGATCCAGTGTTGTGCCATCTACCAGCTTCTTCAAATCGATCGACAGAGTAGGAGAGTCAAAGGACCAGCGGTCTGTGAGGGAGAGCTCCCAAACGCGGACGATCGCATCGGTGGTGATGGTGACCAAGCAGGATCCCTTGACGCCGAGCGGGTGCCAGATCGCCGACGCGACCGATGAGCGCGAGGTAACATGGGTGGTAGGCCCCAGGGTCCAGATCTTCGGTCGCAAGGGACTGGTGTCCTCGGCGGTAAGGTGCGAGGAGTCGGGAACCACGCAGATGTGAACGGTGTGCGTCGTCAAGATAGCGAGGTAGTCGGAGTTGGGTGAGATGATGAGCTGTTGGATGTCGTCCGCGACGGGTGTTTTGATGGTCTATCGCAAACTGTTAGCAGTCGCTTCTTAACTCCAACAGGCTGAGACCTACGCGAAAGCCCTGAGCGGTTGCAGCCTCCTCGGTAGAAGGAATGGCATCGTCGAACGACTGTGTCGAATCCTCACGCTTGACACGGCTGCCCATACGGCGATGCGAGTGGCTCGTCGACCACTTCTCTTTCAGGTACGCCAGGTCGCCCCATCGCAGCTCCTTGCCGACAGCAACGAAGACTTCGGTGCCTCTGCGAGCGATCGTCCGTCTCGGTCCAATGGTCTTTTTCTTTTTGGCGTAGGGCGACGGGGCGCTCAGCGCCTTCGAATCGGTCGAGGGCGCGAACAAGTTGCGGCCTGGGCCATGGGACAACCACGGAGCCGCGTAGCTCTTAACCTTGGGCATTGCGTGGCTGTTCCCGGCGTCTATGTCGAGGATCTAGTTGTTCAGGTGTGTTCGAATTCGCGGGTCGTTTGGAGAGGAAATCGAACCAGAAGGTCGCCGGCGGACTTTTCGTAGGTCTCTGGAGCGTTGTCGCTGAAATGTTCCTGGACGAAAATCGCGTTGCTGCAGCCACACGGAGGGTCCAAGCTCTAGGTACCTAGGTCCGGGCTGAGGTAGCGCCTCAGACCAATGAGAGTTGTCCAAGCTTACCTGACTTACACACGCAATTGGCCCTTGAAGTCGGCCTGAACAGCCTTATTCTACCATAATTTAAGCATGTCGAGTATTCATATGGCATTTGAATGATCAAGAATGATTCCCTTTATTGATAGGAGAAAGAGTGATGGGTAGTGAATAGATGAAAGCATGTAGCCATGAGATAGCTTGGTAGAGGGATCATTGCGCCCACATCACATTTCTGATTTCAATCGTTAACAAAAAGGTTCAATCATTACACCAAACACACTTCATTCATAACGTTGCTCCTGCTAAAAAGATTGCGATTAAAATATGAAAAGGCGACAGGAAGCAGGTGGTTGAAGTTGGGAGTTCCTTCACCTTTAAGACTGACGCACGGGCCAGAAGCTGAAGTGCCTTGCCAACTGGAGCCTCAGGTACTTTCTCGAGGTATCTCACTTCAACATCGAACTTCTATCCATACTCATCGCAGCTTTCTTCTCATCCACAATTGGTATCAGTCCCAACTTGCGCAAATCGACGGCAATTGGATCATCCCTCCTTCAGCTACACAAGTCACAATGCGATTCGGAGTGAGAAGCACAGTAGAGCGCCTCGACAGGCCGAGCGCATACTACCAGAGCAGGGTAAAGCTTCCTTCTTTCCTCCTCAACCTCTCACAGTCCGGTCCAGCTGACGCCAATGACCTCCCAGAACAAGCGCAGAAGAGACCACCGCGGCGACGACGAAGACGCCAAGCCCGAACCCGCCGAAGACCCCCTCGCCGACGCGACGACCCTCTACGTCGGCAACCTCTCCTTCTACACCACGGAGGAGCAGGTCTACGAGCTCTTCTCCAAGTGCGGCGAGATCAAGCGCCTCGTCATGGGCCTCGACCGCTTCAACAAGACCCCCTGCGGCTTCTGCTTCGTCGAGTACTACACCCACCAGGACGCCCTCGACTGCATGAAGTACATCGGCGGCACCAAGCTCGACGAGCGCGTCATCCGCACCGACCTCGACCCCGGCTTCGAGGAGGGCAGGCAGTACGGCCGCGGCAAGAGCGGAGGCCAGGTCCGTGACGAGTACCGAGAGGACTATGACGAGGGCAGGGGCGGTCTGGGAAGGGCGATTGAGAGGGAGCGCGGCGGGGAGTACGACGAGGGGCGATAGTTTTCATTTTTTTCGATGCCGAGGATGCCTCTTCTAAGAAGAGCTATCCTCGGGAAGAACAAAAGCATGGGGTTTCATCACATCATATAGGCGGGTAAATATGCTTTTTCGTACTTTGCAGGACGGGCTTTGGGAATCGATACCCTCAATTTGACACGGTTTGGGACACGATTGGGGTTTGTGTCTTGATATTGCGTGATATGGGTGTTTCTCTCTCTGGACCCCATACAGGTGCGTAATGTACAATGGGCTGTGAAGGCTGTGTTTCTCAGTGGCAGCCTCAGAAGGCCATCCACTCTCCGCCGAGATCGAGTTTGTAGAGTACATAATCGTACAATCCGACTCTCCAGTCTTTTCCTCCCCAGACCAGCCCTCCACCACCCCTTCGTTAAGATCTTCTCCTCCAGCCCTTGCTTCTCCCGTCTATTCGTTCGTCCATCCGTCGTCGTGCTCGTTTAGTAACCAGGGGGGTTCAATCTCTGAGAAACTCTCGTCCACTTGGGCAGCTCTGCAACAATCAAGTCAGCCATCAATCCCCCCTTGCACCCTCGCCAGACCAAATCAAAGGGGATAATAAACATACTGTGAATGCCCTTGCGGTACCTCTTCTCCTTGCGGTCGAACATGGTGTACTTGTCCCTCGGCAGCATCTCCGCCTCGGTGGGCATCTCGGCCTTCCACCGCTCCAGCGCCGCGATCGTCTGCCCCTGCTTCGCCATCGCCGCGTCCACCGTCGCCACGACGTCGTCCACCGCGCGGAGGCGCATCCTGTGGCGCCGCTTCTGGAACTTGGACAGCCTCCACGGGATCTTCCAGAGCAGACCGCCAGACAGTGGCGACGTGATGCGGAAGGCCCCGAACATGGTCGTGTGAGTGTTGTGCGTGTGGTTTGCCTCTAGGGGCGGTTCGGTTCGGTTCGATTCAGGGGGAAGCGACCTGGTTCGCTTTGGAGTTCGTCGCGTTCTCGCTGTTTGTGTCGTCGGAGACGGGGTTTTCGACGTTGGGTGTTGAGCTCGGGGATGCCCTTCGAATCGTTGCACCAGCAAAGCCGTTCGACTCTTTCGACAAGGGAAATTTTGGAGCTCACGAAAGCGGTGGAGCCAATTGGCTCGCCGTCTCGGCGGCGCAGCGGAATTTCCCAGCGGGTGGTGCGTGCACCCGACCTTTCTGGCGCGGCCGGGGTGTGGTGTCGGATGGGTTCCACCGCCCTGCAGCGCCGCCCGCCCCGCGTGCCTGTCTGTGCCTGTGCCATTCCAGGTCCAGCGTTCGTGGCAGCTAAGGTATCGCGATACTCGGTGAAGCGGCCACAGCGAAAGGAATAGAGCTTCGAACCTCCTCCCACGACGAACGAACCCCGATTTACGAACGGACTGGCCACCGACGCCTCCGAACTCGACTTAATATTTACGATATCACTTGCGCAAAGGGGACGGATGACGACGGCGCGGTGAACAATGTCGTACTACTTCGCCATCGTCGGCACGCAAGACAACCCGCTCTTCGAGTATGAGTTCGGCACCTCCAAGCAGGGCGGCGACGGCCAGTCGCGCTTCAACGAGCAGATCCGCCACCTGAACCAGTTCATCCTGCACAGCAGCCTGGACATCGTGGAGGAGGTGCAGTGGGCGCAAGGACAGCTGTAAGCAGCGTCTTCTTTCGGTGGTGCATGCTGCCACACACGACCCGATGCTGACCAAGGTCCGTGGACTAGATATCTCAAGGTCGTCGACAAGTTCTTCAACAACTACGTCTCCTGCTTCGTGACGGCCGGCAACGTCAAGTTCCTCCTCCTCCACCAGCCCTCGGCGCCCTCGAGCACGGCGTCGTCGCGGTCGTCGACGGCCATCGGCGCCAACCCCACGAGCCCTGCGACCGAGGAGGCGATCAAGAACTTCTTCCAGGAGGTGTACGAGAACTGGGTCAAGGCGACGATGAGTCCGTTTTACAGGTTGAATATGGAGGTCAAGAGCCCGGTGTTCAGAGCGAGGGTGGCGGCTGCGGGAAGGAAATACTTGTGATACCATAGACGAAGAGATTCAGCGAAACAACCTTGACATGACAACTACGGGATGTTGCCAGGGGAGCTCGGGCGAAGACTACGAGGGGAGCCAGTCACATTGGCGGAGTGGGCCTCGACAAAATGTAAACAAAGACACGCGTCACGATTCAAGCATAGTGCAACAAGATTTGGTATGTTCATGCCACCTTTGCGGTGTTTCCATTCAGACAAACGCGTCTGCCTATCGACGCCTTGAGTACTATCATTCCCAGAGTCTCGTGTGATCCCCAAACGCCGTAAATCAACGTGATGTATCCATATCCCATTACCGTTGAGAAAGACCAATGAACCATCCCCGCCGAGTCATGCAGTTCCCGTACCAAACGTTGGGTACAAGAGAGTGCAAAACCAGGCCAAGCTGTGTCGAGAGGACACGCTTAACCGCCGAAACCGTACAGGGTGCGGCCCTGGCGCTTGAGGGCGTAGACGACGTCCAGAGAGGTGACGGTCTTGCGCTTGGCGTGCTCGGTGTAGGTGACGGCGTCACGGATGACACCCTCGAGGAAGGACTTGAGGACACCACGGGTCTCCTCGTAGATCACTGCGAAGCTTGTTAGATCGTGATGGGGAAGAAACGCGATGTAGTTGGAACTTACTGGCAGAAATACGCTTGACACCACCACGACGAGCGAGACGGCGGATGGCGGGCTTGGTAATACCCTGGATGTTGTCACGCAAAATCTTGCGGTGACGCTTGGCACCGCCCTTTCCGAGGCCCTTGCCGCCCTTGCCGCCTGAGATAAAGTTAGCATCATACGATCAGATGCAAATGAAGCTGTTGCGATGCGATCTGGTGTTGACGCGACCTGGCGAAGGCGTGGCGACGCGTCCGCATGCGGTGGTGCATGCCGATGGACAGGGTCCATTAAGACGCGGGGTACGACTCGATCGGCAGGAACGCGACCAACACCTCGATTGCAGTAACAGGAAAAAGTGAAGATAGATAGTACTTACGTCCAGTCATGTTGATGAGGTTATTTGAAGTGGATGCTTAGTGGATGAAGTTGTTGTAGTTGTCTTGAAGACAAGTGATGACGTGAGTTGGTGATGGATACGTTTGGGTGTGGGAGAAGAGAAGTGGGAATGGGGAGAGAGAGGGGGAGAAGAATAAATAAGGCAGTGCTGCAAGTCTGGGGGATGGGTTACTGATTGTGTGGTGCTTTGGGTGTTGTCGCAGCAGGCAGGTCCGGATCAGTACGCTAGTCCCGTTTTGGGGTTTGGCCAAAAAATAGCGAAACGGTAAGGTCCCTATTTTTCGTCGTGTATTTTCCAAGTCACTTGCAGCCGGTTGGAGAGCGTTTTCGCAGGCGCGCTGGGCATTGTTTTCATTTACAATGGGGTTTCCGCTTGCCCCGTGCACTGGACGGCTCTTTTTTTCTCTGGGAAGGACGGGAGCTGGCAGGGGTCGTGGTGGCGGCCATTTTCTGTCCACTCAACACTCGCCAAAAACAGACTCCGGAGAGGTGGCCCGAGCTCTTCGCGGCCGGCCTTTTGTTTTTGTCACGCGTCAGATTTTTTGTCTCCCGCTGGCTGCCGTCCGCCTGGGTTCTCCGATGGCGCTTGTCCGATTTTTGATTGGCTGCTTTTTACCTCCACTGAGTTCATGCAAGGGGTCCAGTCCCACCGATCACCTTTTTGCGATCTGCCTTCTGCCTTCTGGAAGGGTTGGTGACGACAGGCCATTCCAGCGATTCCACCCCGACATGTCACGCTGCGGGAGCACGCGTTGGTTCAACCCGGACGAAATCGACATTCTGGCTCGATCCGATTTCTTGAAATGGGACAAGGATAGGTAGGGCTGGACTCTAGAGATATCCCGGGGGTGAGGTGCTGTATTCGTACTTTCTCGTAATCGATTGGTGTCCCAAGATTCAAGAAGTGGGACGGATGGTTCCAGTGTCTTCATCAAGACGACGACTAAGTCGTGCATTACTTTTCCTGTTGCGACCTATTCACCGTGTCGACAGTGACGATGCGAGTCCGATAATATACAACAGGGCAGACCATCCGCCCTTCCCAAGCCAATATGCTTCCCCCTGCTTTGCTTTCCTAAACGCCGATGCCATGCAGCATGCCGATAAACATGAATCCGTGTCATCGTGCTGTTGTTAATCGTGCCCAAACCCAAGCTGGCGAACCCTCGTTCCGTCGTACCCAGATTCGTCTCCAATACTGTACTCGAAGCACCCAATAAAAATGCACACAATCGCTATCCTCTCCGGCGGCCAAGGAGCAAAACAGACCACGGGTCGAGGAGAATTCATGTGTCATATGCTCATGTCATCATGGAGTCCTCCATGCCCATATCATCCTCGATACTCTCAATCGCGTCCTTGATCGACTGGCTGGCCTGCGGAACGGGTTAGCTAAGAACGTGCATCGATGCCCAAAAAGAGCTCACCTTCGGATCCAGAGCAAGAGCATTGCTGAAGGCGCGCACCGCCATCTGCTTTTCGCCGACCATGCGATACAACTTGCCCAGGAGGAAGTGCACCATGGCCTCGTCTGGTGCCATGTCCTTCACGATCAACAGTTCCTTCTCCGCGGCCTCGATCTCCCTGAGGGACATGAGGCACCGCGCTTTCCGGTAACGGACCATAGCCGCTTTTGGTGCCAATTCAACCGCCTTACTGAAGTATTGGAGGGCTGGCAGAAGTTGCTTCTGCCTCTCGTGGATGGCGCCTATGCGGCAGATAAGAACCGCATTCGTTGGGTTGATGACAGATGCCGTGTGGAAGTGAGTGTACGCCTTTTCGTAGTTGCCTAACTTTTCGAACACGCCACCGAGACCGAAGTAAGCGTTGTAGTGGCGACGGTCGGCAGCGACGGCGTGACGGAAGGCGGTCAGAGCCTTCTCGTACTCCTCGTTGGCGACGTGCTCGTGACCCTGGAGGGTAAATGCGTATGCAAAACTAGATTTCAGTTGCGTGGCCCTCTTGAAGCATCCCAGGGCCGCCTCATGATCTCGCATAAGGGAATGGGCGTTGCCCAGAGCGCACCAAGCCTGAGGCGACTCCCAGTCAGCATCGATCAACTCGTGTGCGAGGAACGACAGGTCCGTCTCGCGCTTGAGGTGCCACAAAATGGTCGAGTAGATTTCCATGTCCTCCATACGCGTCGGAGACACGACGCGCAGTTTCCTAAAGAATTTCTCGGCCTCCTTGTAGGAGCCCTGCTCATGGTGCGCTTTTCCCATTTGCACCAGTAACCAAGGGGTTTCCTGTTGGTTGCGGGGCAAGGAACCGAAGAATTGCAAAGCCTCCTGACAACGGAACTTCTTCAACGCGTGGTAACCAGAGGCGAATTTCTTCAGCAACTCCATGATCCATCTCAGGCTCTCTTCGATCTTGACGTTGTCAGGCTCCGTGGAGATGGCTTTCTGCGCGGCGTGCTGGACGGGATGAGGTTCGCGGACTCTGGAGGCCTCGGCGTGATCGACGTCCATGCCGCTATCTTCGATGGGCTTACGGTTGCCACTAACCACCCTGCCAACGCTGGAGCCACTCGAGCCTGGTCGCATAATTCGAGAAATTTGGGGTCTAGCCTTCTTCAATTCGCGGGTCGCAGCGGCGCCGATAGTAGCAGCGCCAGAGTTCGCCTTGACGATCGAAGGCTTATTGAACATATTTAACCTGGCGCTCCTCCGTTGCGCTGGTGCGTTGGCTTCTTCGGAATGCTGTCTAGACTGAACAGGGTGCCCAGACACTGTTCTTTTGCGTTCTGAGGGCGCGGCTGTTCGCAAGATGCCTCCGCCGGTGCCGGTATCAGAGTGTAGCTCGACTTGCTCCTTGTCCTGACTCCTGGTGCCTCTCTTCCCGCCTAACCTATAACTCATCTTCGGCGGTGCTTCCAGAAAACCAGGCTCGACACCGTGAGCTGTCCGCGTCCGTCGCGGTGGCGCCTGAGGGGGTTCGGGGGCACCAGTGGAACGCAATGTTGGAACCTCTGGCATGGAAGTAGGGCCGGTCGGCGTTTCCATGAGATCGGCATCCCCGCTGGACGTGGTCGAAGGCCCTAGACGTGACCTTGCCGCGGTGATTTTCGACATGAAGTCGTTCTCTTCCGCCTCAGCAGAGAAGACGTTGGCGCTGAAGGGCATGTCTTGGTAGGTGGAGGATCGGTGAAGGTTGAAGGGGTCGGATGAATCCGTGATGGCACGAGGCTGGGGCCTCTTGGGTTCGAAAGAGTTCGCCATACCGTCCTTGGGCTCCTGCGATATCGAGCCGGCGTCTTGGTCGAAAGAATGTGTCAACTGGTCGGTGACCTGGAAAATATTGGGTACCCGGACGTTGACGCCCATGTCACAGAGAGCTTGGAAAGCATCCCACATGAACGGGTTGACTCTGACGGCATTTTCGAAGCACTCGACGGCCCTCCTCCTGTCGTCGTAGGCGCGGTACAGCTTCCCAAGAAGACACAGCACTGCGGGCTCGTCTGGGTACAGGGATCGGGCCGAGGTGGTGTGCTTGCCCAGGTTCGTCTTGCCGATCCATTTCTCTCGTGCCTTTTCCAGCGAGTTGATACCCTCCTTATACCGTTCCAACTTGAGGCATGCCTGCGCAAACACCCAGGCGACACCCAGGTTTGTTCCGCGGGATGCAGGTTGCCTGCAAACCTCAAAGGCAGTTCTCGTATCGCCGAGTCGGAGGTGGCATAGTGCCAGAAGGTGGGCAGATTCGCTCGATTTCGGGTCTTGGGCGTTCAGCCTCTCGGCGAAGAAGAGAGCATTATCGTAGGCGTTGTTGTCGACGTGGTAGTAGATGACCTGTCGCAGCAGCCCAGTAATGGCCGCGCTCGTGGGCGCCATTCTCGCTCTCGCGGCGTAATGTACGGGGGTGAACGGCTCGTTGGAGGGGATTAACGTCGAGAAGAGATTGTGGCCATGGGATCGCGCGGAAAGGGTTAACAGTCGTCAGTCTGAATGGCTGGGAAGTCGCAGTGCCTAACCAGCGTCCCGAGAGGGCGGGCGGCTATGGTAGGGAAGCGTGGTTGAGCTCTGTCGAGCTAGGATGTCGTTTTGTGTGCAAGCGCAAAAAGTTGCGTCCGTGAATTTCGAGGTTGGGGGTCGCGCGGAGCCTCAGACCAGGAAGAGCAATACGTGGTCTGCAGTCGGGTGCGTAGTAACGGCTGATTGGAGGTATTAACAATTAATAGCCGTAATGAAAGGGCTGCGAAGACGAATTGACGCCGGAAATGCTGAATAAAGCGACGGTGGTAGCAATGGTCGTCGAACAGATCCAAATGGTGTTGTGCTGTTGTGCCTGTGGTGGAAACACTGGAGGCCGTTGTCGTGGTGGGTCCCGCGAATTGTTTGGGTTTCCCTTTTCTGCGCTTCACTCTTGGGAAGGATGATGCAATGATGAATGGTCAAAAAGATGCAGTGTCGACTCCGCGCAGCAACCCGAGACACAGCAACGGTCCATCTGACTGACAGACTTGGGTTGAGTCTCCTGGCAAGAAGGTGACTTCAAGGCGCGCTTGACGAGACCCAAAAACGAAGGAAGAAAGAGAAGGTCGTCGAAGGGGAGGGGCGAACACCAAGTCACCTTCACTTGGGTAGGTACCGGTAGGGGGGAAGACCGTGGACGGCGGGAAGAGACAATGAGGGACGGGCCTCAGAGGGTCCAGGATTGAAATTCCCAAATGCTCAGCAGACGTCAGTTCGTCACTTGCCGTGGGATGGCGGAAAGAAAGAAGTTCTGGACTGGTTTCCGTTTCCCGTTTCCTTACCTTCGGTTCCTTGTTGACAGTTGACCTGAACGGCAGCGGTTCCCTCCTTTCAGTCGCGCCTGATGTTGTGATGCCGCAGGCCTGATTGGCTCACACGACGCCGCAGCGACCACCGTCACTTCGCCCAGCAACAGAAACAAGCGCCCACTCAGCGACCTCTTCTGCCTACCTACCAGCCCCCTGTCGTCACCCGCCAACCTCCCGTCCCCCGTAGTGACCGTTTCCCCTGCCCGCCACCTTTTCTGAATGCCCCACTTCGCGCCGTTCGCCGGTATCACTGGACCGATGGAATCCCGCGCTTAAGCCACACTTCGCTCTGGAATTTCGTCACCCCACGTCCTGTCAGCCTCAACTCCATCCACGTCTGGCCGCAACCTGTCTTTATCACCAGCAACTTACCTATCCGGCGTGGTCGCTCTCTGTGTCGGATCAAACACTTTCTCCTGGCCTATTTGACAACAGCCGTCACCCCTCATAGTCCCGTTCTTCCGACTCTCATCAGTACTCAACATGGCGCAAAAGGCAAAGAAGGATCGCGCCAAGTCCAACGCGGCCGCTCTGAACAACCTCCACATCGGCTCTGCCATCGTCAACGTCGGCTTCTTGCTCTTTCACTTCCTCATCAGATCTCGCTCTCTGTTCTGGTTCATCCTGTTTTCCGCACCCGCCTTGATCTGCGAGTTCGTCCTGGAAAACACCGGACGCCCCAAGTACGACGCCGGAGGAGGCCTCAAGACGGCCGGCGAGGACCTTGCCGCCCCCGGCTTGACCGACTACATGTTCGACGTCATCTGGGTCACTTGGGCTTCTGTCATTGCCGTCGTTCTGTTCGGCAACTGGGGCTGGATTTTGTGGCTCACTGTCCCGGCTTACGGCGCCTACGCCGGTATTGGACTGCTTGGAGCTGGCAAGAGAATGGCTCAGGGTATGCAGGGAGGCAACGACGAGGCCCCCGCACCCGTCAATCGCCGCCAGCGCCGTGCAGCATAATCCATGCGAGCTCGATTCGTGAGACTATCAGTTGAGGCATCTGTGGCTGTCTATTTGTCTCTATCGAGTCTACGACTTCAGTTCTGTCTATGCCATGGCTGCTCCTCGGCCCACTTCTTAATGACCTCGGGGTCTACGTTTCGCACAAGGACGTGGATATGCTCGAGAGCCCGTACGCTTTGCAGGGCGACCCAGTTCTTGAACCAGACAACTCGATCCTCTCCGCCCTCGCCGAGGCTCTCGACAAAGTACCTGTCGACGAATCTCTGCGTGATGTTCCTGCTCTCTGGCGTCATGTCTCCCGTCTCGGCATCAGTGGGGATAATGGTACGAGACCAGACCACGATGTGGGTGATCTCTGGGTCGAGTCCATACGGCCAGTCGTTGACGAGAACTCGGTAGTCGGAAGGGTCCTCAAAGGGAATGAGCGACTTGGGGCTGAATGGCGGCTCGCCCCAGGTCTGGGGCAACCGGTTGGCAAGGAGGTATTTGGTCATGGAGCCATACTCGGCCTTAGTCTCGGCCGTCCACTTCATGTACCGGCGCAGGTCTGAGGGCTTGCGCTTCAATACTTCCAGCTTGTTGGTCTCTGCAGAAAGTTAGACGACTAATAAGACCAATATTCGGGTCCCGGCAGTAATATCACGCACTGATGATCTCCTTCAGCTCTTCCCAGTCATGCTCCTTGAACTCCTCGTCGGTCTGTGAGAGGACCCACTTGTCGACGTCCGTCAGCGGAAAGGGAGCATCGACGACCGGTATGTCGCCCATTTTGAAATTCGCAGGGCTGTGGTCTAGAGTATTTTGGGTGTCGAGCTGACAGTGGGGTTGAGGATGAAGTCGATGGCTTGACGTGAACTGAGTGATACGAGACCACCTGGCGGTAAGAACGGCGTCGCACTAACTTGCAGCGGAAGATCGGCGGTCCGACTTCCCCTTCAGGCCCCGGGTACACCTAAGGGCACTGCCGTTTTGTTCTCGACGCGCCAACGGAAGCAACACCAGTCGCAACTCGGTCGGATAGGCAGGCACTATCATTGGAAAGATGTCTGTCACAATTGAATTAATTTGATCGTCTTTTGGGCTTTTTGCGAGCTGAAATTTGGTTTCTTGACTCGGCCAGATTCAGTAAAAGCAAAAAATGGCCAGCAAGTGCTAGTGTCATGGCTGGTTCGCAACTGCCCAATTATGACCGACCCTGTATCTCTTTGAATAGTGCCATCATGAAAGTCGGACCTCGATTTCCTGGGAACACAGCAGGAACATCGTCTTACTATCCCATGAACGCCCTAGGCTTCTTGCCACATATGGATTCGGATGTTCGTTTCTACTATGAGCTCAAGCAGTTCTCCGCCTTTGCAGTCATGGTTCACGAGAGCTGGGGCACCCGGTGGGCGCTTCGTCTTCAGCGAGTTGACCGCTAAAATATTTCCCAATTTCCAACATCATCGCCAACCCAACACTCAACATACGACGCGTATTTCTCACGTCACCGCGTGCTCGAATCAGTCAAATTAGGCATCACAATTATCCACGAGTGTAATTGACCATAAGGCAACATGGAATCTCCCATACATGAGGAGACTGCTGGTGTCCCCGCACACCCATACTACCCCGTTAGCGCGCCTCTCTCACATTACACCGTCAATCAGACCCCCGTGGCCGTTCTACTCGTCTCATTTGGCGTCATAATTCTTGCCAGTGTCGCGGCGGCTGTTCAATTAGCCAGGAGAGCGTGCCCCAGCTTGTCCGTAGCCGACCAGCTCACCGTCGCATGGTTCGCTCTCTGTGAGTGGACTACCACTTCGATATTCGACACGGCCGACTAATAAGTCATCTCAGGCGGTTTCCTGCACTGCTTCTTCGAAGGTCTGTAATCTCAATGCTACTCGGCTTCGATCGGTCTCTGACCTGTCAATAGGATACTACATCTACCATCATGAAGACCTCGCAGGCCTACAGACCCTCTTTGGCCAGCTCTGGAAGGAGTACTCCCTCTCCGACTCGCGGTACCTAACCTCCGACCCATTCATGCTCTGCGTGGAGTCCCTGACTGTTGTACGTGATACCTTACCATCTCGAAAAAGACATCATCGTCTCATAACCTTTCTCTTATCCAGTTGATGTGGGGACCCTTGTGCTGGACTATAGTCTGGGCAATAGCCAAGCGAAGCAACTTCCGCTATCCTCTCACGGCCATCATGTGCGTCGGTCACTTGTACGGCGTCATGCTCTATTACTCGACCAGCCTGACTGAATACTACCTTCACGGCGTCTCGCACAGCCGGCCCGAGTTCCTGTACTTCTGGGTCTACTATGTCGGCTTTAACGGACCCTGGGTCGTCGTTCCTGCGAGTATGTTCAAGTGTGTCGTTGATCATGATGTTGAAGCTGATGTTTGAAACAGTCCTGCTCTACAGAAATGTCATGTATATCAAGCGCAAGTTGGACGGAAGTGAGCACGCCCAATTTGTTGTGAACAGTGTCGACGGCCCTTTGGGTAAAAAGGACCTCTGAAGCGTGAAACCAAGACGGAGACGGAGGAGAAGGACCAGTGAATATTGTGCCTAGTGAGGAAACAACGAAGTCTTTGGGCGATATTGCGTGATGCCAAGGACAGTGACTTAGGCCTTTTCTTACAATAAGTCATACAGAGCACGACCGCGAATGACCGACGTCGTCCGGCGTCATCACTTGTATATAGCGAAGAATACATATATCAGCTCGGCGTATCGTCCACGAACCTGGGACACAAGCAAGAATCTTGCTGCTGGGCTGGACTCCGGAGAAGAGTAGTCGAGGAAGAGAGCACCACAAGTGATTAGATATCGGCCCGGCAGATGTGATGCCGCAATATCATCTGTTGCATTAGTCTGGTTTATACACTTATCCAACAAGGGATATTCTCAGTCGCTCCTCGTAACAGATTTGAGTAGAGCTTAGCTTGTCATTGAGAACGTTTGCTCTATAAAGTGACCAGCCGGGTAATGCTGGTTCTCGATTTTATCAAAAAGCCCCTGCTTTCTAAAGTCTTTTCAGGCGCGTTCATAATTCTTCTCAGCTCTGTTGCTTCCACCTGGTGAGGGCTCGAGACATTTTTTCCAGCTTTGGACAAGGGAGGTGATCTCATGGTGCTCATCTCTCACAGTCCCCCATTGCTCGGCGGCATTTCCGACGCATTTGACACGATAATCAAAGGACAAGCGACGTGTTACGTCTCCAGAAAAGCTCGACGCCTGTGATGTGATGCTGCGCCATGGAGCTCACTATTGAGCCGATTCAGCAAAGGCCGCTCAGTTCGAAGGCTTAGGAACCAAAGTCCTCAGGGATTACAATGTCTGTCTGCAACACGGAAGAGCCGGCTTGCCATTTTGTTGTTGACATGATATAGAAAGCCTGTGTGCTACACTATATGAGTAAATCTTGACATGACTTGAGAGGCAGTGGCTCGTTACATGATTGGGGGTTTCGTCGCCCAAGATACCCATTATCGACCGATGCACCTAGTTCGTGGGTAAGCTTGCCCGCTCGCCACAACGCTCGCAAAGTGTTCAAGATATCGAGATGGGTCTTGCCTCTCGGGAAGACTCTGGTTGGTAGTCAGAAACCGAACGCCTCCGCACTCATTCTCCCATTCTGCGCACAACAATGCATCTACAGACGGTTAATGGCGATGTTAGATGAGCGCATGAAGCATCTGCAGTATTAAAAGAAGTGGTTATTCGCAGCAAACAAAACGGACGCCGTAAACAATATCATTCATTTAGAAAAAGTATGGCACCAAGCCTTGACAAGTCACCGGCGTTGACGGACGAGGACTACCTCAACACCTTGACGAACCGACCCAAGACATGAACCCTGATAGACCCAAACCCCGCAGCAGTTTCTTCTGGTTTCCTCACTTGAACCACCTCATTCGGCCACTTTCGTCACGATGCAGTTCATCACCATACCGGCTCGGGATATTATAAAAGCCCGGGCAATGTGCAGTACAACAGCTCGTTCTCGTAACGGAACCAGTGCCCTCTCTCCACGTGGGTTTCGCATACGTCGAGGGATGGACATACTCATTTATCCGGCACGCTACGGCGTTGTCCAACTCTGAAACCTCGTCGATGGACGCGTTGAAGATGTCACAGATTGATCTCAAGCGCCCCCGTTCTTCGCCCCTGTCTAGGATGTATTCCCTGAGTAATAACCGGCGACTCAAAAGACATCAGAATCCTTATACAAACTCAAGCTTCACTGAAAATGAAGCTACGGTCGTAGCAAGCAAGAGTTCCCTAAGATTGTTATGTTAAAGAAAACAAACACCAGGACCAACTACTCTCACCTGGTGAACACCACCCATTCCCTATGAGCTCGTTTTATACCTCCCACAGGCCTCAGAAGTAGATGATCTTGCTATGGAACAATTATTCTCAGCAAATGAGCAGATATAAAGACCAATCGATATTCTCGGTACGAAAGAAAGCGACGCAATTCTCCTCGTTCTCGCACTTGCGATAACCAATCGACACTTTCAGGCACGTCCATCCTGGCTGAAGACACGACATCCACGCACCAAGCTCCAATTCCCATCATCTACAGCATTCAGTTCTCAACTATTCATAGCGTATACATAATAAACAGAGACAACTCCAGACCGGGAATCCCACCCATCGTTCTTGACTCGTAAGTCATCCGGCCGCAACCAAACTTACAGCTTGACTGTTGACAACGGCGAATAATGGAACACAAAGAGTGAATGCTGCACTCATTCCGGTCCAAATTCAATCAATCAGGCCTGACTTGATTAAATACACTGCATTGGTAACGCCCAGTCTCATCAGACGCAGCAGATCGACCAGAGGCCCCCTCAACCACGAGGTGCGCTGGACTCCTCGCGTGGCGGCGGCGTAGACCATTGTGTCTGCATTAACATTGCCTCGCTCTAGCCACCTCTCAGGAGTGTCCACCACGCCAGTCGATGTACCCGAGCCACGTCCGCCGCGGTAGGTTCATCTCACATCGAGCTCAGAAACCGACTTCTCAATCCTTCATCGTCCCTCCAGTATCCCATAATGACACGGCTGTGACAAGCATCTCCTCTCTAAACCTTATAAAACCCTCGTCCGTGAGTTCTGAACGTAAACCTGTCCAGAGGTATCTGCAACCGACAGACACAGCTTGCAATCTGCTTTCGTGAAGTTCTTTTGACAACCCGTCCAGCCCAGGACTACTTAATATATATCCTGCGTGGTCCAACTGTCTGCCCACAGAAGTTGCATAGGTAGAGAGGCAGCATTGGTGCACCCTCTTCACGGTATTCGAATGCTCTCTTGTTGATGCGGCCGAGAGTGTCACCCGTACGTCAGTCATGATTGACCGAGGTGGTAAGATTGCCGGACAGTGACATGAAGACAATGACTCACTCACGTCCACCCATCAGTCCACAAGCTTGTTCACCTTGAGCGATCTCCAGTTCAAAGAACATCAGGGATATCATTCGTCTTATTCGGTATCCTATCTCTCCAAGAGGCAGAGTGCGCCTCTAAAAATATCTGCCTCCCCGTCTCGTCATGTGTGACCGAGAGATCATTCCTCGGCTTCTTCATTATCAGCCAGTCGTCTATTCAACCACAACGCCGCCCAGATGCCTAGATGCATGCCAATGTCCCAATGCTCGAGTTGATGATCAAGTCCCATCATCACGACCGTCTAGTAGATGCCCTGCGTTCTATACTGGAAGGTATCGTAGCTGGGCAAGTTAGCAGGTGTGCATTGAATTCGAGTACGAAACACTTACAGCCGCGTGTAGTAGCTGCCGAGGGACTTGCCGATCAAGTCAGTCTCGACGAATTGCTCCGCCTCGTCCGCACTGAGCTGCAGCTGGAACCGCTGGCGAAGGTTATGCGTGGCTTGGGCTACGCCGGCAGAGTAACATGGCATCTTTGAGTCCCGTCCCATCATGGCCACCAGATCGATGATATTGTCCGCAGACCGCCGCAGAGCTGAGAACGTTAGTCATGCCCAGAACGAAGCAATGATTTGGAACTTACCCTGGAAAGCCTGCTTGCAGAGCTTCTTGTAGTCCTCATAATCATCAGATCCGATGCCACCCAGCACCTCGATGTACTCTTGCGTCAACTTGAAAGGCGCCGCTTCAAAGCCAACAGACCCCGGCGAGTTGGACAACATGAAACCGAAATCGATGTGCACAATGTGTCCCTCGCTGTCGATCAAGACATTACCGTTGTGTCTATCTTTCAGTTGCAAGATGTATGAAATCATACTGTACGCGGCCAATGAGCGTTTGAAGGCATCAACACCGGCTTTAAACGGTTCGCTGTCTGCGGCACCAAAGGCTTTGAGGAAGTGGTCCCTGAGAGTCGCGAAGCGACGTTTCTGGCCCGGTCCCGCCTCCATCGACAATGTCAAACTTCGCTTGATGGAATGCAACGATACACCGTTGGTGATCGTCTCAATCAAGCCCGACGACTCTCCCGTGACGAGAATGCGCATCAGTTTCACCCAAACGTTGACCTTGGCATCCACCCAGATCTTGTGGCAAACGTCAATGAGCTGACACGCGAACGCTTCCTGGCGCAAGTCGGCACCCGTCTTGACAATGACGCTGACCAGATCCCAGTTCTTCATCCACCCGTACGGCGACGTTTTGCGGACACGCTCCTTCTTCGCTTGCCATGCTTCACCGAACACAGCCGCGCTTGGATCGTCACGGTCGCCCTTGTTCTGAATACCTCCGGTCTTGATGTCGTTTTCCATTCTGGCGAGTCCAGCACCGGCATTTACCCCCGGCTCAATGGGTGATTCGCTCTCTACCTCAGGCTCGGCCGCCGCTTGCACCGCAGCGGCAGCTTGCGCGGTGGAAGCCTTGGCCATGATCGTGTCAAACGTTGGCCCTTGTTCATCCATGTCGAAGCTCTGTTCCTCTAGACTCTGCATGCTTGCGATAATCTTCGCTCTGATAGCCTGCACTTCATGCTTAGGCCGCTTGCCGCTCGTAGCCTCAAGCTGGGCCAGCATCTGTGAAGCAGTGCGCATGTGCGTCGCGAGCGCGGAGAAGTCGGGCTGTTCAACCGCAGGATTACCGCGACCGGACAACGTCATCTTGCGAACAGGACCCGGGGGACTACTTGATCTCGAAGTTGAGGCACCGGAGCTGCGCGGAGTTGTCATGTTGTCCGAAATCGTGCTTGACATCGTCGTGTTGCTGGTGCTAGGGAGGCGTTGTGGCGCAGGAGGAACCTGCTTGCCCTGGAACTTTTGCGAAGCATCCTCGTCAAAAGGCTTCAGCATTGGCGAGCTTCCCAGGTCACCCGACACGGGCTCAAACACGCTGTCAATGACAGGCTCCGGTGTTCTAGGCACGATGGGTATGCGAGGTGAGTCTGACAGGTCAAAGATTCGTCGGTTCGTCCCTTGTTCCGTCAGGAGCGTCGACAGCAGTCTCTTATTGTCCGGCGTCTCCGGGTCGAACGAAAAGTCATCCCTCAGAACCTCAACCATGAGAAGATACGGTACTTTCTCTGCACTGTTCAGAACCGTCGATTCAGCCGGGTTCAAGCGCACGATGCGGTGGTGCCTGCTCTTCGCTGGGGAGCCATCAACGAGCGTCGGGGGGCAGATGACCGGGACATCGACTTCAGCAGGAAGGTCTTGGGCAATGAGAGCCAGCTCCGCGCGGAGAGCACTGAGACGGGCGGGCTTCGGCACGATAACCAACCGGTTGGATATCCCCTCGAGCGCGGTCAGGAATTGCGTTTCGCACCTAAAATAGTGTTGTCGCAACAGTCTTGTCTTCTGCAGTGGTGTCAGTTCAACACCGCTCGCGCCACTCTTGAAGTGGTGAGAATGTCTCCTGTTGAGAGCGTCATTCGGCCGTGGAGGAAGTCCCGCCGACACCGGAGTCGCAGGTCGAGTGATGGCCAACCTCGGCGATCGCAGCTCGGGAAGGGGCAGTGACGAGGAACTAAGTCGTGCATCCGCGTTCTTCATCTCGATATGTGACGGCAACCGCTTAGCCTCGACCGGCGTCCTCGAACCCGACGACCCCTGCCGCGGGGGAGATGGTTCCGTCGCCCGGTGAGGCAGATTCGTAATCACTAGGTCGGGCGCGCTCGTCATGCGCCCGCCATCTTTTATACGCCTGGTCCTCGTGCTGCTAGCAGCGGTAACCGTTTGCGATCGCGTCACCTTGGGATTATTGTCTTGAGAGTTGGATATCAGATCTTCGGACGGTTGAGGCTTCCTGGCCTGTGCAACGGCGAGCGGCCCCGCCCAATGCGGGACGAGAGGAACCGCAACGCTGGCCAGGACGAAGCTCGCGAGCACCGTGACGGGCAGTACGTTTTCCTTGATTTTTTCATGTCGCGCGGAGTCTGGCAAGCCAAAGACTATGTGCTGCACCTTGTTGTACACCCTTCGACACGTCTGGAAGGACTTGGATTGCGGGTTGGACGACAGGTCGTGTAGGTATGTTTGGAAAAGCCAGAAGGTCTAGGAGATGCGGTTAGCCAATGCATCGAGAGCGCGCGGAAGTGCAATGGGTCGATTGAGGACGGGGCGACTCACCAGCAGGGCGGCAGTCACAGACTCCTCGCACAGGTCGAGGAGGAATTCCTCCAGGGCCATGGACTCATTGTCGACGCTAATTATAAGGTGGCATAGCTGCGGCAGGAAGAACTCAATGTCCTCGTAGGGGAATTGTCGCAGCTTATTGCAGAGAACGTAGTGGATGCCCACATGGTCGGCGTAACGACTACATAGGGGTCAGTATGTGATGTCCGACGTCATGTGTCAGCGCCAATTGGGGTCGCGACGCATGCTGCGACATGTTCCTGGGCGTAGGGGAGAAGGATGAGGAGGAGGAGGAGCTCACGATAGATAGGAGACGGAGAGAAAGGGGTTCGAGTTGAAGACGTCGGACTCAAGGAATCGCTTGAGCAGGTCCCACGACATTGGTTACGCCACGAAGCGGAAAGAAGGATGCAAGTGCAGCGAGGCTCGGTGCCTCATTGATCATGGACATGAACGGGATTCGCAGTGAGAGGGACGGTTTCGCATGGCTCAAGAAGCTCAAGACTCGGGTCGGGACGAGAGCAGCAACAGCAGCACGCAATGGAGGAGCAGATTGCAGCGGCGGGCGGACTGGATTGCGAAGCAGAGCAGAGCAGAGCAGAGCAAAGGACAGGTAAGGTAAGGTGTGTACGGCCGGATGCTCGTCGGTGCAATAGTTGTAGCTCCCTCTTTTGGCCCGTGGATTTCGGGGAGGTCGATTTGTCCACTAATGTGAGAGCGTGACTTGGAAGGTGGGAGGAATGCCCCATACAGGCATGCACGACCCGCCGTTGCAAGTGAGCGACCTAAGTGCCTAAAATTTCTGGCCTCAAATTAAGGTACGCCGGGTTACCTCAGCGAGCATGAACCTTGAACAGGAGACGGAACCACGGAGTCTTGGAAGTTGGAGGGGGGCACTCTTGAAAGGGGCCGTAGCCCGCAGCGCCGCGCTCTGTCTGCGGCTCCTCCTGAGAGTGCCGGGCCCGAGACGTCCAGCTGTGAGTCCAGTGTGGTGGAAGCCGCACGCCGCGCTAGAACCAATGGGGCTGCTGCCAGACCCCTGGTCTGCGGGGCCAATCATCGTCTTATGTGCATATCTGACGTAGGTGCATAGGGATGAGCTCACCTTGAGAGCTGTGAGTGAGAGGGTCATCGACCAGGTTGTATGAAAATGAGATGAGATGATTTGGGTACTCATTTACCTTTTTTTTTAAAAATAATTCAAGCTTGGGTTCGGCTCATTGATATTAGCCATTCCTGAGCCGTAACAAGGAGTACTGGAATACTGGAAATGCCAAGTGGTGTCAGCGAGAAGACGGTTTCAGACGGGTCACGGTGTAAGTCATTGAGTGAGTGATGTGCAACACACAAGACTCTTTCATTTTTAATGTGAGCAAATGCTGTCCAACGACAGGCTCGATGCGCATAAAAGGAAGATAAGCCGTTCAATGGCATGCAAGTCGAGGAAGCAGCGCTATTTCCTCCGTGCCGTGTACCCTATCCCCCAAGTGACAAGTTTTCGTCGTGTCACCCAACGCCGATGTAGATGCTAGCCAGTCCAACGCCAGTCCTCATAACCCTATCATAGTTCTCATCATCAAAAAAGTCCCGACACCGAGGTGAAGATGCCCCCTCTCTCCGTCCTCTCATCCCTCTCATGCGACCTTCTTCTTCCGTCCACCCTTGCCCTTCTTCTTCGGCTCGACCTCCATCTCTTCGTCGCTCTCCGTGTCCGCCTTTGAGCGTCCGCCCCTCTTCTCTTCCTCGCCGACCTTAGCAGCGATGTCGGCCAAGAAGTCATACTGCCCGTCTGTTTCGATGACTTGCTTCAGCATTTGGGCCGTGACACGCTTAGAGTTCTTCTCTCGTGCAATCTCTGCGCTCTTGCTGACGACGGCGATCATGAACAGCTCCAGCGCCTTGCCCACGGCAATAGGAGTCTGTTGAGCCACCTTGCCGACTTCCTCATCGGCCTGCATGATGCGCTTTATCCTCGCTGTGGGGAACTTGGTCCTGACTGGTGAAGGATCAATAGGCGGCGGCGAAGGAGCCGACTGTGTGTTCTTCCTCGGAGGCATTGTGGCGGAGCCGGGTGTTTGTGGGAGTTGCTGGGAGTCCGGGTTATAGGGGATGTCGTAGAGATTGGGTGTGGCGGTCTGCTGCTTTTTTTCTAAAAATGGCTGGCTCTGGGGTGTTGGGGGCTGATATTGCAGCGAGTGCTGATCGTGATATTTCAAAGGTTGCTGCCCATACGGACCAGGACTTGTTGGTGGGGGTTGCTGCTGTTGCTGCTGCTGCTGCTGTTGCGGCGGCGGTGGCGGTTGGTGGTGGTACCTGGGCGACAGGTACTGCTGATGCGGTTGGTGGTGATGCTGGTGGTGCGGGTGGGTTCCAATTCCAGTTTGCAGCGGTGGCTGATAAGAGGAGTATTCGGATTTGAATGCCTCAGATGGCGGGTAGTGGGGTTGTTCTTGTTTGATGTTGTGTACAGCAGCAGGAGTTGAAGACGGCTGATGAGGTTGGTAGGCGCGCGACGGGGGCGACGAGTATTCATATACCAGCGGCGCAGGTCCTGGAGTTTGCAGTTTGCTCAGGTCCAGGTCCAGGTGCTGCTGGTGCTGGTGCTGGTGCTGGTGCTGGTACTGCTGAGGGTGGTGGTGCTGGTTCTGGTTGTGCTGCAGATTGTGCTGTGGAGGCGTTGGCGGGGCGGGTGCTGCCGAAAAAAAAGAAGAGAGGTCCGGCGATTTTGGAGCGTAGGTTGTGTCCTCGGCCATTTTTATTTATTTTCCACCCCTCTCCTCCAGCTGCTGGCCGTTGTTCTGGAAAAATTGGAACACCTTTTTTTTTTTTTTTTTTTTTTTTTTTTTTCCTCTCGTCCCTCGCTCTCGAGTGGAGGACGAATGACCGGGGACTCGGCTGCTTGATTTGGTGCAGCGACCAAGGATCCCTCCAAGGTTCCAGCAGGAATCCAGCGCCTATGGTTGCAGCGTGGTTAGCGGAGAAAGGATGATTAAGCGAGCCCAAGGAGCAGGGGTGATTTTTTTGGGACAACAAAAACCACCTGGGTCCCCCTTCTCGCTGCTCGCTCTGATTTTCCCTCTTTCTCTATGACTTGCGTTTTCTCAATGCAAACAATCTTGTGTGCGTGAGTGAGTGCTAGTCAAGGGGTGTCGTCCAGTCGCTCCGTGTTTCCCGGGGGAGGGCGGCGTGAGCCTGATTTAAACTTGGCTGCCGTGTGCGGTGTAGGCGTAGGCGTAGGCGTGCGTAGGTAGGTGTAGGCAGGCAAGCCGCAGGGTGATTGACAGCTCGTCCCAGCGTTACGTCTGCTGGGATGGGCAAGACGGGATGGAGTCTGTTGGACGCGGGGCTAATGCAGTGTCGCCTTGGTGGTGGCAGTGAACGAGGCTAGAAGGCAGCAAGATGCCGTAAACTCGACTCGCATATGGCATACAGGACAAGACGGGACAGAAATACACGTGTTGGTGATGTGAAATCCGCGAGTGTGAAGTGCGTGCAAGACAGCCTGAGCCAAGGTGATGGGCAGGGCTGAAGTACACGAGCAAGTCACCACCACAAGACCAGACAAGAGCCAGACGCAGACGCGTCCAGCAACAACTGCCAAGATACAAGTGGCTCACGTTACCCAACACGCAAACACAGAAGCAAGAGCACCTAGCCTCTCTTTCACGAAGAAGGCGGGCAACAGTGCGAAGCTCTTCAAGAGAAGAATGGCAATCCAGCCAGGAAGGCGGTAGCAGCGGTGGCAGCGGTGGCAACCAGCCGGAGCTGCAAGTCTGCAACTTCTGCCGTGCGGAACGCTGTTGCCTTCTCGGCCCAAGCTGGCGAAAGAGGCAACCTGTTGTGGAATTGGAAGGGAAGTCCAACTACACCAGGCGCGAATTCTCCAAGAAGGCAACCTTGCACCCCAATCAGCAGTTGAGCAAGATGCCGGTGGTAGGGCTGATGGGAACCAGGCAGCTTCCGAGGCGTAGCCGGACGCGTTGCGCCAACAACGAGGCTGTGGCTTGAAAGGCGTGGACTGTAGGATAGATGCTTCGTGCGAGACGAACACACACACGAACACAACTTCTCGATGGAACTAGAAGTCGTGTTTGGGCGTGAATGCTGAGTCAGGCAGGGTTTGGCGATATGACCCTTTCGGTGCGATAAGGTTTCGGTGTGAATGGCGAACCGGGATGCGACCTCGACCTTGACCTTCTGGGTTCGGGGGTTCAAGACGGAGGAGGCGGTGGGCGGTGGTGGGCGCGCAGGTGCGGTCAAGCAGTGCGGGGCAGCGGTATTCTCGGGAGGAGCTTCAAAAGCTGTGTCGATGTCCCTGCAGGGGGAGAAAAGAAGGGGAAATGGCGGGGCGGTAGAAATGGAAATGGAAATCCCAATGTAAGGTATTTTCGTCAGTGTCGCGGCAGGCAGACACAGTGAATGTAAATACACGCTCCGTGACTTTGATGAGGCCAATGACAGCAGGTGACAGATGCGGCCAGCAGGCGGGCCAGTGGCGGGTAATGTTCTGGTAATTGGGGTCGGTGTGAGTGTGGTGCGGTGTTCCTGAATTTTGCAAAATGCAGCTGGAGTCGTGGTAGGTAAAGTCACGGTAGCTGCGGCGGGGTCTCCTTTCACAAGACAAGGCCCGTGGATTCTGGCAGTGGGAATTCCCACCGTTTATATGCGCGTCGCGGGTCAGAGCTCTCACTCTTTGCCTTCCCCGTCCAATTCTCCAAAAACACGCCCGGGCAGGGGTCATGCTGCTCTCCTGATTGGACCAGGATCTCTCACAGTCATCCACGCTTTGCCGTTTCCCACCACCAACACTGAGGTGGGCTTCCAGGTTCCATTGTCAACACAGAACACTGCCTTTTAGCCACTCTCTACTTTACGGTCTACCTCGACGACTACCTACCTTAGCTTCCTCCAACTCACCAGTACCTGACCGACCGTGGGCTCTTGCTCTCGAGCTACCGTCTAGCTTCAAAGTGTCACTTTGCTCGGGCACTTTGGAGGGGGAAAAAATTCGAATTTTTCTCTGTGCGACTGTGATCGTCATCAACCGCCTTTCCTCTCCACGATCCAAAGCTCATCAGCTTTCTATCGCGCTCTCGTTTGCCTACCTCTCCCGTTGTACGGCACTTCGTTCGCGTCGCAGGCGTCAAGCTGGGCCTGGGCTGCACGTCACAACTTCGCCGCTGGCAGCCGCAGCTGTTCCTGGAAGCGCGAAGTAACCTCAAGCGGGCTGGAGAGGCGGCTGGCTAACACAGGCACACAGGTAGGCTGGCTGGCTGACTTTCTGGCCATCTATCGCATCTCAGCTTTGCGCCGTCCTCACACTTTGTCCCTGGCGACACAGATTTTTCCACCAGGCCCGCACAATCAGAGCCGACCGAAATCGAGGCAAATATTGAGGATTCTTTCTCTCGGAGTCTCGAGCCCTCGACTTCTGCATCAGCCTGACCTGCTTCATCTCGATGAGACACATCGTCAAACCCCGCGCCGTCCCTCTTCAATGCTGCCTGGAGCTGGCACCCTCCCTGCACCTCAGGCGCCGATGGCCCTTTTCGCCGCGCACCGTCATCCGTCATCAAGGGAACCCATCGTCCCAAGACCCAAATGGACTCTGCCTGTCGCAAGAGCGTCACCTTCGTCGAGTCCTGCCGCTGGCTACCTTACCTCAGTGTTATCCGCACCATCCATGACCTCACACCCGGGACCCACAACAGCTCCCTACCCGTCTGAGCTTTGCGACGGCCCTCCCGTCGCGAGTCGCACTTGTCCACGGCGGGGCTGGACCCGGCTGCAAGAACTTGTCCTCATCCCTCAACGCGTCTCTGCGAAATGTTTGTCGCGATCCCTCGACCGGAATCCCGCTACAACCGCTGCAATTTCCCCGTCGGCCGACGGCCCGGCATGCAGGAACACACTTCAATCATGCAGGTAATCAAACGAACAAAAAATTTCTATTGTTTGCGCCTCTGCACCCGCCCTTCTATTGGTCGTCATGAATGATGATAAAGATAGAGAAATTGCTGGAGACCAACCACAGGCCACGACTGCAGAAACCGAGTCTTCCAGCTCTGGTTTTGAGGTTGGCGCGCCTCGGTCCATGACGGTTTTTACTTGATCTAATCTGACTCGGACCGCAATCCGCCTCTCGACAGACGGCTTACTGGATATGTTGCCGTATGGCTGACGTTAATGTTCGCAGACCCTTCAGTCTCTTGTCTTCGGTACTTGACAGGAAGAGCGACACCACGGGCCACGCGTGAATGCCGCCATCCTCGCTGCGGCTGTCTACCTCGGTACACTTCACCAGCACCTTAATCAGGTCCCTGATGTCCGGCGCAAACACTTCCTCGGCCCCGTATGTGATGAAGAAGCCGCACGGCGGGCTGGCTTCCGCCCACACCCGTTGATCGACACACAATCCAGGCGACGCCGTTTGGTCCGCCTGCGCGCATCCGGCGTACTGCATCGCATATCTCCACAGCGTATCGCGGTTCAGGTAATCGCTTTCCGTGTTTTCGTGTTTGTTTGATATCAGCTTCGCCCACGGCGAGATTAACACGCAGAGACCCGGGGGCGGCGATTCGGACATTTGGCGGAGCGTTTGCTGTCTCTCCTCATCTGTGGCAGAATCGTCGCTCTTTTCCCTGAACGCCCTCGCCTCGTTCATGCGCCCTAGCTCCAGCAGCAGCGTCAACATCAACGTCCCTCCGGCCGAGTCCCCTGCCACAACCACCTTTCGCGGGTCACCAGCAATGGACAGCACGTGTTTGTAGCCCCTTAACGTCTCGTACACCTGTGTAGGGTACTTTTGATCCGGCACGAGCGTGTATTCGAGAGCAAAGATGGCCGGGTTCTGGTAGCCTGATTCGACGAGCAGCGCGTGCCACGACAGAAGAAACTCGAGGTAAAAGTAGGCAGAGCCCATTGCGAATCCGCCGCCGTGGGCATAGTAGACGACGACATCGGGCGCTTTCGACGCATCCTTGTTGATCCATATCCCCCGAAATCCATGGCGACCCTGTCGTCGAAAGTCAGTCGTGATATGCGATGCGTCGAGGGTACGAGAGCGACACTTACAGAGTGCTTGTACTCACTCCAGCTGACCGGTGCTCTGATGTACCCATGACGCAGCATGCGGAACCGTAGGAACGGCAGTGAGATGTATTTTGAGAAGAAGACCCTGCCGATGTTGGTGGGCAGGTTCGCGAAGGCGTAGCGCACGCATCGGATGACCAGGTCCTCGAACAGACTCGCCCGCTGCACGAAGGGCGACTGATCCTCGCGCCTCGTCAACAACCGCTCGCGGACCAACCCCGTAGGCAGCTCCACGAGGAGGAACGGGCACGTCTTCAGTGCTACCAACACCGTCTGGAAGAATCCGACGTTCCATAGCAGCTGCGGCACCAGGAAGATGACGAAGACCAGGCAGTCCAGCAGCGATACCGGTCCGAGTATCATGATGGGCTTCTTTGTGAGAGGGAGTTTTCTCTCTCTCTCTCGTGAAACCGTCCTCTGGATATCGTATTATAAGGTTTGTGGTCAATTGACTCTATCGAGCACTTGTACTGCCAAAATCGGGACGTCGAGCAATCATCAACGACGGGAGGTGATGTTGATTAGAGGAAGAATTGACTTCGGAAGTCATCTACTGGCAGGTCCTCTGAGGCAATTCCACCCCCCACACCCCATTCCATCCCTTCGCCGCCGGGTGGGCAGGCAGCTTCGTCGTTGGCGTTAGGTTGGCGGGTTGCTAAGGTAAGATTAGATAGCACGAAAGGGAAACTACCTCAAGGTTTGTGACGTCTTCGAAGCCCGTGCCTGACGGTACCTTAGCTTTTTTAGTATTTGGCATCTGTGCCGGCGGGTGCGGGTGGGAACAGCGGGAAAGAAAAAAAAGAGGAAGCCAAGGAAAGAGAGACAAGCCCGAGCTTGGCTATCTTAGGTAAGATCCCCATGGCGTTTGTTGAGTGAGCTGCATTCCCTCAGGAACGATGGGACCCTCTTCCTCCTCTCACATGCATTTCGAAAAGGTAGCTGAGCTGGTTGAGGCTGCTGCACCTTGCGTATGTGTGAGAGACGAGAGGTATCCTCCTAGTACTATCTCCCTTGCTCAGGTAATCCGAGCTTGTCGAAAAGCTATCCGAGTACGGCAAGGTACTGACTGTGCCGCGTCAATGCCATCAGTTACCTGTTTGAGTCAATATGTGTGTGCCTGCTCTCGAAAAATAGCTTGTGATTTCACCACGACGAGCACACACTTTCTGAATCGCAATAGACATTATTAAGGTGTTTTTTCTTATTGAATGATATCCACAACTTCGTACAAAAACCGGTGCAGATGGAAACCCAAATGAAAAACAAGAAAAAAGACCAACAACCCTTAAAGCCGTACCCGTATGCTCGCTATCCGTAAAGCTGCAAACGCCGAAAAAATAGACCGTTGTCGCGCGCGGATATCGAAAGGTCGCGCCGTGATTGAACTAGAGAGCTGGGAAGAGGAAGATGGACGATGGCATCCCTACCAGCCTATCCGCGTGCCTTCTCCCTATAATGTTCCTCTTCGCGCGGCCGCAATCGAGAACACCAAGACGCCTCCGTCGCACGTACTCACACATCACGCCGCCCGCCCCAGCCGTCCCCTAAATGCATGACTACCCAAGCAACTCCGGATCCAGGGACTACCGCTTGCGCAGCTTCCAGTGGTCCTTGATGCTCTTGGCCGCCTCGGCGAGGTCCTTCTCCGTGACGCGGTCCTCGATGCTCTCCATGACGCTCTTAATCGTCGAAATGTGATTCGCCTCGGACTTGTCGTCGCGGAACCGGATGATGCGCCACCTGCCCAGGTCGTCCTTGTGGCACTCGACGATGCGGTCGTTGAGGGGGTCCCCGAGGCCCTTGAGCGTCTCCCACTCGTCCTCGGTGATGTGGACGTCGGCGAAGTACTGGTAGCGGCCCTCGCCCATGAAGCTCCACAGCTCGGAGCGGGGGACGCTCTCGTAGTCGACGTAGGGTTCGGTGAAGTCGTCAAAGTTCTCGTCGGGCTGGACGGTCGGGAAGTGCAGGCGGAGACGGCAGTCGACCGTGTTCTCTTCGGGGGGCTTCCACTTGAGGATGTGGGGGTCGGTGCCGTGCTTGTAGTCGGAGGAGACGCAGGTGAAGATGAGGCCGTCGTTGCCGTGGCGGAGCTTGGGGAGGATCTCGCGGAACATCATCTCGATGCCGTAGCTGAGCTGCATCGACTTCATCTGCACGAGGAAGGGCTGGAAGTCCTTCTCCTCGGGGTACTGCTTGAACAAGTCCCTGTAAGGCTTGTAGATATTCTCCTGGAAGTAGGCGAGGCGCTTGTCGAGCGTGCGCGACATGAGGTCCTGGCCGTCGAGCACGAGGCAGTCGAAGACGAGGAAGCGGGGCTCCTTCTGGCCGTTGTCGACCGCGTCCATGACCAGCTCGCCGTCTATGAGAGTGCGTGTGTGGAACTTGGAGACGTCATCCTTGCGCGGGAAGTGGAAGCTGCTGTTCTTGATGAACCAGTAGTCGTTTTTGCGGTCGATGAGGTAGTGGATCTCGCGGCCGTCGTCTTCGGTCAGGTACAAGAGGTACCGGATGCCGTCCGACTTCTCGCATACGTAGTAACTGTAGATAACGCAGCCGGGGTCAGCAAAGCCTATCCTGGCTTCAATATGCTACGTCGTGCATGTCGAAAACCGGCGGGCGGGGGCGGGGGGCGGAGGAACTCACTCTTTGTTGCGGAGCTCGTCGAGGTGTTTGCGCGCGAAGCTGACTGGTTGCGCGCCTGGGAAGCTCGTTTGGTTGCGATGCAACAGATTGGCGACCTCGCGGCGCAGGTCGAAGAGCAGCGGCCCTTCGGCCCTGATGCCGGGTTCTGCGATCGAGGCAATTGGGCCCTCGGGGGGCGGACCCTGTGCGCCGTCCATCGTCTTGTGTCGGATGTTCGTGTTGCGCAAAGGAGAGAAAGTACGAGTTGGTCCGGTCTAGCCTCGCGACGAAAAGTCTCGGAGCTTTATCGGATGCTTATCGATAAGCGATAACGCGGGGTGCAGTGACCTTCCACGTCCGAAGCAGTCAACCTCAGTGCATTTGAATTGACCATAAGGCGGACGATTCTCAGTTGGTGGTGCAAGGAAGAAAAATAAGAGAACAGGTGATTTTCCCGCTAGCGAGAGGCGGCCAGTTAGCTGTACCTTGAGGGTATCGCCATGAAAACTTCACCGCTTAGACTTTGCTTGCATGGTGTTTAGAGGTTCCTGCGTTTGACTGTATACGCATTAGAAGGGTATATACTTGGACATGATGGGGTATAAAAATATGGCTAAAAGCGGGTGGCATTAAATAGTGTATAGCATAAACGATACAATGAGGCCAATTAGCAACTCATGGAACATCATCAGAGATTTCATGTAAAGCAAGTAAGCTTACATACGATACATCCTCAGATGTCAATCACAGGCGATGGGAGGAAGACAGCAGTCGCAAATCTCTGAACTAATCTGATTATTCTGTTGGCTACCTATTCAATGGCTTTTACGAACGGCAGGCCCTCGTAAACGCCAGTTGACCATCGTCATTTCGTCAATTGACGAAGATTCCCCAACCAAGCCTCAGTATCAACGCCTCATCGAATTATAGGAGCAGCAATAGGTCTGAAGCCACAGCTGCTGTGATATCCACGCGCAAAACCAACGTCCGTTCTCAACCGTGCCTAACTCTCGTCAATCTTGCCGACCTCGGCCTTGGCATCTTCCCAAGTCTCCTTGTTCTTCTTCGCCCACTCAATTTGACTCTTGGCGTACGCCAGCTATTGTCATGTTAGCCCCTGTCATGAGCGAAATCCGATAAACTCACCATGTAGCGGCGCAAATCCTCTTCCTTCTCGTCTTGGAATCTCTTCAGGTCTTTGAGGATGCTTGCACTGGCCTCCTTAACGTCGTGCTCGGAAACCACCTTCGCCTGCTCCAACTGCTCAATACTCTCTCTCGTCTTTCCAATCATGTCGCGGCGGGTCCTCTCGGGGTCGACGTCTGCTACCCCTTGAATAGCGTGACGGATCGGTCCGAAAATCTTGTTCGTTATCGAGTTGCTGCTAGCGGCCTTCTTATGACCTGGCGTAGAGTTGCTTCTCTGGGGAACTCCCTGGCTCGCGGACGGCGCCGGCTCTCCATGAGTGGGCGGGAAATCGGAATCGATCGAAGCTGTATCTTCGGCGCTACCCTCGCGTTGATGATGCGAGTTTCCAGTCTCTCTCAGGCTGGTGGATCGCTTCGGCGGGGGTGTAATCTGCTGACTGCTGCTGAGGTACTGCTCGATGCGCTTGGCCTCCTGTTCGCTCCGCTCCAACTGGTCAAGCAGTGCAATCTTCTTATTGAGTTCATCGCTCGTCTGCTCTTGCTGCACGCGCTTCAGAACCCGATACTTCAGTACGCTGCGGACAACACCCGCGAACTGCGCATTCTCGCGCATGGGCTCGGCAAAGCTTGCGCCAAGAGATCCAGACAGCTCTTCTGTCGCAATGTAAGACGAGTCCGCCGCTTGTCCTACTCTCTCAAGCGCGGGGCCCAGCGACGGAGCCTGCTCTGACAGCGCAAACGCATTAAACTTTGAACCCAGCTCGCAGAGGTCCGCAGCGAGGACTGAAAGATGGCTCAGTGTCCGGCGGTTGACCTTCTCCATAGATCCAGACAAGAGCTGCTCCAGCTCCTTAATCGAGGCTTCGTATGTAATGAAGTATGGGTCGAGTTCTTGTTCGCTGAGGGTGTGACTGTCGGGCGGGAAACGACCGAAGACGTGAGAGCCTGTGCCGGCAACTGCATTGGGGTCGACACCCGGCCCACCGGTCGTCCTCAGCTTCGCCGAACTGGCTGGGACGGGAAGAAAGGCGTGAGCTGGTGTCGGGTTTGCAGGGTCCAGAGGGGGTGCCTTCAGGACGGACTTAGGGACCGAGGCTACCGGATGGGAATGCAGGACCTCACTCTGCGATATGATCAGTAAGAGGTCAGTTCATGAGACAGGCAGACCTACCCAGCTAGCATTGGGGTCCAAGAATCTCCACCAGACGCCGTCAGTCCGGACTTCATCCATGCGCCGACAGCGGTTCAGGAACACGGCGAGCATGCGCTTCCGCAGATCGATAATCTGCTGGTCTTGCTTCGCGTTCGTCGGGTTCGCAGCGTAGTCGGCCATCGTGTGCTTCTCGGGAATGGGGGGTATGATCAAGGTAGGGTGTAGACGGGTGAGCGCCTCTCGCAGGGAAGCGAACTCTGAGTATCGTCGGCGAACCTCGAGATTCTGAAGCACCGTCAGCAAACGAACTCCTCAAACGCAATTCCGGCGCGCTTACTCCAGTGCGGATGGTATAGACGATGTATCTACCACCGCTCTCCGCGCTCTTTCCTGCATCAGTAATGAGGATAGGCATGGATGGGTTCTCGTAGAGAATCTGCTCGACTCGACTCTCGTAGCCACCGGGCTTCGGGCGGGGGACGAGGTCGCCTATGTCTCTAGCAACAGGCTCATTGTCGCTGCTCTCGACCTCGCTGTCGTCTTGGATGTGGGCGCGATTCTGGGGAGCCTCGTCGCTGGTGGTCGACGGGGTCTGCGGGATGTCGAATCGCTGGTCTATATTCTCCCAGTCGTCATCAGCACTGTCTGAAGAATCATCCAGATCTATCTCCATCATCATGTTGAGAATCTTCCTGGTCGCCTGAGGTTGTATTGAAGAAGGGATCACAACATACACTCACGAGAGGTAGGAGAAGCTGGGTTGGCTGAAGAGGAAGTCAGGCTGTCCCGCCTATCGAAGCTGGTCCCATAGGGATTGTTGTCCTCGTCATTCCACATGATGATGGCCGTATGCTGAGGAAGGCGTCAAACAAAGCTATAGGCTGTCGTTCAATCGCGCGAAAGGGTTTGCGGTCTCAGTTAGGCGGCGCGCCGGGGGGATGCGCAGCTGAGCCGGGAGTAGCGGGGGAGGGGTGCTGAGGCAGATGTTGGCATGCGACAATCGACAATGGAGCGGTAAGTGGTATTGAAGTCCGATGGAAATAAATTGGCAGTAGCGATAAAAGGCTCTGAACTGCTCCAGGAGCTGATCAGGTTGATGTGCGGACAACAGGCTTGGTTGGGCGTGGGAAGAGGTGATCGGGACTGAGAGGTTGGACTAAGGTAGGTAAGCTCCCAGGCCCCAGGGTGCAGCAAGTGCAAGTGCAAGTGCAAGTGCCTTTCCGGCCGGAGAAGCAGGCGGGCAATGACGAAGCCACCTCCTGGGGCCTGCTCTGGGCCTTACGCCGGACAAGGAAAGGTGTGTCCAGAGCATCTGCTCAGGTCCCTCACTTGTGCACGGGCCAGGGTGACACACCACATCACTTACCCCTGCTTTTCAGCACCCGCCATGCACCTGTTTTTGTTCTGGAATCATGCACATCTCGGCACATTTGTGAATTATGAAGGTACGGCACGCATATTGTCAAGGGGAAGCTTTGTTTGCATTGGCCTGTGTTGATTACATCCCTGCGGATCATCTGCCGCCATAACCTGCCACTGTCATCTGGTGCTTGTGTGGATCTGAGAACTGCTGAAAACTCAATCAATGGATTGTCTTCTTCCCAGTTATCCCTCCAACATCCATATTGAGATGAATCCAGATGGATAACATATTTCCCATGCTTCCTGTTTATCAAACCCCAAAGGCTCTTGAAATAACAAGTCTTCTCAGCGCTATTCAACCCTTCCACGACCGGTTGCGACGAAGCTGTTCTGGCGCATATCGACCACCGCCTTGATGGATTGGCCTGGGCGGAGATGGAGGCGGCATATCGATGTCCGATTCATGATCAATTCCAGCGTCACCAAGATTTGATGCTTCAGATCTAAGTTCAGTTAGTCTCCTGCCATGTCACTGAAGTAGAGTCTGCCACACCTGTACTCTTGAGCTCTCCGCGAAGCTTCTCTCTGATGATGAGCATGCTCATCATTCATTTCGCCCTTGGGATAGCTCAGATCACCCGTGGACAGCCTTCCTACCGTCTCAACCGTACGAAGCGTCACTTCCAAGGGCTCTCTTTGACGCTTTCTTGCTTCCTGTGGGCTCTCGGCCTGGACCTTGCGTTTCGCTTTCTTGTCGTGTTGATTCTGTCTGATGATGAGGTTAGATGGGTACTCAGACTCGATTTGGCGTCACTTACTTTGGAGTGTTGCGCGGACTTCTCTCCACGGCCATGGATGATGTTACGGGACGGCTGACGTTGAAAGGCTCAGAAGTTCTGGGTTATCGTAAGCGTATGCCGAAAGCCCGGGGTAATTCCTCCATACTTCGCGGTCTCTCCAGCTTGCGTTTGCTTGCGTGGGCTGTCCTCCTTAACCGCCAGTGCAGGTTTGCTTGTCTTCTTGAGGGCGCTGGCATCTATCAGTTCCTGAACTCCTTTTCAATGTGTCGATTCATACCTGCGTATTGGCTTGATATTGCGCGGGCTGTGGCGAATCTCTTCATCAAGGCAGTCTTGGCTGTGATGTCCAACTGCCAGACCATCCTTCATCGTATCGAGCGTTGCTTTCTCCTTTCCCTTTCTTGTCGTGGTCGTTTCCTTGATTTCTACACCTTCGACCAAGTCTCCTTGAACTGCTGTGGCGGAATTTCGTTCCTTTTGCCTGGAAGGGCCGTCTATCCTCTCCGTAGGTGCAACAAAGTCGTCGCTGCGTACGGTGGCCATGGCAGGGGAAGCAACGTTCTGTTCCGCTTGCGACGTATGAGACTTGATCTTGGCCTCTCGTGCCACTGGGGAAGGAGGAGTGCTGATGGATGTCAATGAGACTCTGGATCTTTCGTAACCTTGCGCACGAGTTGAAGAGGAATTGGAAATCGATTCATCATCCGAGCTTGCGATGGTCGACGCTCTTCCGACAGGCGCGTTGAACATGCTGAAAAGCCTGCGGGCAAGTGAAGGTCGTCCGCTGGCTGCAGGCTGAGGTCGCTGATGCCCTCGGGAATTCGTCCAACGATGGTTCTGCGGCTGGTTATGAGAAGCCGCTTGCGGGTGTTGGTGTTGGCCGTTGACGGGACACAGAGGAACGGCAAAGTTTCCGTAGGCTTGATGCTGGTACTGAGCGGCCGCCTGGGACGGCACATGATAGTACTGATGAGGCGGGTAGGCCACTGGGTAGATTGGCTGCGGTGCCATAGGCATCGGCATCGGCGGCGGTACTTGGACCGGCACGGGCGGAGGAGGGGGTGGCGGCAGTTGCAAGAAGGTTGGGCGTGTAATCATGAGCTGCGGCGGCTGTTGAAAGACTGGTAGCCCATAATGTCTGAATGGAATTGACGGTTGAGTGACGACAGAGCTGGTCCGACTGTTGATCTGCCGAGACCGACGGCGCCGGCGACCCCTTCGGACCAGAACAAGGTCCTTCTCTGTCCAGTCCTCTTTCTTCTTCTTCGATCTCAGAAAGAACCATAGCGCGAATGCGAGGGCGACGAAGACCACAATGATGCAGACAAGGATACCTGCCTGTTGAGCTTCCGTAAGACATCCCCAACCGGAGCACTGAGGGCTTGAATCTGGCGATACTGGAGGCAGCGGTCCGCTAGGTTCCTCGGCTTGTCGTACTATCAACGTGACCCTCCGCGTAGATGGTATGCTACTTGGTGTCGTAGAAATAGCCCCGATTCTCGTGGTGGGTGGCATGATGAAGTCTATCTCACATCGTCGAGGTGATGAGTGGTGGAATGAGTTGCTGAGATGGAGGGTTGCTGTAGCTGGTTCTGACTATAGTGAGAAGTTGATGTGAGAAAAAAATGAGATTTGAATCCCAGGAAGAAAACAAACGTATAATTTGAAGGGACCAGAAGGCATTGGTGTTCGCAGCTGCCCAAATGGCATTCTTTTCAATTAGTTTTTCATTTACAAACAAACCAAAAAATCAGACATAAAATAACACAACATCACCATCAAGTCAAATTTTCCATATTGACATACAATTGAACCCCAAGAGCTTTATAAATGCAGGATTCTTCAGGAATTATTTCAGTTTCTCTATGTTGGGCCTGGATAGGAAGGAAGACAGCTGCTTCACGGGTCGTGAGGGTGTGTAAGTGAGCCACTGATGTCCTGAGTACTTCAGATTACGCAAGAGATACGCATTACAAGAGGTTCCCGCTACTTACGACCTCTCATCCAACCAACGTAGAGCTACCCGGTGAACAGCTCGGTGAATGCTGCAGGAGCGACCCACTAGCGCTTCTTTTGGACCCACCTGGGCAAGGCCAACGCGACTGAGCGATCCTTTCCTCAGCCTCATCCAAGCTGCCCCCGAACTTTTTAATCGCTTGTTTCTACTATCCTCTCCATCACCAAATCCATCCGAGGCATGTCATAGCCTCTCATCCGCCAACATGTCAGCCCTCCGGAACGGCGCGATGAACGGGGCCAATGGCGCGACGAGTGCGCCGGTCAGCAAACGGTTCTCTGACATCCCAGCTGCCATCGACGTCCCGGTTCAAGGCGAAGCCGAGGACGAGGCCGTCGAAATCGACCTTCTCGAGCTCTTCGACGACCCGACCGAACTCTGCACCCTTTTCGAAAATGAGCGCGCTGCTCGCACCTACTGGATGACCGTCTCGCTGGCCTATGCCAAACAGAAGAAGATTGACCATGCTATCGAAATGCTGGTTCGCGGAGGAAACGCGATGCGCGACAACAGCCCTAGAGAGAAGTTGAGCATGATTGGATGTCTCTGCTGGATGTATCTTTGGAAGAGTCGTGAGGCTCCGCGCCTGCCACCCGACGGCGAATTGGCCTCCGAGGCCAAGACGAAGGAATACTACCTCCAACTCGCGACGTCGACGCTTAACGATGCGTCCCGAATCAACCCGGCGTTCCCTCCCCTATTCCTGGCTCGCGGAGTTCTCCAGCTGCTCCGAGCATCACTTCAGACACCAAAGCCGGCAGGTCCTGGGCAGGTCGATTCCGAAAAGGCAGACCTTCTGCGGTCGGCGCTCAAGTCCTTCGAGGATGCCATCCGAGTGTCACAGGGCAAGAACATGTTGGCAGTCATGGGCAAGGCGAGGACATTCTTCTCCCTTGGAAAGTACCCCGAATCATTGGCGTGCTACCAGGAAGTTCTGCAGAAAATGCCTGATTTTGTTGACCCCGACCCGAGAATCGGCATTGGATGCTGCTTCTGGTCACTCGGCTTCAAGGACGACGCGAAGCTGGCCTGGGAGCGATGTCTCGAAATCAACCCGGACCACAAAGTCGGCAACATTCTTCTCGGTCTCTACTACCTCGACGCGAGTGGTCATATTCCCACGAACAGCCCCGAGTTCCTCCGTCTCTACAAGAAGGCCATGACCGAGTACACACAGAAGTCGTTCAAGCTCGACAAGAACATGCCCCTCACATGCGCGACCTTCGCAGGTTATTTCTTGTCTCGCAAACAACTCCCCACAGTTGATTCGCTCGCACACAAGGCCATTCAGTATACGGATGTTAACGCGATTGCCAGTGATGGATGGTATTTGCTGGCTCGAAAGGAGCATCACGCAGGCGATCCGGACCGCGCAAGTGACTTCTACCGCCGGGCTGACGACGCTCGTGGTGGATCCGAACGTGGGTACCTGCCTGCCAAGTTTGGTGCTGCTCAGCTGGCTGTCCTCAGGGGCGATCTGGGAGAGGCAAAGCTGCGTTTGGAGAAGATCATTCAACAGTCTAAGAACCACGAAGCTATGATCTTGCTTGGTACTCTATACGCCGAGGAAGTCTTTGCCAATCAGGACGCGGACGGCAAGGAGGACAAGTCGGCCGAGATGAAGAAGGCTATCGGGCTTCTCGAGGGAGTACGCGGCGCATGGAAGGATTCCAAGAAGAGTACATCGCCTGACGCGGCAGTCCTTCTCAACCTTGCTCGCTTGTACGAAATTGAGTACCCGGACAAGGCTCAGCAGTGTCTTCTCCAGGTTGAGCAACTCGAACTTGACCAAATTCCTGAGGAAGATCACCCGACAGACATCACTGATGCGGCTGAAAAGCGCGCTGCTCTTCGGAAGTTCTTGCCGCCGCAGCTCCTGAACAACATTGGCTGTTTTTACTCTCAATCGGAGAAGCACGAACAGGCCAGCGAGATGTTTGAAGCTGCTCTTGGTGCTTGTATGAAGATTGGCGAAAAGGATGCGGAAATTGACACTGATGCGTTGGTCACTACCATCAGCTTTAATCTCGGCCGAAGCTACGAATCTCGCGGTCTTCTTGACGAGGCGATTGAAGTCTACGAGGGCCTTCTCAAACGCCATGACGACTACACCGACGCCAGGACAAGACTGGCATATATCAAGCTCAGAAAGAACCCCAACAAAGAAGGACCGGACGCCGTGGCCAAGCTGTACCAGGAGAACCCGCAAGACCTTGAAGTCCGTGCTCTGTACGGTTGGTACATGGGCAAGGTGCACTCGCGAAAGCGCCCCCAAAACATCAACGAGGACCACGAATTCCGTCACTACAAACACACTCTGCAGAACTACGACAAGCACGATCGCTATGCCCTGGTCGGGATGGGCAACTTGTATTTGATCCAAGCCCGAGAGATGCGCCGTGAGACGGAGAGCGACAGAGCCAAGCGGAGCGCCACGTACAGCAAGGCAGTCGAGTTCTTTGAAAAGGCGTTATCGCTGGACCCCAGAAACGCTCATGCCGCTCAAGGTGTGGCCATCGCGTTGGTCGAGGACAAGAAGGACTACAAGACGGCTCTCGGCATCTTCGTCAAGATCAGGGATACCATCAAGGATGCTCACGTTTACGTGAACCTTGGTCACATCTACGCCGAGTTGAGGCAGTGGACGAAGGCTATCGAAAACTACGAGACTGCGTTGTCGAAGGAGGGCAAGGCTAATGACCCGGTCATCCTCGCCTGCTTGGGTCGCACATGGCTCAACAAGGGCCGTTCTGAGCGTGACTCGGATGCATACCGACATTCTCTCGAGTATGCTAAGAAGGTAAACAACGTCCATCCCCCGATATTCGGGTTATTGTGCTAACTTCCTACTACTAGGCACTTGAAGCCGCTCCTGAGCAGGTACACTACAAGTTCAATGTTGCTTTCGTGCAGATCCAGATGGCGACCATGGTTTATGCGTTAAACGAGAACCAGCGCACGACGGCGCAGCTCCAGGACGCTGCTGCCGGGCTGGAGAGTGCGATCTCGGCTTTGGATGAGATTGCTGCCCATCCGCAAACTCCCTACCCCAAGCATGACGTTGAACAGCGTGCCAACATGGCCCGCAACACTCAGCGCAAGCAACTCGAGAGAGCCATCGCCAGTCAAAAGGAATACGAGGAGAAGAACAAGGAGAAGCTTCAGGCCGCCCTAGAACAGCGTCAGCTCGAGCTCCGCAAGCGCGAAGAGGAGCGTCAAAAAGCCCTCGAGAAGGAGCGTGAGAGGCAAGACAAGATCAAGAGAGAGCGAGAGGAGATTGCGGCAAGGGACAGAGAAATTGCCGAGCGTCGCGCCGAAGAGGAAAAAGCCCGTCAAGAAGCCGAGATGACGACTGACGAGGAGACGGGCGAGAAAATTAAGCGGAAGAAGAAGACGGCGCCCCGAGGTGACGGCGAACCCCGTTCGAAGAGGGGATCTCGCAAGAAGAAGGCCGATTCCGATGGCGAGGAGTCAGGAGAGGAGCGGCCTACGAAGAAGAAGCGCCGCCTTACCAAGAAGGAGTCGGTCAGCAACAACAAGTACAAGTCTGCCGAAATTGTCGTGGACAGCGACGATGACGACGACGACGAAGACCCTCTCGAGCGTGCCGAAAGGGCTCTCGAAAAGGCTAGCTCACCACTGTCCGACGCCGGAGACAAGAATGGAGATGACGACCAGATGGACGTGGACAACAAAGACGACGAGGATGAAGACGACGATGCCGGTGTCAGCAGACGGCAGCAGAGTTCACGGTCCAGAAGGGGCAGGGTCATCGAGAGTGACGAGGAAGACGAAGATAATGAGGGCCCTACTACAAAGAACGGCGTGGACGCAAACTCAGACGACGAGGACGGTGGTAAGACGCGTACAGCCGCAGATACCAGCATGGCAGACGACGATGACGAAGAGTAGAGGCTAGCAACCCCGCAACTGGACTTAGATATACCAGAGGGGAGAAAATGGAATGGCCAACGACGTCGTTGGGTGGTCGTGATCTTACAAAAGCGTCTGCGTCTCTTTCTCAGGGTGTGTAGTATAGGTACGATAGGATGGATAGGAATTATACAAAATGGCACACGAAGAGTAAAGAAGCACGCGAGAACGCCCTCTCGCAAGCTATCAAGAGGTTCTCGTCGATCGGGGACGGCATACCTCATACTAGGTGTCGACGTCGGCATTTACCCCGCGGGGCTCAGCGGCGCGACGGGCAAACCGACCCCAATTACAGCGATCAACCCCGCGCTCCAGATCGCTGGAATACGTCGTAACGGGTTTAAGCGGGAAATTTAAGCGACAGAATTAAGCGACAGGCCAAGGTCTCCGTCTACCGACAAGCTTCCACTACACAGAGCCTACGTGGAATTATCCGTAACGGAGTGCCTACGCTGACGGGCTTCGCGGACAACGAGACGTTCATCGTTGCAAGGTCGGACGAGTAACGGGAACCTTGGGTCGGAGAAACTCCGCAAGCGGTTTAGTCAAAGTACGACTCATCAGGGAATCGTGGTTGAAACTGGGAGCGCGGTTCTCCAATTCCCCAGTGTCTCCCTCCCTCCCCCGCGGGGAGTGGGTCGATATCGAGGGCGTCACGCAGCAAAACCACGACTCAGAGTGGCAATCTTGAGCACTTATTCTCGGCTCAAGGTTCGCGGCATGTCATCAGATGGACACGGATTTAGGTACGGGCTTGATGGGGGTGTTCGCGACCGCCTTGGGTGACTGGTGTGTGCAGATCCGCAATTCAGCGAAAGTATGCCCGGCCATTTTATCCGCATGTCGATGTTGGTGGTGGTGGTGGTGTTTTGTGGTTTCTCCCAGGCGTTCCAGCGAGAATTGACCTCGAGGATGGCCGTCTTCATTGGCTGGCCCTGTTGGCCGACTCTCCGCGCACGTCGGGTCCTGGCCGCTGCCCTGCCCTGTGGCCCGGTAGTGCGCACCGCCCACCTCCTAGGTCTCCCACCGCACCTCCACCACGCATCTTCTTTCCGATAATAAGTCCAGCAATGTCCATGACTGCCGCATCCGGCGCTTGCATGCACCGGCCTGCGATCGAATGGGCGATCATCCGCCCCGAACCCACACACGACGTTTCGTGTCCCGCCCCGGGTCGTGGTTTTTATTCCTGGGGGAGCTGTCGGGGCTAGCTCCACGCGGGATGGGTCGACCTGGAGGTTATTTAAGAGGACGAAGCTCCGGGCCATAGCTCTTCGTCTCTTCTTCTCCGCTGCTCTTGTCGTACATCCATACCGTGCCTCCGCGTTGTCTTTGGCTTCTTCTTCCGCCTTATACCTCTTTGACTTACACCATCATCAGAAGCTTGCGTATTCATCATGGGTTCAGTGACCGCCGCCAAGGGTGGCAGGGCGTGGTGGAAAGATGCCGTCATCTACCAAATCTACCCGGCCAGCTTTAAAGATGCCAACGGAGACGGCCTCGGCGATGTACCCGGTATCATCAGCAAGGTCGATTATCTGAAGGATCTGGGCATCGATGTCGTATGGGTTTCGCCCATGTACGCGAGTCCGCAGGTCGACATGGGTTATGACATCTCCGATTATCAAGACGTCCACCGTCCATATGGCACCGTTCGCGATATGGAGGTTCTGATCGAGGAGTGCCATAAACGAGGAATGAAGTTGATCCTGGATCTAGTGGTTAACCACACGTCAGACGAGCATCCTTGGTTCAAGGAGTCCAGGTCGTCGAAAGACAACCCTAAGAGGGACTGGTATATCTGGCGACCTCCTCGCATTGCCGAAGACGGCACGCGTATGCCACCCACGAACTGGCGAAGTCACTTCAGCGGTAGCACTTGGGAGTGGGACGAGGCCACGGGCGAGTACTACCTCCACCTCTTCGCCAAGGAACAACCAGACCTCAACTGGGAGAACCCCGAGACGCGCGAGGCCATCTACGAAAATGCCATGCGCTTCTGGCTCGACAAGGGCGTCGACGGCTTCCGCATCGACACAGTCAACATGTACAGCAAGGGCGTCGAGTACAGGGACGCGCCCATCGTCAACAAGAACGCCTTCGAACAGCCCGCCTTCATGATCTACTGCAACGGCCCCAGGATACACGAATTCTTGAGGGAGATGAACAACAAGGTCCTCAACCACTATGACACCGTCACCGTGGGCGAGCTCCCACACACGCCCGACCCGCAGCACGTCCTCAAGTTCATCAGCGCCAGCGACAGACAGCTCGACATGGTCTTCCAGTTCGACATTGTAGACATTGGTCAGGGCAAGAGTTATAAGTACCAGGGCGTCGACTGGAAGCTGCCGGAGATGAAGGAAATCGTTGCCAAGTGGCAGCAGTTCATCGAGGGGACAGACGGCTGGACAACGGCGTTTTGTGAGAATCACGACCAGGGGCGCTCCGTGTCCCGTTTCGGAAACGACTCGCCCGAATGGAGAGAGCTCTCGGCCAAAATGCTGGCGTTGATGATGTGCTCGATGACGGGAACGCTATTCGTGTACCAGGGTCAGGAGATTGGCATGATCAACGTCCCCCGCGATTGGCCAATCGAAGACTACAAGGACATCGAGAGCCAGAACTACTACGCCGACATCAAGCGCGAGCACGGCGAGGGTAAGTTCCTCGACTACATTATGGACAGCATCAACAAGCTCGGCCGCGACAACGCGCGCGTCCCGATGCAGTGGGATGACTCGCCGAACGCGGGCTTCACGGACAACAAGGACGGGGCGTGGATGCGCATCCACGAGATCTATCCCGAGATCAACGTCGCGAAGCAGGAGAAGGAGCCGAGGTCGGTCTTGAACTTCTGGCGGGAGATGTTGAGGCTGCGAAAGGAAGAGGGCGAGCTGCTTACGCATGGCGCGTTCGAGTTGTTTGAAGAGGAGAACGAGCAGACATTTGTGTTCAAGAAGTCGAGGGGCGGCAGGGCTGCCGTGGTGGCTTTGAACTTCACGAGCGAGGAGCAGGAGGTGAGGATCCCCGGAGAGGGGTTGAAGATCAGAGTTGGAAACTACGAGGACGTTAGAGAGAGAGTTGCAGCCGAGGGAGAGAAGCGAGTCCTGAGACCATGGGAGGGACGATTATACCTGGAGGGTTGAGATCTAGAGGATGCATGGTACAGATGTCTTGATGTTGCATCAATAGACAGAGTATTAATATCTACGAATTTCAGGTTTATTGGGTTGTCTGTTTCCCCTATTTCTCTTTGGTATGAAGTGGCTGAAGTGGCTGACGAGATGTTTAAGCTTCAACTCGTCTAGCTGGCTTTTTTGCCAACTCCTACTCTACATGCTTTCATCATGTTGAATTTCTTGCTGCCAAGTGGCACCTGATACGTTTCTTCCCATCAGTCCCCTCACATGGCCTCGCCATCATCACAGTGGTTATCTCTTTATCAGCATGCTTCTTTCTAGGGTCCTGCAGGGTTCCTTGCCCATCTTAGTCTTTCCCCGGCATCTAGCCGAGAGATGGAATTGGCAATTGGGGATCTAGACCACACAGCGTTTGGAGAAAAGATCTCCAATTTCGTCCGACCCCTCAATACCTATCCTCTGACGTACTCCTCAGAACTACATCGAGATGGAAAACAGGAGGGCAAAGCGCAAACCCCTCAAACCCTATATATCATTCAGCCAACCAGCCTGAAAGAGCACATCATTCTTAGAGGCTCAGACATTTGCTTAATGGCGTGTGTTGTCACGGCTGGAAGTCCAGTTGGTGCTCATCCAGCTGAATTTCCGTTGTCTCTGCTCTTTCACAAACGTGGTGCCCTCATCAGAGCACATAGCCGCATCATCCAAAGAGTCCTTAGACAGCAACAACGGAAGTCTGTAGAAGACTAATGGAATGGAAGAGTTCAGACTGCTGCACCAGCGGCGAGCCCAATGCTGTAAGCCATGCGGTAGGAAGCGGTCAAGCACAGAAGGAAGAACAGACGGTTCAAGCGTCCCAAGCTTAGAAGCTCCCCTCCTGCCCACGAAACATCTCTCGGCCTTATTAAGGTAATCTTTTGCTGGGACGTTCCGTCCGCGCCGACCTCCCCTCCTTGGCTACACACCAGACATTTCAAGAGCTCTGCGATTACGGAAGGCGCAGCTCATAGGCTGTTTTCTTCCCCTTCGCAAGCAAGGTTCTGATTTCTTCAACTTCATCTTCACCAAGCAAGGCTTCTCAACATTCTACCCATCGAATTCTTAGGTCGACGAAGCAGTCGCGCCGAGCTCAATCATGTCTAGACGTAGCAGCGTTAACGACAGCGAGTCGAGCTTCGAGTTCGTCGAGACGCCTGCTGCTCCCAGCCTCGATTTCGAGAAGACCGAGGATTGTGGTGTTCGCACCACCAAGGTAAGTCATCTATCACAACTTCCATGGATCAGAGGCGTATTTGATTGGTGACCGGGCCTACGGGCCAGGTCTCGGATCTTTCTCCAGCTTGATCACAATTGAAAACATCGAAAGCGATTGTCTTGATGGCAGGAGACGAGAATCGCCGGGTTGGAAGCTTTGCTTTGCATCATTAACTGATTTTGCGCCGCCAGTATCCTTCTATCAAGAATGCGCCTCTCCCCGCCGATGGAGCGGGCTCGGACTCCTTCTCGAACACCGCTCTTTTCTCCCTCCTCATCGGTATTCCCTACATCCTGTCCTGGAAGTTCGGCGGAGGCCTGAAGACGGCCCTCTTCTTCGGCCTCTTCACCTCCGTTCCCATCCTCGTGGGCTTCTGGCTGGTTGTCTCGGCCATGAGCCCTCGCAAGAATGAGAAGGCCCGGTACCATGGACGCCCCGTCGAGCACTACCTGAACTTCAAGAAGGATGTCCACAAGTTCAAGTACCACGGAATCAACAGAATTCCCATGGAGACTTTCCACGAGATGTACTTCGATGGCGATGTCGACTTCAAGGGTGACGCTCTCGAGGTTCTCGAGTATCGCCATGACTGGGCTTCCTTCCGCTTCACTCTCAACCTGATCAAGTTCGTCCTGTTCCAGTTCGCTCCGGAGGTTATCATGCATACTCGCTCCCAAGGTAAGTACCCCGCATAGCTATCAGCATTCCTATCTAACGTGAATAGACGAGGAGCAGGTCCGTGACCACTACGACCGGGGCGACGACTTCTACGGCTGGTTTCTTGGCCCTCGCATGATCTACACCTCCGGCATTATCTCCGATATTAACAAGGAGGAGACCCTTGAAGAGCTTCAGGACAATAAGCTGGCGGTAGTCTGCGAGAAGATCGGTCTCAAGCAGGGCGACACTCTACTTGACATTGGCTGTGGTTGGGGAACGCTTGCTCGGTTCGCCAGCGTCTGCTACGGTGCTTGCGCTACTGGTATCACTCTCGGCCGCAATCAGACTACTTGGGGCAATGGTGCTCTTCGCAAGGCTAGAATTCCCGAAGACCAGTCCAAGATTCTCTGCATGGACTACCGCGACATTCCCTCCGTGGAGGGCGGCTACAAGAAGATCACCTGCTTGGAGATGGCTGAGCACGTTGGTGTTCGTCACTTCCAGGGCTTTCTCCGCCAAGTCTACGACATGCTCGATGATGACGGTGTCTTTTTCCTCCAAATCGCCGGCCTTCGCAAGTACTGGCAGTACGAGGATCTCATCTGGGGTTTGTTCATGAACAAGTACATCTTCCCTGGCGCCGACGCTTCGACTCCCCTCGGATTCTTCACCGACAAGATCGAGGCCGCCGGCTTCGAGATCAAGAGCGTAGACACCATCGGCGTGCACTACTCGGCAACTCTCTGGCGCTGGTATAGGAACTGGATGGCCAACCGTGAGAAGATCGAGGCAAAGTACGGTAAGAGATGGTTCCGTGTAAGTTGACGATTCACCTCTGCTTATCTACTCCCATACGCTGACCATTGTGAATTCCTAGATCTGGGAGTTTTTCCTGGCCTACTCGACCATCATCGCCCGTCAAGGCAGCGCTACCTGCTACCAACTCGTCATGCACAAGAACATCAACTCTGTCCACCGTGTTGAGCAGATCCCTACTGCATACGGCCTTTCTGGTGCTCTTGCTGCTTCCAAGGTCGACATGGCCGGTTGGGCCAAGACTAACAATGTTGGCTCCTCCCTGGACTTTACTCAGTGAACTCTGAGAATGACACGTCGATGGACATAGTATCACCGTCTGCGAGGTATGTATTGGAACTGCGCATGGGCAGCCAGGTCAGTATGAGAAGCAGGGCACGGTGGAAAAATGGACAGAGCTTACTGCAAATGTTTGCAAGTTGAGGAGGTTAAGAGCACGATAATTCTGAGCTTGAGTTCAAGTAGTCAGATAGTCTCAATAGCCAATAGCGGAACCTCATTGAGCGACAACAGCGGCCAGTCTGTTAGACTTATCTCAATATTCTGATGTATCGTTGCGCAGAGACGACGGTGTTACAGGTTCCCCAATCCGGTCGGTTCTTGCTTGTTTGTCAACAAGGCAAAGAAACGGAAGCCGTGGTCTTACTGACAAACCCAGCTCCTTTATCCGACTTTTTTACCTACTTCGCTAGCAAGCTTGGCACACATTGAGCAGGGAGAAGAATGCACATGTGTGATGAGGCCGGATTCTCTTCAAATGGTCTTCTTTACAGAGCCTCCTCCATCTCTTGCTTTTTCAAGAACTACCAGAACCTACGGCATCAGACGTCAGTTGGGATGTATCGCGAGACCCTCGCTAATCCGACTACAAGATGCGTTTTCCCTGGATCCCGTTCACGTCTCTGCATGTTCTACTCATCAAACACGTAACAGCGTTCGACGGAAAGGTACACGACAATGATGGGGCAATATTCGGGTCGGTATTCGCAGCAGACCTCTCTAGGAACCTCGAGCCTCTACCGACGCCGCCCCCGAGACTCGACGCTAGAGATACGAATCCAAAGGATTTGGGCATCTGCGGATACTACACCCTCTCCATGAACAAAGGTACGGCTTCTATTAGTGTTTTCACTCTGATCCCGAGGGACAGATTATGAAGTTGAAGCTTGTAGCTGACAGCGCATTATATCGCAGAAATTAGAACACACAGATGTGACAAGATGGTTAACTGCATTACCTCTGGGGCCTATCTCGGCTGCGGCGCCGGCGCCTTCACTACATGCTTCAACGCCCTGGAGCATGATGACTGTCAACCCGGAAAGACGGCGGGATCGAAGACGCTTTGCTGGTGAGTTCCTTACCCCTTGCCAAATTACACTAAGCAGAAGCGCGGCCGGAAGCGCAGCTGACAAGAAGCACCCCAGCCGCGAGACTTCCGGGTATGTCCCCCTCTGTCGGACCTTCTTCAGAGACGACTCCATCGACGGGATCAGGCAGATGGTTCTGTGCGGAGGGAGTAGTAGTCCCACACTGGACGAAGTCATGTCGCTGTATCATTCGACGGATCCCCTCGTCCAGCCCGCAATTCCCACAGTGAGCATCCCTCCGAGGACGACTTCCACTACTACCAGAACCGGGTCTACGGTATCCGGAGAAGTCACGGCCAGCCTCCCGGGAACCTCGACCCCGACAGCGACATCCTCGACCGCGACCTCAGTCCCAGCGTCCCCTTCACCGACTCCGGAAGAGATCAGCTACAGCAACGACAGCTCTCCCTCGTCACAAGCCGGTGCTATTGCCGCCGGCGTCGTTGGGGAGTTGGCGCTAATCGGCGCCGCCGTTTGCTTTTGCCTCTGGCTGTTCCTGCCTCGCGTACGACCGTCCTCCGAGGAGGAGGAGCAGGAGAGGGCTGATGTGCCGACGGTCCAGCGGATGCCGACGCCGCGGATCGAGCTTCCAGGAGACCTGCCGCAGGAGGGTTGGGGAAGGGTGGATTCCAGGGCCGAGATGGCGTGCGAGGAGCGGTCGCCGCTTTCTGGTCCGCGGGCGCTGTCCGAGTCGCCGGTGATGGGGGCGGTCTCGCCGGGACCGGTGTCGCCTGGGTCCTCCTCTGCGACTGGGGACAGCGGGCTCGGGACTCCGATTCGGCCGGCTGAGCTGCATTCGGAGCCTTGAGGGTGATACGATGAGGCGAGGATGTTTCATTCGATTTGAGTAATGTGCATAATGTAATTGGCTTTGCTTGTGTCAACCCTGGAAGGAGGGATCTCACATTGTCACCGTTGCGGTAATCACAAGGGATGGTCTTTGGAATCAAACGAGAGTTGAAAAATCACAGCATTCTGTGTCTCCCAGACTTGTGTCTCCGACAGTTCGGGCCGAAGTTGGCAAACCAAGTTTTTCCCATCAAAGCCAGACGAAAGCAATCGTGGCGGAGGACATCACAGGGGGCTCAGCAGATGGCCCAAGTCCTGGGATCGCACGTGGTGACCAGCATTCTCAAAGAACGTGTAAGTGAGTAACACGAGGTTTTCTTCCCCAAAGACAGCTCAGCCGAGGGTGGGAAGTTGACAAACATACTAATGGGGGTTTGATAATCAAGGACCAGCCTGGCCGAGGGACAAACACTCGCCCTTTGGATCATTCATTTTGCGTGCTTCGCCACTGAGCTGAGGGGCATTTAGAGAAGATTTGTTTACGAGGACTCCTTAAAGCCACCTTCATGGCCGTCCTTCTCGTGGTCTGTTTTGATCTATTAGTAGTTCTCATGAACCTCGGTTACTCCGAGAACCACCTTGCTTTCAGCCGCCATCTCACCGTTTAAAGTCACTCTTCAAAGCTGATCTTATAACAGAGATGTGGAACGTCGAAAAGCTCGCCGGCTCCCGGCGCCCACTCGTACCCGGCGGCGTCGAGAACGGCACCGCCGGCAACTTCAGCAATCCCAACGGCGCCGAGAACGGAAGAGGCGAGGGCATCACCGAAGACGGAAGCAGCAGCCAACAACCGAACAATCCGGCAGGCACGAAACATGAGCCGGAGGTCCCACCTAAAGACAACGGCGCCGGCGGTGGTTTCGGGATCGGGTTCTGCGGCGGCCAGGCTCCTGGCGCCGGTAACGACAACAGGAACGAGTACGACAACAACCAACAGATGAACGAGGGCCAGGAGCTTCTACCTCGACAAACGCTCACGGTAGAGAACTTTCAAGCTCGGGATCCGCCGCCGGCCACTACGCCTGCACCGAAACTCAGGTCGCGCGAGGATCTGTCGCTTCAGCACCACGAACCGCTCGGTTCGAATACCTGCGGATTCTTCACTCTGGGACACGACCACGGTCAGTTCACCTGACTCTTACCCTGACTGAGGGAAAGCTAAACAACATGCATTCGTAGCTCTGAGGACACAAATGTGTGAAGATATAGCATCCGAATGCACGGCCTGGCAGTCATGGCTGGGCTGCGGGTACCGGCCTCATACGACCTGCTTACAAGGCACTGCACCGGAGTGCAGGTCTGGTATGACGATAGGCAGCGAGACTCTTTGCTGGTAAGTCTAAAGCAGCCCTCAGACTCATATTGTGAAGTGCACGAACTTGGTCGCTGACGTTCGGGGATCAGTACGTCAGCTACGGGCTGGCTTCCGGAATGCCAGACCTTCCTAAGAGACGAAGGTGGCCTTGGCACGAAGACGCTTCTCGGATGCCGCAACGCCGCCGTTTCTTGGGACGCGACTGTCTGGTTACACACTTCGGCCGAGGAGGCCCTGGGTAACACCAGAGCTGCCCCGACAACGACTTCGTCCCCTTCAACCACTTCCACGGCTCCAACAACATCCGTGGCGAAGCTATCCAACGACGGCTCCTCGGCGCCGGTTGGCCCCATAGTCGGAGGCGTGCTCGGCGGTCTGGCTATACTGGCCATTGCGGGCTGTATCGTGGTCTGGCTCATCGTGCAGAGGAGAAGGGGTGCGTCGAGGCCGTTCCGGTGGTCGACGGCGATCCAGGAGCTTCACCACGGGGGCCCGCAGACCGTCTACCACGAGCCGCAGACGGAGGGTTTCGAGAAGCAGTCGCGAAGCCAGCCCATGTCGCCAGTTTCTCCGGTGAGGGTTGTGTACAAGGCGCCGGTGGGGGAGAAGAAGCCGGTTCAACGGGTGTCGGCGGTTGGGCATATGGGCAGTCCGAGTAAACCGGCCGAGTTGGGTTGATGGCTACGAATCCGGGTGGAGGTTGTTGATTTAGCAAGGGCGGAATGGATGTCTCGACTATTTGCAAGGCTTATTCGCTTATTACTGTACCGTTTTCACATAGCCTCTTCAAGAATCATGCTAATAAGGAGAAATTTACACTCAGCACGTGTCTAACAGATCGACGGCGTTAAAATGCCAGCCCGCGAGACACTTCGTGAGAGCACCTATCAGCTTTATGCCTTGCCGAGAGGTCAGTCTTGGAAAGATAGTTGAGCGAATAACGAGATCCGCAAACGGTGCAGGGCCGGGCGGGATGACGAGTCAGCCCTGAGAAGCCACGAATTCCCCGAGATGATTTTGAGATGAGACATACATCGGAAACACGTTTAACTCGTTTGGTTGTGTTGATGTGGCTGCACGGAGTGTGAGACATGTCGACCCCGTTGTGGACAGCTTTGCGGCTCTCGGGTTGAGGAGTATGAAGCCCTCTTACAAGACTCATACCCGGGTTAGAGTAGAGGGATTGGGAAAGGGGCTCTGATGTTGGAGCACTGTATGAACAGACCAGCTCGACTTACACACGGTAGACGCCTAGGCCGACAAGACGTTACTTGAAGACCAATGGTACCCAGAACTCAAGTTCCATGGGGCTTATGACCTACATGAGCATTGGTTTACCGCGATGTTTCTTCATTTGTCTCCGGTATTCATGTCCGTTTTCGTTAGGACCAAGCTGAGTCTTGATTTAGTCTGATTTCGACCATCTTACATCTTGGCTCATAGAACTCAGCATACCGAGATCATTCGACTCTGCCTGGCGATCTTCTGCTTTGCAGCTATATACAGACAAGCATCTAGTGCGGCTGAAGTTACCAAGTGCATGCCAGAGATGTCGCCAAGTTCGGAACCGTTCCGCAGTCGCTTCTATCAGGGACAGACTCTGATACATATACAGACGTCCTGACTCTACTGACGCCATGGAGATGAGCTTTCAAAAAGCAATTACTCAACTCATTCGATCTACACTTTGCAGCAATGCATCTCTACTCGAGTCTCATTTTGTCTGGTGCTGCAGTTCTAGTGCAGGCTGGAGGCCTGGTCAACGAGAACTATCTACCCGCACGACACACGCCTCCCAGTGAAGGCATAAGATATGGTCAAGGAACATCGCCCGTCACGACACCCGCCCCAAAGATACGGTTCAGGAACGCAAACCTGGTACCTCGGGCATCCCCAGACACCTGCGGGTTCCTGCAGTTTCCCATCTCAAGTGAGTGATCTATACCCGTATCCTCTGCTCCACGGCCATACCTGACACCAGTGCCAGCCGGGATTCAAGAGTATTACTGCGTCAGTACCACGTGTGTGACCTCTGGGTCGTACTTTGGGTGCACTTCGGAACCGTTCACTGCTTGCTACGATGGCACTGCGAGAATCTGTCAAACAGGCAGGCTGGGATCGAAGACGCGATGTTGGTATGTGCTTCCTCGTCGTCAAGCCCTCAGCCATATACAATGTGGTCCATTCTTCTTCCCCCATGCTACTCGGCAATGAGGTACCATCTTGCTAACGAGAAGTTCTCAGCACCCAGAGTGTCGACGGTTGGCGACCGTGGTGCGTAGCGTACAGAATGACAGACCTACAAGGCACCAACACGTTGATCGGCTGCTACAACACCATGCTGGATGGCATGAACACGAACAGCATATTCTTAGTCTCGGAAACCAGTCTCATTTCCAGGTTGTCTTCCATCTCCTCTACTCCGTCGAGAACCCCAACACCAACCTCAAGCACAACGCCAATCACGTCGACTTCTTCGATATCCATCGACGTAGCGGCTGACCCAACTACTTTGGATAGAGCTTCAACTTCTTCGACCCCGGCCTCCTCAACGACCTCGATTTCTTCGACTATCTCGATTGATGCCGAATCAGACACGTCTTCAACCACCGACACCCCGGCTTCTTCATCTGCACCGGTTGGTGCAATTGTTGGTGGTGTCATCGGAGGCATCGCTGTCATCGGCCTTGGAGTCTTTGCTATTGTATGGCTTGTACTCCGTCGCAAGAGAGCGTCGAATAAGAACGGACCGCCGCCGCCGCCGAACCAGCCCGAGACATCTCAGCCATTTATCGCGAGTCCGTTCAATCAACAGCCTCATCATCAGCAGCAACAGCCCCAATACCAGCCCCAACAGCAGCCGTCGCCGCCGCAGCAGAGCCAAGATCACGCAAGTAAGATGTATTACCAACAGCAACACTCTCCAACTTCACCCCTCCCGGCATACAATCAGACGTCCCCGGTCAATGGTGGTGGTGGCATGTCTCCCAGCACGTACGAAGTCCCAGCTGTCAATACCAAGGGTACCGGTAACAACGCAGCTGAGATGAGTGCATAAAAAACCAAGAGGCTTCACTGTTTGAACTTAGCCTGAATTCTGGCCATTGCTTAAGTCAAGGGTTTGTGAAGGGTTTTCTTCGTAGTATGGTTCATTGGTATTAGTGGTTGAATGCTTCTACCAAGGTCGATTCACCTCTTGACGTCGGCCATATCCGCATCGAATATGTAGTTCAGCATCAAGAATTCTGAAGAAACATGAAGGCAGGAAATGATTTACCGTTCGTCAGATAGCTATGTAAACTTTGGACAGCGCTCTGCCAGACAGCCACTGAGCTGCTGAGGCTGGCCAGGGGTACTTAGAGCAGCGACGAAGAGTTTTGTGCCAGGCCTGAGCTGACCAAATACGGATGCCAGTGGTTTTTTAATTTATTTCAAGGCAACAGCGAGGCCTTTGTTGAACGATTCATGTGCTGCAGGGGTGGTTCGTATGGAGGATCTGAAGGATCGGTATCGCAGGCATCCACGTAGTGGATATGGAGAATACGAGCCAAGACGAAGGACTATGACTGAGTCCTAGAAGGAGAAACGCAAAAAGTTATTTCAGTATCGCGTCAAACCTCCGATGTGACCAGACAGCCGGGGTTTACAGATTTAGCTGGGTCTATCGCTCATTTAGATCAAAACTACTCGTTTTCTTACTCATTTGACAAAACATTCGAGAGTCCCATGAGCAGTTCTCAAATATCTTTTGCTCTGATTTGGCAATGAAGCTCCAGATTGTGTTCTTTCTCGCCTCCGGATTCTCTTCTTTGGTCATGTCAAGGGATCTAAGAGGCAAGCCAGCAGGCAAGACCGTATCGGCGGAGGTCCACGAGTATGACGCAGTCTTGGCTGCTCCTTCGGTAGACTCGAGAGACGACAAGAAGAGAAACATACCTTATTCTACGGTAGAACCCATGGAATGCGTTCGATGCGTGGGAGATGAAGGGAGTAAGTCTTAATAATCTGCCGCTCGTCAATGCTGCCCTCGATCGTTCGTGCAGCACATGAACTAACTTGAGGATCTCAATCATAGTATTTGAGAAATGCTTTGGGTCTGTATCTCGGAACAGCCCCTCCATGTCATGGCTAGAGAAACGGTCATCATCAAAATTGAACATCGGTGCGATCGTGGGGGGCGTGTTAGGCGGAATTGCTTTCGCGGCAATTGCGATTTCCTGCGGCGCGTATATCTATATTGTTGTGAAGATCAACAGAAGGGCAGCTAAACAGAGAAGGCGGGCGAAATTGGCGCATGAAAGGGCATCACAGGATATTCGGCAAGCTCAGTCCTCCGACGTACAACTGGAACCCGGAGAGCGGCAATCTCAGGGCAAAGGAGATCATGGCACAGATCAGCCCGTGTTGTTATCTTCTCAGATTCCCGCTAGTAGTGTATGAATGAGTGGCGTCGGAAAGAAACATACTTCTGGTTCAGGACATAAAGGTGGAAGATGGTCAACAGGTGTCGAAGGTTCTAGCCCAAAAGAGGTCGGCTTGAGACTAATCCAATTTCAATTGCTCTTCAGAGCCCGAGCAGCAGTGCGGGCTTTTCAATATCATGGGTTTTATGATCTTTATTTGACGAACCGGAGTAACTAATGACATTTTTTGCAAGTTAGGGAGCAGTCTACAAGAGTTAGGTATAATATGGGGATGTCACTCCAAAGCAACAGCCCAAAGTCTTCGGAAGATGCCTCCATCGCTTAGATGTAACGCTCGAAATTATTCGCATGTAGTGATATCTATCAGAATCTTTTCCTCGTTTACGGATACCAGAACTTCACAGTCCACTCAATACCTTAGCTCACAGCCTCGGGTACGGCAAGGGCCGAAGGCAACCCTCGGGGCTTGAATGCGCCACGTTTGAGCCTCGTCAGTCTAGTTTTTGTCGAATTTTTGGACCCGAACGCTATGTCAACGCCATGTGACTATGAAATAGACGGCTTACGAGGCCAAGGTCAAGGCACCTGCTTTCAAAATGAAGGGGCTCAAGTCCTGGCGCAACCTCACGCCAACCTAGCCGGTCTGCCGATGTTCATTGTCACAACCACAGCAGACCATTCGCAATTGGCCTCGACGTGCAACTCGTTCTTTCATCTTCAGACTTTTACTATTACGTTAAGCGCCCTGGAGGCAAGTGTACCTGCTATCGCAGAAACGTCAAATGAGATTCAAGCATACGCCCCCTGCTATTAGCGCTGCCACTGACGTCGAAGTTTCCCTACATCGGTCCTACCGCCGCCCTAAATATACCATGCTTACATCCCAAGCCACTTCTCCAGTTTACTCGGCATACCACGGACGCCGTTGCATCTACTTCACTTCGTGACATTGCCGATCTGCCTGGTAATGCGCTTCTCTCATCGAACCATTGGACGATCAGCCAGACGCCAATGCTGATGGTTACACCGACCTGCTGCTCCTTCGTCTTACTCCGCCACTTAGTCAAAACGCCTCAGGAGTAATATACTGGAGGATTTGAGGAATAAATCTTTTCTCCTCCCCTCAGAGAGAAGTTTTGCGAGGTTTAGCCCTTTCTCTCCTTTGAGCCGATACCTCAACCACCATTGGTATTCAATGCCGATTAGTGAATTGCGACCGCGTTTACGATGAAAACTGCGATCTTCATGGTCGTCGCCGACGTCTTTGCCGGGGCTATGGCAGCAAGGCAATTAGCTGGGAGCGATCGCATGGCGCGCCGGACCGCGGCGGTAGCGGACTTCGGGCATGGTGGAGACTTTTCGCCGGCCCCGACACCCGGCCCCGCACTTTTTGGCCGAGCCCCGGAGCTGGCCGCCCGATCGCTCGAGCCCGACACTTGCGGCATCGTCACCATGAGCTCAAGTAGGTTATTTTCACTGTGCATGCAAAGATGAGATTCAAAGATCTTCGCCCTGACATTCCGTGCCCTTTTTAGGAACATTTGCCGTTACTTGCGCCAATGTCGCATGTCAAACACAAAACAACTTTATGGGATGTAATAAACAGCCCTTCACCACGTGTTATCCAGGATCCGCTACGACATGCAAAGGAACCGCTCTCGGGCCTGGGGTTCTATGCTGGTAAGTCGCAACATGATCCCCAAAAGACGAAAACAAATCGTGTCGTCGTGAGTGGTTGATAACACGCTCAAAATAGCACACGAACCGCAAACGGGTGGATACCCAAGTGCTTGACTTATTCCAAAGACGCCGACAGAGCGGACTGGAAGAGCCGCTTAACATGCGCACACTCTAGTTTAGACGGCAGGACGGCGTTGACGATGATCGCCGCCACCGCCGAGTCTGCGTTTTTCGGCAGCGGCGGTACGGTGACGCAAACCGATCCAGTGCCAACCGACTCATCACCGGCTGAGACGGGCTCGTCTTCAGGAGGCGGCTCCTCCAACAACACGGGCGCGATAGTGGGAGGTTTTGTCGGCGGTGTTGCTGTGGTGGCCATCGCGGCTTGCGTCATCGTCTGGATGCTCGTCCGGCGGAGGCGGGGAGCGAAGAAGGAGACACCTCCGGCGTCAACCCCGGGCCAGGACTCTTATATGACTGGCCAGCCGTACGTCCCTTCTTTGACGCCACAACAACATTACGCGGGAAACGAGGAACAGTACAAGTACCAGTCCGTGCCGCCTGGCGTTTCGCCGCCCCCGGTGATCCACGAGGCACCGGCGGACTCACATCCCCCACCTCAGACATTCCGGGCTGAGCTGGAAGACAGGCCGAGTGATAGAGTTTAAAGTGCGATGTGAGGTTAGCGGGGCGTTTGGCGAATTTGGAAAGAAGATAAAGCATTGAGCATCATCATGGAGAAACAAGCCATGGATTTCTTCAACGTATATACCATTATTTCACACAACTCATAGACTTCAAGACGAGACAAAGAATGCATGATAGTTCTTTCCAGAATTTGAATGGCGTTTGGATATCTGGTGGTGTCGTCGTGATGTATCTAGCTTATGGTTAGGGTTGAATTGACTTTTAACAACAACATGACATCTCTTCCACGTAGCTTCGGGGACGATGTTTCGGGGACCACGCTTCGGGTCGTTCTGATTTCCAGAAAAACGTGGCAGATGCGGAAAGAACAAACGAGTTCTCAGCGCCAAGTGAGGCACAGGAGGCGCGAGCCCTTGTAACGCATACCAACAACACTCTGAGTTTCCTTCGCTTTGTTGGCAGATCACTATCCATCCTGGCGATGTTTGCACACTTGACCGCAATTTCAACACCTGCATCGGAGATTACCCCCTCCTTCCATGATTAACGGTTCAAGTGGTAGAAACTGCAATATGTCCGTGTTTTCTTAGACATCGCCGAAAATCCTGGGCTGCTATTTTTACATCCTCGAACACCCTTTCAGGAGGTCTCCCGCGATTGATGATGTTGAGAAAGCTGTCGCGATGGAATGGACTCTGTAATCCTTGCAGAAAGAATCACGTACATGTTGACGGCCAATTGTATTTCGTGACGAACGTCTTGAGCTGAGAGCCATGCCCTGCTCGAAACACCCTCGACTAGCCCTGGTATCGGGGGAGATTCCTGGTTGTTCGTATGTTCGACCAACAAGAAGACTAGGATTAACACCGGACGTCAGTCAACACATCAGGACCTCTCTAATCACATATAGAACGCGTTGGACCGTGTTTAAGGGGAATTAGACCAGGGTGAGCGTTGCGCCGCCTGTGAACGACTAATATACCAGACAGAGACCTCTCCCAACCTCGCAACGCTCTCTTTGTTCATGAGATGCCAAGATTGTGTCTTTGATGCCTTTGTACTCGGCCTAGACACGAATTATTCGTGGAACCTGAGCGAAAATGCGCCCATCTTGCCCATTTCATCATGCGTCAGCTCTTTTGTTGATCGCTATAAGCGCAACGAGCGCAGCATCAACACATGGACTCGAAGACGCCCGGTATCACGACGCTCGTCCGCGGCGTACTTCACCTCCCGAAGTCTTCAACTTCGGCAAAGCCTCAGCACCATCTCCGACACCAGCGCCGAACGTCCGATACCGAAACGCAAACCTCGCGGCTCGATCGAAAGGATCTGATACGTGCGGCTTCTGGTCTTCATGGGGAGCAAGTGAGTAGCGCATACAACTCCGTATATGAGGCTAAGGCTGACGATTCATCAGGCACCTGGGATCCGCTGATATGCCGGTGGACAGGAGAAACGTGCTCGACGGTGGGCACCGCCTTCGGCTGTCGAAGTCAGCCATATACCACGTGCATCGACACAGGAAGTGCCACGAGCCTGGTATCTATGTGTAGGGATAACTTGCAAGGCGATAGAGAACTTTGCTGGTATGTCGAATCAATCACCCCTGTTGCATGGCGAAGAGCGACCATTAGACCACAGAAACACTGACACGGCCGTGTAGTGTCGAGTCTGACGCGATTTATGGACCGAAATGTTTCGTCTTTGTTCAAAAAGATGGCGAATACGCGACGGTCACGAACCACAGATGCTGGCAAACCGACTTCAGTCAATGGAACGGCATGTATCTCGACACGACCACAGGGAAACCTGGAGAGTCGGCCACATCGGTTGGGCTGACATCCATTTCCCCCGTCTCCTCACTTCATGTTTTCACGCCAGTGAGGTCTTCCACAGCAGCTACTTCAACGGCATCATCGGCAAAAGCAACACAGTCCTCGGGCTCGCCAGTGGGTGCCATCGTAGGCGGTGCCGTTGGGGGCTTCGCTGTTCTGGCTACGGCGGTCTGTGTCATCGTTTGGCTCGTGATCAGAGGAAGGCGACAACAGAAAGTTGAAGATACAACCCCCGAAAGCCCAGGTGCAGATCAGTACTTGGTCCAGCCGAGCATGACATCGCCAACCACCCCGCGCTATCTCAGTGGTTATTACCAGCCGGAAAAGTATCAGCCTGTATCCATGGCCGATCCGAGTCCGTCGTACGATATTCAGAGCCCACCGCCGACGGTCACACAGAGCAGCAAGGCTGGCGACCCAGCGGAGTTGGCTTGAGATTCGAACCATACATAAGGGTTATGAAGAGGGGGAGGGCTGGAAATTGGTTGAGGCTGGAAATTGGTTGAGGCTGGATGAATAGGATGACAGATACCAGGTGAAAAACTTTCTTATTGTATACATAGCTAGAGGTTGGTCATTAGCAATACAATTGCTTCGATGCACTGAAATGAACGAATGCCATTGAATGTGTAAGTTTCATGATCAGACCCAAGCTGACAACAGAGGCAGACTGCTCCAGAGATCCACAACATACGAGGGATCGCGATGGATTCAGCCCGTCAGTCCACCACTCCCTGTCATATATCATCGTGCCAATAAGAAGCATTAATGGGGCGAACCTCCAAGAACTTCAAAGACAAAACGTCAGTCTCGTGTTACCACAGGTAACACCAGGCCGGCCGCTTTTCTCGCAGGGAGCCCCGCTTGCCCGTCATCTCACCCGAGACATTAAGCTGAAATGTCATACTTCCTTTGGAAGACAACAGACAAGGCGGTTCTGAATTTGTGTTGTCCTCTTGCTTCTCAAATCAGGCCCCGAATGCCCATGCCCAAGTCTTGAGCAATTTCCCCCGGTAAAAGTGGAAGAACAAACGAAGACCATCATCAACCACGATGCACCGCTTCTCGCGCCTCCTCCTCTCGGGCCTACGAGCCTTGAACCCTCAGTGTTCCCGGAATCCCGGAACACAGAACACGTTCAACGCCGCCGGCAAAACATCAAGTCGAGCGCCTATTCGAAGACCGAAGCAACACGGCACCTGCGCTTCCGGTTCTGCACCTCGCTCCAGGCCGCAGCCCAGGTCAAGTCTCGACTCCAGCATCGAGCTGCGTCCTTTGCTCCCTGCCGAGTTCGTATAATATCATCGGTGTGGGAAAAGTCTTGGTTATCTTGGAGGCTTCTTTGTTCAAGGTGGAGACCCAAGTCGGTGCCTGCCTGGTGAATGAGGACGTCGACCGGCCAAACCAGCGCAGCAAGCTACTTAGGGAGGTTACTCTCCCGTCTCGACAACAACAGCAGTAGCTCAACACGGCACGGTATAAGCTGGCAGAGTGGCACATAGTAGCCCTCTCAAACGGGGGTCCGCTTTCGGTGCTGCTGGAGGCTCTCAGTTCGAGTGCCTGATATTTTTTCGTTTTCTTTTTTTTGGTCTTCATTTTATGATCGCTAGTATGTTGCTTGCTTGTAATTTATCTCATACATGGTACTTTTGGCTCAGGGATTACTTTGTGCCTGTCTTTTTTGAGATTGTACGCGAAGAGAGGCTACTGAGCGCATGTTGAAGATGGGATGCTGCCGGCTTAGATGGGGCTGGAGTTTTAGAGCAAGATGGACGTGTGCCTTCCCAGGAGCAGATGTATCGCAGTTTTTGGTATTTGACGGCACAGAAAATCATACATGACTCCCTTTCTACAACATCAATCACACACATGCCGCGAACGCCCGTGAGAAACCATCGACGGTCGTAGCAGTCCCCTTCACAGCCATTCCCCCATCAGCATCCCGAATCCAGACATCCCACCTCCTCCCCTCCTCTCCAGAACCCCTGTCACGCACACAAACAGTCATCTCACGCCCACAGTACAGAGGCTGCAGGTTGCGATACCCAAACCACTTCACCCGCTGGCCGAGATGATTCAGGAACCCGAGCACAAGAGCGAGAGACAGCGGTCCGTGGACCAGCGTCGCCGGATGCCCCTCCTGCCTCGCCCACGCCGCGTCGAGATGGATCGCGTGCGCGTTGTACGTCAGCGCGCTGAAGTTGGTCAGGAGGTTCTGGGTCGGGGTGAGCGTGAGGGAGGATGTGGCTTCATGCGGCGCTGGAGGATCTCAAAAGTCAGCCGCGCCGTGGTTTTCACAAATTCACGAGTAGACCTACGTTTTAGACTCCGTCTCGCTGGAGCGGGAGCGTCGATGTCGGGTAGGAAGGCGAGCGTCCTCCGCTCCTCTATCGCAGGACCCGTCTGGGGACCACCACTACGAGCGCCGTACCGCCGCCAGAGGTCAACCCACACCCGGCCCTTCTCAGGCCTCACGTCCTCGACCGTCTCAACACAACCGACGCGCCTCCCGTCCAGGCGCAGCTCGTCCTCCCATGCCTCACGGAAGCGGATCTCACCACCGGCCCAGAGTCGGCGGGTGAAAGAGGCGCCGGGGCAGTGGTCGGGGTCCGTGCCGTCTGGCATCAGCTCCGAGGGCCGAGACTGGAGGGGGAAGTAGACCAGGTGGTGGCCTTGCGGTAGAGGCGCTGCATTTTCAGAGGCGGAAGGAAATTGGAGCGACGCAGGTTTGCGGGACGCTGAAAAGATGTCGGACAGTAAAAGGTTTAAAAGGTGTGAAGGTGTCGGAGAGAGATGATCCGGGATTTCCTTGCTTTTGTGCAGAATCTTGGCAATTCCTGCCTCCAATGAAGGGGTTACATGTTGAGTTGAATAGCTTCGGCCAAAGGCGTGAAGTTGGGGGATGAGCAGCTTCATGGTGAAGATGGATGTATGTGATGACTTATACGGCAGACAGTTGAGTAAGGTGAGAATGATTGTAACGGCTATGCTTGTATCGGTGTTATGACTGTTAACTGCATATGTTCCATCCTATCCTTGACCAGAACGGATCAACATCAGAAGCGTCACTTCAATCCAGAGGCATGTCAAATAGCAAGTTGCAATCCAGGTGCAGTGCTGGCGGTTCAGCCTTTTGTTGGCAGTGTGACTGAAGCTCGCCATATAGCGTAAGGACACCCGAGCCTCACTGAACCGCTTTGTTCGAGAGCTTCATACTACTAATTCATTTTCGCCTTCCAGTATAGCGAGGAAGGATCGAAAATATAGTATGAGTTTTGTTTGACATCATGTGAAAGCACCCTTCAGAAAAGCACAAGCAGTGAATAAGCAATATATTGAATTCATTCTATCTAGTCGCGAAAAGACGGCCGCCTCCCGACCGCTTTGAATTGTCCTCTATCTACTAGAGGAGTGTCTACTCATGGTTAGTCGTCTAAACAAGTCAATGAGTCGCTGTGACAAACCTGTAGACTAGTTCTCAACTCAAGAGGCCTTCATAACAGACCGAAGCGGGCTCGGGCGCGCCACTTGGTGCGTGAGTTGGGCCGGGCTCGTCGGACATCTGTCAGTCAAGAGCCGACGAGCCGCCACGGGCGCGCTGGCCGGCGCGGGAATGGGCTGCGGCGCCGTGCGCGCGGACTCCTCTTCGACGTTATGCTTCAGAGACGATACTTGAGTCGATCCCTCAATCTCGAGGGATTCGGAAGGTCAATCTGGGATAGTCAGCTTCTGTAGTTTGTGGGCCAGTTCAATTGGACATACCGTCGTAGTAGTCGTCATCGTCATCAACGTCAGCTAACTGCTCAAAGTTCACCTTGTATCGGAGGATACCACCGATACCACCGAATCCCTTGACGAACTGGTTTCCTTCAGTGGAACGGTCCGAAACGAATTCCAGGTTGGTACCGAAATCCTTGTAGTGCTCCGCAATCCACTCGAGGAAGGACTCCTGGGTCACGACTTCCATCTCTTGGCCGGTTTCCTTATCCATGAAGATCTCGCGGTTGGTGGTCTCCTGTTGCTTGGTCGTGTGAAGGAGGTGCTCGGTGCCCTGGCTGTCCTTGAGCTTCCAACGGTTGATCTCCAAGTTCTCGAACACGATCAAAGTCTCAACGGCACCGAGTTCCAGCGCCTTGAGGGTGTCTTCGATACCGTAGCAGACACGACCAGTGTCCTGGCTGATCTCCTCGAAGTACTTTCCGATGAGCTTCTTCTCCTGGATGAACTTGACGTTGCTGAGGGTTTCGGCGGACAGCTCGATAGCCTGGTTGAAGCCGTTCTCACCACCGTACGAAACGTCGACAACCTTGATAACCTTGGTGGCCAGACGACCGTCGAACATGTCGGAGGCGTTGAGATCGTTCTTGAAATCGGCGGAACCAGCAAGAATCAGACCGGCGACGTTGACCTTGTCGTTGGTGATGAAGTTCTGGACGGCCAACTCGGCAACCTTGCGGACGTAGTTGTGGCGCTTTTCCTCACGAAGACGGGCGAAACGCAGAGCGGACTGACCACCACGACCGTGCTTCTTGGGAAGATCGACCGAGAACTTGTGGACGACATCTCTGGTGTTTCCGGAAAGCGTACCGAAGAGAGCTCCGTTACCGTCCATGATGATGAAACCGAACTTCTGGTCGGACTCGAGCAGCTCGGCCAAAGCCTCGGTGTGGAACTTGTTGTCACAGAGGTAGAGAGAGGTGTTGATGGGCTTGAAGGGCTCGAAGTCGATGTTGACCTTTCTCTCCTTTCCTTCCGAGGTCAAGATTTCACCACAGTAGACGACCAGGCCATTAGGAGGGACCTTGTTGTACAGCTTGAGACGTTGCTGGGTCGAGGTAATGGCGGAAAGCACGGACTGTCGGTTGACTCTGGACTTAATGTTGGACGCAGTACCCTGAGAACAAAGGTGTTAGCCGTTGTTCGGTTCGCATGCGGTCGCAGTTCGAGACGTACGTATTCTTCAGCCAACATCTTGGCGGCACGGGAGATCTGATCCTTGGGAGCTGTGGTGGGGGGTTAGTCGACATCGGTCTCGGCGGCGGCGTCGTGGCGGGAAGACGTACGGATGATGAGAGAGATCATGGATGTGCCGTTACCACGAGCCGCCTCGAGGCGCTTGATGAGCTTCTTCACCTTCCATATCTCGATCTGTGTCGCGAAAGCCCATGAAGGGCAACAGTCAGCCTGCAGTCTTTGGAACGCGGGGCAAAAGGAGGGGCTCCACGATGTCGGGGTGGGAAAAAAAAAGCAACATACGTTCTTCTCGGCCTCGTTCGCCTGAGGGTCCGACATCTTGAAAAGACTGAATCAAGAAAGCAAAACTCGAAACCAAAATGAGGATACGCGGTCGCGTGACGGTGAGGTATTTGTCGTCGCGCGGTTCTCCGGGCGGGAACGATGCGTGCGATGCGATGCGGACGGTGTTACAAGGAAAGAAAAGTTGGTGCTCCACGTCGGTAGGTCGATTTTTTGTGCTGTCACCACACAAGGACCTCCATGGCCTGACTGGGTACAGAGGACACGCCCAATCCCGTGGTAGGGCGCTAGACCGCAAGCGAGTCATATTTGCGCTGGGTGCCTGGCCACTCAGCAATGGTAACCACCCCGAATACTCCATTTTGCCTGTTCCCGCACGTGCCGTCGTCATTCTGGAGCCGCCTCCGTGGTTCACTAGAAGTTGTGATGGTTTCCATTTCACTAGCCATATTTGAGATTATTTTCATTATTTTATTTTGAAGCTAAGTGAATAGAACACCAGTCGTGAACATTTGATTGTCAATGTTTCTGGCGGGGTACGTAGCAATGTCCTGCAGGCAGAGAACCAGATGGCCAAATTTGAGACAAAGCCATGTGTTCGTGTTAGTTGTCCATCCAACCCCACTCGATCTTTCCAGAGCGAGTTGGGCAAATTAGTGCCCTGAGCTGAAAAACGACCGATGACCTCAGCTACCGACCGACCTATGCAACTAAGAAAACGTAGACCCTCTTTTGGTGCATGATAACCCGCCATGCACCTAACGAGCTAACTTTATCGCGACCACCACCACCGCGCTCGACCGTCACCTGTCTAGCTATCCCGACGTCGCAGCGGAAGCTATCACCAACTGCTCCGCCGCCTCAGAAACACGACACACCGCCCATCATGGCCTCCAACATACCGATCCAAGTCGCGGAGACGATACAGACCGCGCACATCAACCGCGCCCCGTCGCCGAACCACGACGTCAACCCTTCCACAGCCGCCTCGGAGAAGGAGCCGGTGACATTAGAACCCGTCTCATCCCATGACGAGCTCGATGATGACGAGCTCGACGACGACATCCCATACAGCGTGGTGAACCCCAAGCCGCGGTCGACAAAGCTACCGCCGATGCCCGACCTGCGGTTCGAGCAGAGCTACCTGCACAGCATCTCCAAGGCCGACACATGGGGCAGGGTAGCGTGGATCACCGTGAGAGACCAGGTTGGTGGCTTGCAAGCGCTCTACGTGAGGCTGGAATGCTGACACAGTGCAGGTGATGATGCCATTGGCGCAGGGCGTCGTTTATAACTTATTTCTGATCGGCTGGCACCACTGGAACAAGAACGCCCAAGTCCACGGCGGCTCCATCGGTGCAAGGGTACGCAGGTGGTGGTATGGGGTGAACAACTGGAAGCTGCCGCCACAGAGAAGCAACAACTGGAACCTCAAGAAGGAGTTGTGATGAGAAGGGAGCGATGGAATGGGAAAAAGACACGAATGATATGGTATCTGTAAAACTAAACGAACAGGTGCAGAGCCATTCTGCAACCTGGGTACTCTTTGGTACCTTCGCATTGCTAAATGCGTGAAATATCCATGGCACTGACCATGATACCGTCTATGGAAGAGCAGTTGCTCGTACAAAAAATCGCCCCATCATTCCGTTGTGTCCGTTCATTTAGCCGTACTCCATCTGGGAATTTTGCCGCCAAACGCCTTAATAACCGTGAAGATCATACACTCTGCTTGAATTCTACTCGTGAGAGCCAACGTCCACGGTCTGCGGCAAGGACTGAGGCTTGTCTGGGCTTCCTCTAAAAGCCAGAGAAGTCTGTCCTGCACCAGGACTCAGGGGCTGCTTGTTGGTAGCCACGTTGATCACGGGCTCGGGCGTCTTTTCCTTGGGTTTGGCGATGATCTCATCCGCAGGTTCGCTGCTGGCTTTTCCGTCCTCTGGAGCAGGCGTAACCATCGTCGTCTTGGCTGAGGTCGGTGACTTCTTGACCGACAGCTTGACGATCAAACTCTTCTTTGGTTCCTCAACCACGTCGTCATCTAGCATCTCTACGTCTTCGTCCGAGTCGTCTTCTTCTTCCTCACTCTCGTCCGGAACGTGGTCTTCCTCGTCATCGCCAAGGTCAGGTTCACTGTCGTCTTCATCCTCATCTGTCGTACCCTGACCACGAGAGCGAGTGCCTTTGGATGACCAACCGTTTGTGCCGTGGTTTACTGCCGCAGCTCTACGCGGCCTGCCAGTTGCGCCTACGCCAGGAGATGGCTGACGAGAGTCACCAGAGTCTCCGTTGACACTGCCGGCCGCGCTGCTTGCGTTGAGTCGAGTTGGAGCTTTAATCTGCCGCCCACTAGCAGTCGTGACTGGCCCAGCAGGTTCTGCGGGCGTGTTGGTGCCGGTGTTGCGTGCTGAGCGTCTGTAAGACGAGTCCGTGAGGAAGTCGTCCTCGTCCTCGTCGTAGTTGTATCTGACCCTCTTGCCTCTAGTGCGGCCCTCGTATGTGGAGAAGCCAGGCTCTGGGCGCTTGAAACGAGCCTTTTGGGCCTGGCGGTATTCTCTGCGTCTGCGTTTCTGTGAAGGTTTTAGCTTGCATGCTTGGGTCGTGAGGAGCTCGGGCGCGTAGCCCCATAACTGCAACATACCTCCTCTGTGGCCTCGAACCGAGGAATGGCCTGCATCATCTGGTTCGCAAGCCTCCTGGCCTTGGGCCCGCCATCCTTAGTCTCCAGCTTCTCTGCAAGGGCCTTGATCTCGTCGATTGATCCTGCCACTGACCACCAGGTGCGGTTGAAGCCGGCCGGATTGCTTTCTCTGTACACACGGAAAGCGGTGTCGTCCAAACCCTCGACCAAGAAGTAGCGTCTCTTGTCACTATCAGAGCCCCACGGCTGGACGGAGAGTGGTTGGTTCAAGTCGTCTTCGTGGCGGTTGCCCTTATAGGACTTATTGATAATCGTCTTGACAGTTTCGGAGGCTGAGAGGGACCACAGCGCCAGCGCCCGGAGAAGCGAGAGCTGAAGACATTGTTAGTTGAAATGGTACAGCGACGAGAGCCAAGCATGCACTGGGGTTGCAGGTATTTGTACGTACTCTCTGTGTGGGTGCGAGGGTGTGGAATGTGTTCCCGCCTGATAAAGGATTGACGCCCTTCCACGACGACGGCCACTGAGATTTGTGCGCAGCGAGTGCATCGTCAAGGGCCTTGGAGTATTGGCCAGCCCTGCCACATCAATTAGCATCCTTCACCGACCATATATGGGTTGGCGCATCGACGTACTTGACGTCCTGTTTACGGTTGAGAAGCAAGAACAGGAGGGCGCAGAGGAATGCTTCGACTCGTTCGCCAGGTGGGTTGTCGATGATATCGCGCTCGAGCTCTTGTGGACCAAAGTTGGCTAGTGACTTGGGGAAAGCTTCGTTGAATCGGCTGCGGAACATCACAAGGAACTGGAGGTGCGTTAGCAGGCCCTATGACGTGGGGGGACGCGACAAGTCGCGTAATTTTGCGCGAATCGACGCGATTATCGACGTACTGCGATGTCTGGGTTGTCCTCGAAGGCATTCTCATGAGGAGGGGAGGGCGATCGCTTGCGCGGAGGCGGTGAAGCTTCCTTCTTGCCGACGGAGGGCTTCTTGCCTTTGGCGAGCTTGGGGAAGAACTTCAGAATGCCATCCTTCTTAGATTCAGGCTCGGGAGCAGCGTCGGACTCGATGTCCGATGGGGGCGGCGATAGCGATGACAAGGACGACAGGTCAGAAGAGTCGTCGTCAGCCATCTTGCGATTTTTTTCTCCGTGACGATGGCCGATGTGTGTGTTGTTGGGAATTTGATGGTGGTGGGTGTCGCGGTGGTTGAAGTAAGGTGCGGTGGGTGGAGGTTTGGGCGCGACGGTGTATGTCCAGCGAAGAAGTTTCGAACAACGCCCACCAGCGGAACTAATTAAACCACGCCTAGAGCCGCACGTTCTTTGGGTCCTCTCTGATAGGTCCGAGTCATTTAAATTCTAATATGCCTCCCTACAACGACGTGCTTTCTCCAAAACCAGACATCAAAGACCTGGCCAGCCGCATCTGATGATACGCCTTTCTCCAAGCCCGCTGCTTTCTCGTGCTGCTCGTTGAGCCGTTTTATCCAATTATCCTGTTTGCGCGCCGAGAGGATTACGCTTCAATAGTCTTGCCTTCATCGTCTTGGAGCACCCACGTCGGCCCTTCGGCCGTACCCCACATCAGCAGTCACTCCCGTCCGCAGGCACCCTGGGCGCGACAAACCTTCTCCTCAATATCAATGTCCGCCTGCAGAATGTCCATGACACCGGATCAGAGGCTTCTTCAATGTCGTGGTCGTTAACAGATTCTCCATCGCTGTCGTAATCGCAGTGGTGCACAGAAGTGGACTGGCGCGTAGCTGTGACACCCCTGCCGTATGCACGCAACTGCTGCGTGCATGGCACTCGTCCTGCCAACTTTGATTCTCGCACCTATCCGGGTGGCCAAAATCGATGCTATTCCCGTCGGCGATGCTTGTCAGACTTCTTTGTCGCGGCCAGCTGAGTTGACGATTCATTGGCCCTAAACCGTGTGGTAGACGCCTCATGCTCGGATGTCGACAGGATAGCCATGTATTTTCGCGGTGATAGTCGCCTCTTTTTCGTGTCGTGAAGGCGATGCCAGCTCTTCTCAATCCGAGGTCGGATGTTTGCTCCATTCGCGAAGCATTCCTCCGTGGTCCCCATACCTGCCCACTGCCTAGATCACATGTCACATGACCGTGCAGCATTACCTTCACCCAGCCATTCGCAACCCACGCAACTTTGCATTTGGGGGCCCAACCAAGCAGAAAAGTGAGGCTATCGCCGTGCAACTGACGTGCAGTAGGCTCTCCATCGTCACCAACTCCCGTGTCGTCCTCATCGTCCTTGTCGAGTTCATTCGGCCCATCACGATACCAATGAAAAATGATGCTGCTAGTAGACCCAATGCAGACTTGATAAGCTGCGCACTGCACAGCATCTAGTTGCAAAACCATATTCGTGGTAGAATCTGTGTGGTCTTTCTTTGGCGTCTCACTAGAGGTAACCAGGCCAGGATGACGATCACTCGCAACCGTACACGCTGATCCCCGCGCTTGATTGACCGAGGTCTAACTCATAAAAAGACACTCATCGTCGGTTCGGATGAATCTTGAAATGAGAACATCTCAAAATTGCAAGATAACGCTCCCTCATCTAGGATGACTCCGATGACGTTGATCGCTGGACCACATCGTGCCGCCCAAAACCCTGGGGCGTAACCTCGCCGAAATCCCGCGAGCCGTCTCTTAATCGTACCCGCCCGCAACACACGTCGAACGCATTCGATTTCATCAACCTTGACGAGAGATTTAGCAAATGCAACCACCCACGGAGCGCAGAAGTTGATGAGAACAGAGGGAAACCATTCAAGCTTTGATGCATTACGATGATTGTGCATCCGAATATTCATCATTTCTCCCTCACCATGCGGAGTAGGTTTCCGTCGTGCACGTCGCCGTCGACCGTTATTGCGAACGCAGGACCGATGAGGCCGAAATCCGGACGTTCCTGAGGTGAGGGTAAAGTGCGGAGATCGTGACGCGATGCAGGCGTTCGACGGGGTCGAGGCTGACCAACAGCAGTGGGGTGGTGGGGCTCGCATTTTTGCCCGTCCGTGCTTCTTTTTACGGTGGACTGGGGCCGAAACTGACCGCGCGACCCTTTCGTCCCCGATCATTAGGGTCAGGTGATCAAGCACGTGCTCTAGCGAGAGCCCTCCGAAAGTCCACACAAGCCTGGTACGAAAATTCCCTTAGGTCTCTCGATCTATCTGAATTTCGCAACCATCACCACCGTCGACAACACCTAGCCCTCCGACCGCCAGAGGACTGCCAAAATGGGTCGCGTTGTAAGTAATTGCTCTATTGACACTGGATCATCATCACGAACAGACATTCCGACGCATTCTCGACTTGCGGCTCGTTGTCGCTACCCCGAAATTTCCTCGATATCGAACCCTACGAACTTTTTTAATTTCACCGATCACGAACTTTCGAAGATGGACATTGGGCGCTGACACTCTCTCCTCCAGATCCGCAACCAGAGGAAGGGCCGTGGAAGCATCTTCACGGCCAACACCCGCCTGAACAAGGTACGACCCGAAACCATCCCACCGAATTTTGCGCGCACCGGCCGCGCGGCCCACGACAATTTTTCCTAACGATTGTCAAATTATAGGCCCCCGCGAAGTTCCGCAACCTCGACTATGCCGAGCGTCACGGCTACGTCCGCGGTGTCGTGAAGGACATCATCCACGATGCCGGCCGTGGTGCCCCCCTGGCCCAGGTCGTCTTCCGTGACCCCTACAAGTTCAAGCAGCACACCGAGACCTTCATCGCCAACGAGGGCATGTACACCGGCCAGTTCATCTACGCCGGCAAGAAGGCCGCCCTCACCGTCGGCAACGTCCTTCCCCTTGGCTCCATGCCCGAGGGTACCGTCGTCTCCAACGTCGAGACCAAGATCGGCGACCGTGGCACCCTCGGCCGCACCTCCGGCAACTACATCACCATTGTCGGCCACAACCCCGATGAGGGCAAGACCCGCATCAAGCTCCCCTCTGGTGCCAAGAAGGTCGTTCACAGCGAGGCGAGAGGAATGATCGGTATCGTTGCCGGTGGTGGCCGTACCGACAAGCCCCTGCTGAGTATGTTTTTCTCCCGGTGGATTCGGTCGCGGAACGATGGCGGATGAGAGGAACAGATTGCTAACGACTCATCTACAGAGGCTTCCCGCGCCAAGCACAAGTTCGCCGTCAAGCGCAACAGCTGGCCCAAGACCCGTGGTGTTGCCATGAACCCCGTTGATCACCCTCACGGTGGTGGTAACCACCAGCACATTGGTAAGGCGTCGACCATCTCCCGCTACGCCGCCCAGGGACAGAAGGCCGGTCTCATTGCTGCCAGACGTACCGGTCTGCTCCGTGGTACCCAGAAGGTCAAGGAATAAATGTCATAGTCTGGCTGGATTTCAGGGTTCCATTGGGTTGGTGTTATGCGGCTGGCATCTTTTGAGGGTACTCGCGAGGGCAGTTCACCTGGTAGCTCGTCGGCAAGTACAAAAAGGCATTTTGAGCATTGAATGAACAAGCCATGATTCCCCCCCCGTCGAGAGGGTGAAACGTGTAATGCGGGACCAAGAATCGTGACGAGTGAAAGAGAAGAATGGCCGGAGTTTTGCGCCGCACGAAGCTGATCATATCAAAAATGGGGTTATGGACTTGTCACACGACGAGGAAGGAGAGTTGGAGGCGGAACGAAACGGCTCTAGCTGCCTTACGTAGTTGATGCCCTGGTAACATGGGCTCATCAATCTGAATTATTATGCATCAGGAAAGCCGCGCCATCTCGTGACAATTCGGTCAGTCGGTAAGTGGCATGATCTGACTTGTGAGCATCGACCACAAAAACCGCTGAAATCCCCGTCTCGGGATTCCCCAGATTCCATCTCCAAAATCTACAGAAACCGAAGTCTCATTCAAAAGAAAGAAGTCGACCAATCGACCACCAAGATGTCCGCAGTCACCGCCTCGTCCAGGTGTCTCACCCAATACCGATGTTGCAGCAACACAACGGCCCTCAGACGACTCGCGGCAATCCCACCTGCACTCAACGCAACGGCAACGGCGACAGCAACACCGACAAGAACCTTTTCGACTCGCCCCACCATCCCTGTCACCGTCCTCCCTGCGGCGAGCTCAGCTGCCCGCCCTCAAGCACGTTTCTCCCACCACCCCACCTCCTCCGACACCAGATCCAACCAGCAGTACCCCACCATCACCTCCTCAGCGTCCTACGCCGCCCGCCGGAGCACCAAAATCAAAATCTTTGAAAAGAGCTCCCCCTTCTCCCACCGTCTCTCCCACACCTCCTCCGTACACCCCAGAATACCCCAATTGAACAAAATGGCCTCCAAGGAATTCCGTCTTCTCTGCCTCGAGAACCCTCTGCTTGGTAAGTCTTTCTTCTCGACACAATTGCTGTCGGAAAACGAGGGGTTGAATGCCCCTCCTCGCGCCCAAAAAGTTACCCCTCCCTTAACACCGAGCTTCGTTAACACCGCCCGCCCCTCCAGACATTCAAGCAGTCGGCAGCAAGGACCTCCTCGAAAAGTACGACCTCAAGCCCAACGACGCCATCCTCGCCGAGGAGAAGCACGCCGGCATCTACGAGGACCTCCTCAACAACTACGACGCCAAGCTCATCGCCGGCGGCGCCGCCCAGAACACGGCCCGCGGCGCCCAGTACATCCTGCCCCCCAACTCCGTCGTCTACCTCGGCGGTGTCGGTGACGACAAGTACGCCTCCATCCTCCAGGACGCCGTCAAGACCGCCGGCCTGCGCGTCGAGTACCGCGTCGACCCCAAGATCCCCACCGGCCGCTGCGGCGTCGTCATCACCGGCCACGACCGCTCCATGTGCACCGACCTCGGTGCCGCCAACCACTACGACCTCGAGCACCTCACCCGCCCGGACGTCTGGTCCCTTGTCGAGGGCGCCCAGGCCTACTACATCGGCGGCTACCACTTCACCGTCTGCCCCCCGGCCATCCAGAAGCTCGCCGAGGAGGCCGCCAAGAACGACAAGATCTTCGCCGTCAGCCTGTCCGCCCCCTTCATCTGCCAGTTCTTCAAGGACCCCCTCGACGCCAGCGCCCCCTACTGGGACTACGTCATCGGCAACGAGACCGAGGCCGCCGCCTACGCCGAGGCTCACAGCTGGGGCACCACCGACCTGAAGGAGATCGCCAAGCGCCTCGCCGACCTCCCCAAGGAGAACGGCAAGCGCAAGCGTGTCGCCATCGTCACCCAGGGTACCGAGCCTACCCTCGTTGCCGTCCAGGGCGAGGACAACGTCAAGGAGTACCCCGTCAAGCCCATCGCCAAGGAGCAGATCAACGACACCAACGGTGCCGGTGACGCCTTCGCTGGTGGTTTCATGGCTGGCCTCGTCGACGGCAAGTCTCTCGACGAGTCCGTCGACATGGGCCAGTGGCTCGCTAAGCTCAGCATCCAGGAGCTTGGTCCTTCGTAAGTTTCCCTTTAGATCACTTACACGCGCGCAATGCGAAAGAAAGGTTTGTGCGAGTATCATCATCATTTGCTAACTATCTCTCAGCTACCCCTTCCCCAAGCAGACCTACTCTGCTTAGATCTCAGGCCTCTAGCCTACAAATAATGCCATTGGCATTTTCGTCCATTTCGACAGTCTGGCGTTGAGGGGGTTCAAGGGAAAACGGTTTCAACAACGGCGTTGGCTCCTGAGGAGCTTAAATGAGTGGCAATAGCACTTGCATCAACTTGCAATATGGGCTTGACATCTTCCACGATCCGAGCCCCGGGTCATGAAATAGTAAACAACGGAGGACCAATTCGGCTGAAAGAAAGAACGGCCAGATTGAAATATTCCCAGACCAGTCACCTCCGTGTCGTGTGAAACCCGTCCAAGAAACAATTCGTGAGAGCAAAACGATTATCCGGCGAGTGGTTGGCACCTGAGTGGTAGCCATTTCCCTGTGTGGTTGGTCAGCTTTCGAGTTCACCAACAAGAGCTCACATCATGCTCACATCGCAATAGCAAAGATGGTAAGTTCATCTGCCAACCGCGCGGCTCATGGAGTTGAGCCGCGTAGGCTGGACTTGAGTTTTCAAAGAGCAAGTCATGGACTCCCCCATCTGATGCTTCACCGACGGAGATTCTGTCCTGAAGCGCGTCTCATCTCGTCAGCCATGGCGGACTGGAGAATCATGTCATTGTATCCCGCGGTGTAGCCGTCAGTAGCAGCCCCTCCGTTGTTCCTGACCAGGTTCTTGTAGTGGGTTGGGTCCTCGGTCATGTGGGCAATGGGGCCCCTTCCGAAGGCGGTCGTCGCGGTGTACGCGATCCCGTTGCACGGGGTGCCCTGGTAGATGCTGCTGTTGTTGGAGAACTGGCTGCTGTTTGACAAAGGAAGGTTCTCTCCACTCTGGGGCACGCTGGGACTCTGTGGATGCTGCAGCCGAGATCCGCTCATGTTGCGCGCGTGAGTAGAAGCCGCGCGAGGTTGCAGCGAGCTGGGACTGACCTCCGCGTACGGACTGGTCCATAGTCCGTAGCTTCCGGAGTAATCGCGGCTCGTAGATCTAGAGTCAGGCCGCTGCTTGCCAAAGGCTTGGAGCAGGCGGTCCTGATGGGCCGTCATACCGTCTGGGGTACCAGCATACCGCTGTTGCTGCTGCTGCGACTGCTGCGGCGGCCGAGACATGTACTGACCATCCTGCCCATCTCCAAAAGGATCATCGAGCAGGCCGATGCTAGAGACCTGAGCGTTTCTGTTTGGAACGCCGGCATCAAACGACTTCCTAGCAGCTGCATCCCGGGCGGCACGGTCTGGTGGCGTCAGCTCGGAGTTCTTTCCGTGCGGTGTGGGCGTGTAGATCATGTTCCATGGCAGGCTGGGGAACGTCTTTCCAGTCGCTGATCCAAGTGCTGGTGGACTGTTGGTCGGGGGCACACCAAATACCTCGTTGGCCATAGTCGAGTTCATCCCGTACGAAGTGTCCTCGGGGCTCTCGGCAGGAGAATCGTGATTAGCGATGGGAGGCATGAGGAAGTCGTTGACCATATTCAACATGTCGGCATCAGAACTGAAGTCATACTCGGACTGACCCTGCGTCTGCTTGTTGCGGCCGGGAGTTGACTGTGGTGGCGGCGCACGCGTGACGTCCACATTGGGAGGCGGCATCGAAGATGCTGGTTTCGAAGGCGCCTTTTTGTGAATCCTTGCCCGCGGTGCTTCCTTCTCTACAATGGATGCTTTCGCAGGGGCGGTCTTGTCGACTGCTGTCTGTACGAGTGGCTGCGTCGCTGGTGTCTGAGCTGATGCCATAGGAACGTAGTCTTCCACGAAGTTGAAATTGAGGCCCTTCTCCGACGAGCCTAGGGAAAAGGGGAAGCCATTATCCTCGGCAAGAAAGTATCCGCATTTTATCGTGCTCAGCACCCTGGCAAACACTTCTCGGAGAGCATCGAATCGCCCACCATTATAGTGAACAGCTTCCGGCTTCAGGGTTTGAAAGTCTTCATCGTAGTGAATGCGGCAGCTCGGCGGAAGCTGTGAGTCGTAAAGTGGAAGCATTCCGATGGCTTCCTCATCCTCCGGCAGCAGATAGGGTGTCAACTTGAGATCCTCGCAGGCGTACACCTCGCAAAGAACAGTCAGAGCTTTTGCGAAACTCCTGAACATGTCTTTGATGCAAGGCTCCAGGGCATCTTGCGCGTTCAAAATCTCAGCGCGACAGGCCACGAGCCATGCTGCGTACAAGCGAACGAAGGGCAAAGTGTTCTCCAGCAAAGAGCTGATCTTATCAGCCTCCCCTGCGCCGTCCGCCGATTGATCGCTCCTTGCGTGTCTTTCGGCCAGAGACTCCACCTCCTTCTTAAGAAGTTGGCAAAATGTCGAGAAGAAGCGAGCGTTCAGGCGCAAGAGGAAATGCGAAGACCGCGAAGCAGTAATGGTCCACTTCTCTACAGCCGAGTTAGCGAATGGCAACTGAAAGACGTCAAAGTACTTGCTGGTCATTTTTCTGTTAGAATGATGAAAGGCCGAAATGTTGAGTAGAACCATCTTCTGTAGCATCTCCCGGGTATCTGGGGACTTGATGGCCATCTCCAGCCGATGAATTACTTCCTTCTCCAGCTCCTGGTGCTGCGCGAATGGCTCTCCCTTGTAGAAGTGTGCGTGAAGACTGACGAACCAGGACACGAAAGCCTCCTGGGGACCAGGAGGACGTGGAGGACCTGTGCGACGAGCCGGCGTGGATGGCTGCTGGACAGCTTTCAGCTCGCTTTCCAGGTTAGACTCCGCCACCGGATGAGGTTCTTCGATAGCCAGGGCACGGTAGAAGTGATATATGATATCCAGGTGCTTTTTCTCCTCCAAATAGACCAGGGCCATTTGATGGTGAGCGAAGCCCGAGGTTGGTATGATGTCGTGAGCGAGTGAATAATACGTCAAGGCTGCCTCAGAAGGCACTTTGGGGCGAATTTGGGTTCGGTATCTAGAGAGGTCGCCAAGATGGATGAGAGCCGCGTGGCAGAACATGAGGATGCATCGATGCACGGTCGGCGTAACGTTCGCAATCGGGTTTTCCTCATTCATCTTATCGGCCTTGATGCCCTCCGCAATGCGCAAGAGCTCGGGTATCGGGAAAATGGCGGCGAGGCGCTGGATGTGGGCGATGTAGAAGCCTTGCGACGTCTTCAGGAAGGCCATGTACATTTTGTCCAGCTTGCGCTTCAGCACATTATGCTGCGAGCCTTTCAGACGGAGCCATGCCTTTCGGTATTGGGAGTTGAGTTGGCCATGCGCCCCCCAGAGAGTGGCGTCGACCTTTTCTTCGGTGGCATACTCGAAAGAGTGGAATATGACCGTGATACAATCGAATCGAAGGCTGGGTAGGTTCAGAATTAGCAGGCGCTCCGGCGGGAGAGGCGGCTTCGTACGTACTTCGAAATGATGTTCTCCAAGGACTCGAAGCGCTTAAGTTCGTTCCCTTCCGGATCGGCCTTGAGCTTGTCCAGCTCTTTTGCGAATTTGGCGCGGACTTTCAGCGCATGTCTAAAAGTGGTCAGCATTGGCAAGGAAGGAGGCAACAGTCGCCGACACCTTTCTACGCAGATGCGCCCAAAAGCATCCGCCACCAAATACGACAAAAAAAAACAGTGATTCAACTTACTGCCAGCGCTCCTTTGCTACGTCGATATGGTCGGCCATGGTGGAAAAGCCAGGGTCGAGCCCAGGGTTGGAGGGGTTGTTGTTGCGAAATTCGCGATGGTGTTATGGTGGGAGTAGCGGAACTCCAAAAAATCGACTGTCAGGCAGGACAGAGGCAAAGCAAAAGTGCAAAGAATGAGCCTGAAGCTACGTGCTGTGCTCACACGCTCTCGAAACCGATCCCAAAGTGCGCGCGCGATCCATAACTTGGGAAAAAGTGACAAGCGCTTCGTGGGCGAGAGGACTGCAGGTGCAGAGCAGAGGGCGACGCGATCGGGGAGTCGGAACGAAGGCTTGTGGCGGCACGTACTCGGGGTGATGAGGTCGTCGGGAAAGAAAACATTGGGCGGAGGTTCGGAGGGAAGGAGCGACGAGAGATGCGCCACCCAAAGCAGACATTCAAAAGGGGCGGGCGAACAAGGCAGACACTCGGACAGGAAGGCGGTTCTGCAATCACATAGACACAGAATGGCAAAAGGTAGGAAGAAAGAGGACGGCGACGTCGGGTGTCAAGGAGACGCAAAGAACATCAAGGTATTATGGTAAAGTTGTGTTTCCACCACCTGGGCATCAGTTATTTTGGTTGGAGCCCCTCAACAGCTGCAATTGGCCCGTGCCCAGGGTCCTCCTCCTCGGTGCCTCCTCCTCCTCCTCGTCAGGTCCTCCAGCCCAGGCCCCAGGCTCGTGAGGAGGCGTCTTAACTGAGTTACCTCTGCACAGCCCCTGCCGCGTACCAACGACCGCTGCTTCTTTGTTAGGAGCCCGAGGACCTGAGCCAACCTGGCCCTTGCTTGAAGGTTAGGTAGGTAGGTACCTTACCTCACTACACGTTTATTTTTTTCTGTCGAATACTTTAATCGTAACTACGGACGCTGAGGGTAATGAAAGAAGTAGCAGGGAGGAGCAAGGGCAGTAATCAAGGTAACGAGCAGTAAGGGCAATGTCAGTAGAATCTCATTTCTAAGTGTCTAGGTACTGATTGGCATTTGGATTGATGAGTGATGACTGAGGTGACCTGACTTTCCGTCGGCTGGGGTCTTTGACCGTCAGTGCCCCACCGCCGAACCGTCGTCGCCCTGGTCTTTGATCTTCCACCGCCCAAAACATTGGATTCCAATTGAGTCGCTATTGTTCGCTACTTTACGTCCCGTCTCCTCTGGTCTTACCAAAGTTACACGGCTTGATAGCTCACTACCTATATTTGGTTGGTATCTGACTTCAATCGGACTTGAGCCTCATCCATGCTCCTGCCCGCTCCTCTCAAGTTCTAAATACAGCACCGCGGCTTTTCGGGGGCGGATTCTGTGGCGACCTTGCAACCTAAGTAAACAAACCCCCCTTCCATAGAACTCACATTGCACTCAAGATGAAACGCTCACGAGAGGACGAAGAGGAGCCATTCGCCGCCGACAACGACCGTAATAGCCCGGCGGTTAGTCTCGATGAAGGAGGGAGTCGGGCGACCAAGATTGCAGAGCTAGAAACTTCCGCCGTGTCCTCGGAGGATTTCGCCATGAGATGTTCACTGCCGCCTCATCGAGATGCCATCGCGTTCAAGTCGTATGATGAGTATGAGGCGCATTACATCAAGACGCACACGAATCGATGTCTGGAATGCGGGAGAAACCTGCCGTCGGAGCATCTGCTTAACGTGCATCATGAAGAGTGTCACGACTCCTTTGCGGCCGTAAAGCGGGAAAGGGGCGAGCATACGGTGAGACAACCCTTCGCCCTTAGCTTGTGATAATATCACTGACAAATCGCAGTACTCCTGCTTCGTCGAGGGCTGCGAGAGAAAGTGCATGACCCCGCAGAAGCGCCGCATGCACCTCATCGACAAGCACATGTATCCCAAAAACTTCTTCTTCGCGGTGACGAAAGAGGGGATTGATGGACGACGCTCACTGCTCGTAGAGGGAGGACATCATCGACGGAAATCATCCACCGCGGTCGCCAGCAAGGAGTCGAAGCGCAAATCAAGCATCTTGGAATCGTCTTCAACGCAAGGTGAGACTAAGATGGAAGTGGACGAGAAGAAGGGTGGCAAGGAGGCTCGGGCAGCATCGTCCTCGGGGCAAGCGACACAGCCAACAACGCAACCGGACCCGACAGAACGTCCAGATACGGACATGGAAGACCTGGCAGGCGCAATGTCGGCGTTGCAATTCGTTCCGAACAGCGTGCGGTTTGGACGAGGCGGCGGGCGAGCAGGATTTGCAAAACGATGAAGACGTCACGAAGCACAGCACTATCTTGATTAGCGTTCAGGTCATAATGATACCAAAAACGGTCAATTGAAAGGATCACTACCTCTTTGCAGCAAACGATATCCCGAGTATCTCTCATACTCTGGGTAGGGTTGGATCCTCCATAACGCCAAACGCCTATGCCCCACGATGTTGTTGTTGCCGAGTCAAGCCTTGTCGCCGTACAGACGAGATCGACCTGTCCACGGTTGATTTGTCAATGGTCTCAACGAAATGGCTCAATCGCTAGACGCGCAACCATGACACCCGCAGTTGACGCACTGCACCTCCTGGTCTTCCTTGAGCTGCGCCTTGGGAACTCTGCATATGCACGTCGAGTTGAAGTTGGTCTCCTTGGTCTGAACGCAGCGCAGACAGCACAACTTTAAAGACCCCTACGTTAGCAATCGTCTAACTCGCCAGGAAGGAGGAATCCACAAACCTTTTCGTAGCCCTGTTTTTTCCACTTCGCGATGAGCATCGCGTCCGCGTACCCGTTCTTCAGCAGCCACTCGTACAGCTGCTTGCTGATGGCCTCCTTCTCGTAGTACAGGTCGTACACATATCGGCTCCGCGTATGCGCAATCTGGAAAATCTCCCACTGCGCCTGGTGCTTCGGCCCCGTCGGCGGCGGCTTGTTCTGCGCGTCCTTCATCTTGTTCTGGAAGATGAGCAGCTGGTCCTCGATGTCGCTGAAGCCGTCCGGAGGCGGCTTGCGCTTCGACGAGTGACGCATGGGAGGCATGGCTGCGGTTCGTTTGGTCGGCGGGCGTGGTGTTGTGGTACGGGTGCGTTATTCGTGTATCGGCGGCGACTGCTCAGAGTTCAAAAATCGGGCGCGTCGCTGGATGACGAAGAAGGTCGAAGTTCAATGTTCAATGGTGGGGCGAAATGGACTTACCTGCGCCAGCCGAAATCTTATCTTATCACTTCAATGCCGCAACTTTCGGGAAGGCTGACTAAGTCCCACACGTGATTGGGCGGCTCCCAGACCGTCGGGAAGCTCCCCAGCACCTCCCGCAAGATCACCGTTTAGCCCAGCGAAGCCGGGCACGACGCCATCCACGAACCCCTCCGAAGTTCAGCAACCGCCGCCGCCACCCACCATGGCCATCACACCGACCCAATTCGCCAAGACGACCCGGCAGTGTACGTTTGCGATCCCGATTGACCTGCGCAGCGCGGGCTAGCCTTTGGAGATGTACGCAGGTAGCTGACCAAGGGCAACGCAGCGGCCAACTGGAACGACGCAAAGCGACGGGTTCTCGCTTCGTACCGAGAATGGATCCGAGCTGTACGTGAACCTCCTCTCTTCCCGCGACGACGATCGATACCGCACGTCCGAATTGGAGCAATGGAGCCAGGCATTGGAGGGGGAAAGAAGGGAAAAGGGAAAAAGGCTAATTGAAGTGTACCGATACCCAGGCGCCCGAGATCCAGACCATGTACAACGTCCCACTCCCCGTGTCCGTCCTCCGCACCCGGATACGCGAGGAGTTTGAACGCCACAGGTTCGCCAAGAAGCTGCCTGTCGTCGACGTCTTGATCTTCAAGAGCCATGCCGAATACCAGGTACGCGCCCGCCTTCCCCGCGCCGAAGCATAAAGGACAGTCAGAGGAGAGAGGGAGAGGGAGACCATATCCCAAGGAGCTGCGGAGGAACTCTGCTATACCAGACGCTGACGGAGATGTGCTACAACAGGAGACGATGAACTTCTGGAAGCAGACCACGCACATCATGTCCTACTTCAAGGAGGAGAACTTTAGAGGAGACAAGCGGTTGCCCAACAGCTTCATGACCGGGTTCTTGGAGGTAAGCCAAACACATACGCATGTGTGTTGATAGAATTCATGCTGACGATTGTGACCATTCAGGGCCGCAACTGAGCGTTCAGAAAGAGAGACCTTAGAGCTCGTGTATATAAGACCAAAAATTCAAGAAACCTGCCTTTTACGCGTCGTCAAACCCATTCAATTGCCGGAAGGAAACCGAGAAATGTGGAAACTTAAAAAAAGGAAGGCAACCTCCCATTAACTCTCTGCTTCATTTTTGTCTATGATCCGAGTTTCTTTTCCCCTTTCCCAGAAAAAAACGCCTCTAAACATGCAATGGTACCGATTCCCCCCTTCAATGCCTATGAACGGCCGAACTCCTCCTTGGAACGGAGGAACTCCGCCGCGACGGTGTCGCTGAGGGCCTGCAGGTCCTTGAGACCCTTTTGCAGAGCCGCGACAGCAGTTCCGTCTAAGAGGACGTGTGTCAGTCAAGAGACTCAAGAGACAGAGAGTTGCCCCGGTGCCTCAATGAGGAGCGGAAAGTGGAGGGGCAAGAACTTACCATAGGTCTGGATTCTGATGTTCATCTTGGCCTCGGAGGGGTGAGGGATAGAGTAGGCGCAGAACTCAACGTCAGGGCTATTTCATAAATGTCAGCAAACATCTCTTATACCCTCAGAGGTCGTCGAAGAATATGACGTACTTCTTCATGATGATGAACCTCAGCGCGTTGCCGAGAGTATGGCTCTCATCGATGAATTCAAACGACGCGGCCGTGTCTGATGAGCCGGGGAGCTACAGTCAAGTCAGTAATGAGACCTCAAACCTCGAACCTCATGAAAAATGCCGAAACACAAGCAAGGGCGAAGACAAATACATACAATCTTGACGCGCTGGGGCTCCTCTTCCTCCTCCTCCTCTTCCTCCTCCTCCTCCTCCTGCTCAGCCTCCTGCTCCTCGGCCTCGTTCTCCTCGGGCTGGGCAGAGGTGGGCGCCTCGTCCATGGTGACGTCCTCGGGTTCCGTCCTGCTGGGCATTTTTACGGCGTATGTGCTTTTGTTCGTAGTTTCCTGTGGGTCGTCAAGAGCGACTCAGAGCAATATTTTCTTTTGAAAATTTGTTACTTGGTCCGCTGCTGCTGCTGGCTTGGTCGTCGCAATTTGGGTACTTCGTGACTTGCATCCAATCTCGAAATTTTCTGATAACGCCGATTTGATAAGCTCAAGGCTGGCGGGCAGCGCTTGGACTGCCGGCGCACATCCCACCCACCATCTGGTGCCAGCTGGCTACTTGTTTCTGAATTACATAATCATCCCAAGCGTTCCTCAAGCGCCCATCACCACCACCAACCTGGCAGACCAGCATTGAGCGTTAATTATCGCGCCACGGGGCGGTTACAAGAGAAAGCAGCACCCGCCGAGCGTCGTGCATTTCTCGGCAGATCAAGATACAACGACAGACTCGGGTGTTTTCTCATCGAGAAACCAACCGCCGGAGAGATTGTCTGCAGCATGACAACTGCCGAGGTCACCAAATCTCCATTCCAACAAACCATACGTCACGTACCTACCCTCAACATTCTCACCCGGAAGAGGAAATCGATAGAAGCTGCGTGTGGCGCGCGGCAAAAAACCCAAGCATGCAGTCGCGACAGGCGGCAGCAGCATGTCAGCACAGAAGACGTACTTCGTACATCAAGCCAACAAACAAAGACGCAACGCAACCCCAACAGCCAGCCAGCAGCGTCGCAATCTGCAGCATCGCATCAGCGGCACCAACATACGCGCGGACGAACGTGAGTGGACGGTTGGCAAGCAATAACGTTTTTTTTTCGAGAACAATAGCGCGAGCGCGGGTGTTGCTTCTTCTTTGTTCCCTCCCCATCCCCCAAGTGAAGTGCCAATGACGGAACGGCGGGGACAGACAGACACACACACACGCCATGGAAAAGTTCTATCACCTTGCATTCGTTGGTAACCTATCGCACCTGCAGCTCCCTTGGAGCGGAGAAGGCGTGTGACTGCAGCTGTCGATGCCTCGGATTGACATGTGGAAGGACGTCAAAGGAACAGAGACAAGCATACCATGGACTTGAGTTGAGTCACCATTGTCCTCGCCAAACGTCAAGGCAGCCAGAGCGCCCCCTCGAGTTCGAGAAGGCGGGTTTGTAAGACCTCGTCTCGTCTGGCTCTGCGGTACGGGGTCGAGGGGACGCCAAATGCCTCAAACCTGTGACCAAGCGAGGATATCAGAAACAAAACATCACGCTTCACCTCGGCCGGAATCGACGACAGCCGTGAAGAAGTCTGAAGAGGAAGAAAAACAAGGCCAGGCCCCGTCCCCCAACCCCTCCGGATCCGTCTCCCGACAGCCAGGTTACGGGCCACCGGTTCGGTGAGACAAAGCTCTCAGTCTCAATCGGCAGGGCATAGTGAGCGGCCACGGACCATCTCTCAACCTCGTGGGTTTTGACGTTGCCGGGCTTAAGCGCGGAAGCGAAGAGATGGGATAACACGCATCATACCGCACATCATACACCTCATCACAGACCGGAACCGGGCGGCCCCCCCTCCTTCGCTAACCGATCCCCCTCACCAGAGAGGAAACAAAACAAACAACGGTGTGCATCTCAAATCAAGATCAAGAAAACCGAAGCGCGGCCGAAGGATGCCATCAAGTCACCCGGGCTCCGTTGCAGGAGACAGAGGAGAGACAGATAGACCGCCCGACTGTCCCGGATTGTCCCCTCCACGTCAGACGAGGTGCGTTCGGATCTCCCAACGTCTGGATCCAATGGCCCTTCTTTTTCAGCGACGCAAGTTTACTTGGAAATGTTCACACCTCTCTCTTCGTGATCGTCTTGCGCTGTCACGTCGAAAACAGGGTCTGATTGGCCCCCGAGCGCCCATCTTGTTTCAAGTCGAAACGTTTTGGAGCATCTGATTGGTTCGTTTCCCTCGTCCTCAAACCGAAGCTCAGTCGGTGGGTTGGTTTTGGTTGGCCCGGGGTGCTTCTACGTACCGAGACCCTGGACTCGTGAGGTGACTGAGATCCAGTCGCAACAGAAGGATGGTTTGCAGCTGATCGAGGAACAAGCCAAACAGGCATCGTCTGTGGGCTCTTGTTGGAAGAGATGGGACGGCGAGTGCGAACCGAGGAACGACATTTGCTGATGGACTTCTCAGAACCTTGGGTTAAACCGTCTGTGCAGGTGCAGCGAGTGCAACATGTGCATTGTAAGCCGTCAGCGCAGGGTTTGGTAGCTCCGTGCCTCTGGAGTTGAACCTGTAAGGCAGGACAAGGCCAGGTTTGTAGCGTTCCGCACCCAGAAAACCCGCAACAAGGGGGGAAGGCTGTCGTCCCGAAAAGGATGAAGAGAATTTTTAGGGGATGTAACGTCAACGACGAACCTGGAACCGTGGTGGGGAATTCGGGGAATGGGGGTGTCGATCGAGCAGCCCGAGGGGTGAAGTTGCGGGTTGTGATTGCTGCTGCTGCACTGGAGCATCTAAAAGCCAATGAATAGATGAATGTTCGGCCATGCCATAGCAGCTGGCTCTTTCATACTTGTATGAGTAACGGTCCAGCATGGACGCATTGGATGAAGGGAAATTTGACAGTCGACGATGGGTGCAGGAGGTGGCTCTGGCGCCGGTGACGACGACAGCGTGGAGAAGGTTGCAACTCTCCGACTCGTATTTTCTCTGGATTCACTCAGCAAATTCATGCTGCCCTCTGTTGCCGGTGCTGGTTCGTTCGAGAGTGAGTGCCACACTTCAACTCAGCCTCTTAATTGAGGGACAAGCTGGTGGGACATGGGGTTGCGGCTTAACGGTCGTGGGATATGGCCGGGATCTTCAGGGACGTCTCTTGTCGTGGATGGCGTCTTCAGGCCCCCTGTTGCTCTTCGCCCTGTATCCGTACCTGAGCCTGTCTGGTTCTTGCTTGCGCAGAGCAACAGGACAAGACACTGGAGTGCGGAGAAAGAATGTCAGCGACAGGTGAACAGGCCAGCACTAATTTCGTCCGTCTTACACTAGCCTTCAGGAGGCTCGGGTCAGGTCAATCGAATGAGGGAATGGTTTCAGTGTCAGCAGTGACCAGTTGCCCTACGAGTGGCTACTGATCGTCCGCGATGGCTGTCCTGGTTGGTAACCCAAGCGGGAGGTAAGACAGCACCGAGCAAGCCATGTCAAATACGATGGCGGTAGTGGTAGTGGTAGTGTGATTCGTGTCTCTGATCGACCTCGGACGAGCTGAGCAGACAGCGCGGCAGCGAGAAGTATTCAGAGTCGAGAACGGGAGCTGACGCTTCGTAGACTTGTGCGTTGAGCCGCGATACGGCTTGTAGAGACGAACCAAGTCGCAGCCGGAGGCCATTGGCCGATTGGGCAATCTATCTTGTGCAGATTCATCCATGTGGAGTTGTTGGGTCCGTCAGATGTGTGATCAGGGGGTAGGTTGGCGTGGAGGAGGAGGAAAGGTGGAGAGCCACTATATTTCGCCGGTGAGAGTCTCGTTTGAAGTTTGGCCAAAATATTTTCCGAACCTGTCGAGGGAAATTGAAGGCTCTGTCGTCCGGCCGGCGATGGATCGATTTGGTCGTTTTTGGCTTGAACTCATGGGGCGTAAGGATTCAAGGAAACAGAGAACCATATGAGAGTCGTTTATCGGTGATCGCGAGCCCCTCCAATTGTGGTTCTGCTGTCTTTGCTTGAGTATTCGGATCGTGTTTCCGACGGTGAGCCAAGATAATTTGTTGGTGTTGGCATCTGCGAAATTCGCACAGGCTTTGCCGTGTGAGTGTGAGTGTAAGGTGGTGTCCGCAATCCAGATTCCAGCCGTAACGGAGGCTAGACTCTTTGGTGAAGAGCCACCAATCGCAACAGAGTATTGCCATCGTTCGACCTCGCCGCCGTCGCCCCCAACGACGTTGACTTTTCTCTTGGGGGCCGCATTGGATCGTAAATCTGCCGGATAGGAGAGAAGAAACCGGCTTGACGCCCGGACTGAGCTGCGCAAGTTGCATGGTAGCGTCGAGTTGGTCTGATGTGGTCCGTAGGCCACTCGCGGCACCGGCGCGCGGTGAAGATGAGCGGAGCGAATTATTAATACAACACCGACTATTAGGAGTTAGGGGAACCATTCTTCGTAACTGCTCAGGCACATGAACCAAGCGCAGGCGCAGACGTAGCACCAGCCGTTAGATGTTAGACGCGCTGGGCCGTGAAGTACTGCCACTGCCACATACACAGGCACAGGCCACTCGGGTATCCCGTCCCGTGTGGCAGTATGGCTGTGCTGTTCAAGGGTGTGGTGACAGGTTGAGAGCTCCCGATATCATCCAGTCCATTGAACTCGGCGACAGCGGCATGACGACGATATAGTGGCCGACGGGCGCCTCATGGAGCTTCCTCCGTTTTTTGGGCCGTCGAAAGTTTAGCCCGTAGCTTGTTGGGCGAGACAAACCACCATCTCAACTCTCCTTGGAGTGTCGCATGGGACGACGGTGAAGGCACTGGACGTTTCCACGTCGTCGTGCTGCTGCGGTTGAAACAACCGAGTCCCGGTTTTGGTTGCCCCACTGGCAGGGCATTCCCGGACATGCAGTTGAAGGGCAAGGGATTCTCGCGAACAAGGTGAAGTCGAGGTGAGTGAGGGCGTCAATCCCAGCAACTGTCCAGGGCCTAGTGAGAAGTCAGTTGAGCTGAGGGGAGCTACGTAGCGCAAGTGCGTGTGCAGTACGTAAGGTACGTCAGTGAGGGTCGCAGAGATGGGATAGTGGTGAATTGAGTGCGTAAGTCGTTGTCGTCGTCGTCGTCGTCGTTTTTCTGGTGTAGACGATGCGAACTATTCTGTGGCGAGGGTTTGCTGCCTGGATAGTGAAGCGCAACTCGGACGGAGAAGACGACGACGAAGCAGAGCCAAGCCACGTCTCGTGATATTGCCGAGTTGCAGAAGCTGCAGTCGTCTGTCATCCAACGGCAAGCGCGATGAGGTGAGGAAAAGGAGGGATTGGGTTGTAGGAGAAAGAGTTAACAATGTATGAGCCCCGCCTTGGTGTTTCCGTCTGGTCTTTTCTCGCCGTTATCCGTATACCTTAATCAGATCAAGAGGCGTGTTGCGTTGGGTTGCGTGCTCGGCAATCCCTTGCTCGATATAGTGGTGGGCATCTAAAGTTGACATTCGAGGAAGACTCGTAGTGCTTGTCTATAAGTCTTGTCTTTGATAGAGTGCGGTAATCACGGGACGGACAAGGATGGCGTGCGTGTTGGTTGCTATGTTGGTGAGAGTCAGAGAATTGGCGGTCAGGTTTCTCATGTCTCGGTCAAGGAGAATTGTCGTCCGGTGTTGTCGAATGTCGAGGCCCAATCCATGGTGTCAATCTGTGTCAATCCTGACAATCTGATGGGAAAAGGAGGGTGAGGGAGAGGGTGGTGGCTCGTGTGTGCATAGGTACCTTACTATGGACTGCGTGTGCGTGGTACTATGTGAGGTATCTCTCGCATGGGGGTCATCGAACCCAATCAGAAACAATAGCGTGCTTTTGGCTGCACCTCCCGCAGAAAGCAAGAGCCTTCCAATTAGCAGTACCTTCGCAGGTACTGGGCACCAATGCTGCAAATGAAGGCAGTCAGGCGCAGGCACAGGCACAGGCACGAGGTCGGCCGAGGACCAACTTGCAAAGGTGCCTTGCTTTAGCCTGAGGAGAGCAGGCCGCCTATTCTCCTGTTGTGCATGAGAAACAGCGTCAGGATTGTAATGCGACAGAGTATTTTGCTGGAGTTGAAGCTTGCTTCAGAGTGAGATATCGTCCATCATGTCTGTTATTAGGAGTTGATATCCCACCAAGCTGGAGCCATTTTGGAGCCCCCTGGAGCACGTCCCAGTGCCAGCCAGAACGCAACTGCTGTCATCCCGTCGTTGGTCTTCCCGAAACGGAAGTGTGGGCTGTGTGGGAGTCGGAGACACAGGCAGAGACAGGACAGAGACGGACGGAGACAGAGACAGGGGCCCGGCGATCCGAGGAGACGGCCGCTACTCGAAGCAGCATTAGCAAGGCATTCGTACCGGGGTCTGCCAAGTTGCGAACACTCTAGCAGTTACATCAATGTAAAACAGCCTACGGAGGTTAAGCGGCGCCCCCGCTCATCGCGACCTCAGAGTACCCCTGGCGGTGGTTGATGTTCTCCTTCTGATTCTCCCGTCCTCAGACTGACAGGCGAGGATGAGGCACACTATCGCCGTAGCACCTCCACTGTTGCTACACGCTGCGAACCAACCAACTGTGAGCTGGGGCGTCCGACCCGACGGCTGCCACTCTGTTCTGTTGCGTCTGACACGCGATGGTGCTTCACGAGGTGGAGGAATTCGTTCGGGGAGGAGAAGACAGCTTTTGAGGACGCATCCGTCAAACTTATTCAACGACCAATGAGAGAAATGGAAGACCATCTGTCGAGGAACGGAAGTCAGTGACCAGAGAGTGGCCAACAGGCTGGAGACTGCTGCGTGGTCTAGACTTGGACTGTTTGTGTATGGCTGAAAGGAAGGACTCGCCATATGGGAATGCTCGACGCTGAGTGCTGGATTCTCAACGCTGATGCTGCTCTGCGATGCAGTCTGCGCTGCGATGGTGGTGTTGGTGATGGTAAAGTGGTGGTAAAGTGCACCCCTTTCCTTCTTTGGTTCACCCCTCCCCTCCATCCATACGTAGTATGCTCCCGACCTTCCTCATATCAGCCAGTCAATCGTATCTTGCTGCAGCTTCCTTACCGGGAAGGCCCTTCTCCTCTGGCCTTCTGTCTCTCTTCCATGTCGTCTGGTGAAAAGCAGCAGACTTACGGTACAGTGGACGGTCAGTAGGAGGAAGCAGGCAAAAAAGGGCCAGGTGTGCCGGCTGGGCCATAATTGTGTCACTCCCGTGTCCCCCTTTCATAAGAAAATAAAACAACACAATTGCCCCTCCCCTCTCAGTCTCTCACACCTCACACCCACCCCCTTCCCACTATCTCCCCATGTTCATGTCTATCCATGTCAATCCATGCCCGTCCGACGTCCCAGTCCCAGTCCCAGTCCCAGTCCTAAAATCTAGGGCCCTGGTCAGTGGTCATCCCAGCTGCTGTCCCCTCGTCCCCTCGTCCATCGTGTCGCAGCCTCTCTCTCAGTCTCGACAGTCGACACCTCAGAGTCACTTGTCACTCACTGGATTGTCACCGCATTCTAAGGCACAATTCTTCCCCAAAACTCCTTCCCCTCCACCTTCTTTTTGATTCCCCCCAGTCCCTTTTTCACCTTTAAACACCCCCCTCCCCTCATCTTGCTCGACTTTTGCCTGTGACCCTCGTCTCGTCCAGCGCTTCCTTTCAACCTTCTTCAACCCTTCTTCTCTCTACCCCCCCTTCCTGGTATCTCACAAAACCTCCCGCGCCTGACCTTTTTCTACCCGACGTCGCAGGCCAAGTCTCTCGCTTTTTTGTTCCAAACAAGACAACTTCTCTCCTCTCTCACTAAAATTTGAATCTTTACGAATACTCTCGACGGAAAAGAAAGGCCCAGCCAGAGATAAACTTCCAACATCTTTCGCGCGCCGCTCTAATTAATACGGATTGTATACTCCCGACAAATTCGATTGATCATCGCCTCTTCTCCAAAAACCCATATACCAAAAACGAGCAAGAATTCGAGCCTGAAGCGCGCTCCCTTATTCTTGACACCACCTGACACAAGAGCCGACTTTTTCGACCCCATCGTCTCTGTCAATCAGTCAATTCATACCGGCCCATCTTCTCGAGCCACACCTAATTTTGGCAACCATCGGCACTGAACATTCCAGTCACCGACTCCGACTCGAACTCAAGCAGCAGTGGTAGCAGCAGCTGCGACACTTTTGTATCCTCTCTCTCTCTCACTCTCTCCTCGGCCGCTTTGCAAATTGTCGGCTTGTTCCACGAACGATATCAGCAGACCAACCAGGCGCCTGCGCTTCGACATTTCACGGCGAGCAGCAGCGACACCACAACCGTCGCCGGTGCACCCACACTTTTCGCCCTAACTCCTTTACCCCCAGCCCGCTCTCGGCCATTTTCGTCGAGTCTCAAAGCGCAGGCTTTTGGGGCTTTGAGCTTGGGTTCAGTTCAATTGCAGCGACCACAACCGCGCAAAGAAGGGAAAAGAAAAAGGGACAAAGGCGCCCCCTCCTCCAGTCCAAGGCCAGCCCGACAAACAAACGCTAGATCGAGTCTCTTTGGATCTCGTCTTCGTCCTCGCCATCGCCATCGTCCTCGTCTATTAAGTCTTGGCAGAACCCTCGACACCATTCGTCGCGCATCCGCATCCCCAGTCAGAAATCGTCACCGCGACACTTCCTGAACTTTGACCCATTTAAACTGGAGCATCGAGCAAGGGAGAATCGCGCATCTCAATCGCCCGCCGTTTGACGACATTGCCAATTAGAATTCCCACTCATTCTATACGTTGGCGACTCTCTTGCTACGACTCGAATACGAGAAAGCCGATCGTCGCTTTTTCTCGGCCACATTCGACGAAACGAGGCACCTTTGCGTTTTCAACGGCAAACGGTGACACGGGTGCAGTAGTATCCCGCCTCGAACTTATTTTCCTCCTATTCACCACCTTCCACACGACACAGCAACTATGAGCACAGCAGTTGCAATGGCTCCCTCTCCGGCCCCTCACGACAGACCGTCGTTCTCTTCAGACCTCGCCCCCGCCCCCTCTGCTCAGCATGCCGTTTCCTCCCCTGCCGCGCAAAGGACTCTCGCCCCCACGGGCACCCCCAACGCGACCGCGCACCGTTCTGGCAGTGGAAGCCCTAGGGGCGCCGCCCAGGCTCCCAAATCCTCTCCTTCCAGCGCGTAAGTCGCCGTCCTGGCAATTCGCACATCTACCATGAGCTAACATTCTCCTTCCCAGTTCTCGAGCCGGCGGCCCCCCGAAGATTGTCGTTAAGAAAGAGCCTCATTCGCCGGATCTGCCCAACACCCGACACAGGCCTCGCAAGCTGGACCTGTCCAAGGGCGCGCACCCGGGCTCCAACGCCCCTCAGACTGCGAGACCCATGACTGCTAGAGACAACCTGGGTATCCAGGAGGTCGGCCTGGCCTGCCTTTCGCCCGGCTTTGTCACTCAGGACCCCATCATGAAGGAGCAGCTCCAGCGAAGCATGAGCGTCAGGGACCAGCAGCGTATGATCATCGAGCAGAGGATGCAGCAGTCGGCCAAGGGCGACGGCCCGGACACTGCCGGCAAGGACCCCGTCTCTCAGTTCGCTGCCAAGACTCCTGGGCTGTCGCGCAGGAACAAGGCTCAACTCTCCATTCTGCCGCCTTCCGCGGAGCAGTTTGCCAACGAGCGCGTCATCCAGTCAGCGCCCCTGGGTCACTCTTTCACCGGTCGCCAGCACCCTGCTCCTCTGACTCGCCACATCGCCAACCAGCCCAACACCCTCTCCAACACCTCCCACATTCACCACGTTCCCGCGAACCAGACCCAGAACCGTCTGCCTCCGATTAGCGATGTGTTCGGCCAGGTTTCCGGCCACCCCGAGAACGCTCCCAACTCCCTCTACCCTCAACCGAGCGCGCGCGCGGCTCCGATGGCTTCCCCTGGCCACCCTCCCCAGCAAATGCAGCACCCGCCGACTTCCGGAAGGCCAAGAGAGTACAAGTCCGCCGAGGAGGCACAACACGAGATGACGGGAGGCCGACCTGAGCTTCTCCCCAAGATCGTCCATTACGGCGGCGCCCACCAGCCTCCTACCCCGCCATCTCCCGCTCCCGGCAGCCGGGCCGCGGATCCCAGCCGCAGCGCAAGCCGCCGTCGCACACGCGCCGAGTATGAGGACGGCAGCCCTCCCCTTGGCCACGGCCCCGCCGCCCAGAGGAGAGGCCCGTTCGGCGCCGGCCGCGACAGCCCGGAGACCCAGAGGCAAAAGCGGGAAGAGTTCCTGCGGATATGCGAGAGGGCCTGGGACCTGTTCCACTCCTAAGTACTCAGATACCACGTTCAATTCTTCAGCCAAGGAGCGGGCAGCCAGCCGGCTCCATGGCCACTATTTACCAGCGGGATCCGGCCCCGCGCCTTCGTCGACTCGATTTCGACTACGTTTGCATTGGCTCGGAGCAGTCTGTTTCACGTTGATTGTTGCTCTTTACCGCTCGCCTTACACCAGGATCAGAGGAAAAATACCGGCAGGGAGGGATTGGGTCAGGGATGTAATGTCTTTGTAACTACCGCCAACAACGATCGAAACCGACTATTACGATTTCCATTTACTCGATGGACGATTCTCGCTTTACACGCGGCTGGCGGGTACGAGGTGGGCGGCGCTACCGGCTTACGGAAATTCTTCCAATTCAAAGGGGAAGATTATGTCTTGGGGAGGGATCATATTTTTTCGATTCTCGCACTGGTATTCAAAGACGTGCCCCTCGAGGCGTTTATTTGCTTTGTTCAATGTTTTCCTTCTGGGTGTCTTTTATGGGAAAATGAAAGGGCCGGCACGAGATTCACGAGCAGAGAAGAGAAGAGAGTCGTCTCTGCGTATGTATTATCTTGAAGGGGGGTGTTGAAGAGGAAAAGACGGCCTACGAAGGTCTCTTTTGTGGTGTCTCCGCGTCTCGCGCTTCGAGGCCTGTCGGACCTGTGCTTTGAGTTATTAGTTGCAGCCATGTATATTGGAGCAAAGGTAGTGAAGATTTGGCGCGCATATACAGAGCCTTTGGGCTTTCTATTCAAGTTCATCTTCGTGTGCTCGAGACTTTGCAGACTTGTGATGAGCCGATCCATGTTGAAGTAAGGAACTCGACTATCGTAACATGTCTCGGAAACATCATGCTCGGAGCTGCTAATACCAGGGACCTCTCGACGTGTCTAGGTCACGCCTTCTCCCGGCGGTGTTCTGTGTAGTCCTCGTCCTTCCTCATCTCGACGACTAGAAATCTCAACAACTAAAACGACGTATTATACCCGACTAGGACGAAGGTTCAACTCTCGACAATGTCTTCGAAGGGCCGACCTCACCAACCAACCGAGCCGCTGGTGATCTCAAGGAGTAGCGAAGCCAGGCATTTCATGGGAGGGCAGAAGAATATGCTGTGTGACTTCAATTAGGTCGCGTGTATCGATTCTACGAAAGATTCTCGAGATGACATATCACGGTTGGTCGCCGTGAGACCTACCTACCTGCCTAGTCAATGACAAGAAACAAAGTCCCCAAACCCTTTTCACCATCCCCCCTCGGTCATTCACGTAGCAGGAAGTGGTTTTTCGAAAAAGTAGACACAGCGGTAGATTTCGCGCACACATGACCTACGTACGCACTTACTGTTTGGATTCCCTGTATTGTCAAGAACGAGTGAATAAGGAAAGAGTGCTCGGAGCAAAACAGACAAAGTCGGCGATTCCCGGGACCAAGTGCCTGGCCGCCACCGGACCGACCCATCCAAACGGGGGCGAGGCGGCTGAGAGGCCGGAGCCGATGGTGGGTCTCCTCGCTCCCGTTCGGTCCCCACCTTCGGCCGGACGAAGAATCTCGCAGCCGGCGGGGCCGAGGGAGATGCTCGAAACGGGCAACGGAAAGGCGAGAGCGTGTCTTCGCGACCCTGCTGCGCCGCCGCCGCAACCGGTGTCTCGGACCCTTCCGCATGACAAGGGGCCTAGACCTCCCTCGAGTCCAATATTCTAGAAAATCGAGTGTGTTCTACAGTCCCCGCCTCCGGACAACCCGGCTCCGGATCCGGAGACATTCAGCGTCTTTGTCTCAACCCGTGGCTGTGTGTGTTCTCTCCTCTTAAGTCCTGGGGAGAATCAGGCGGCGGCTTAACGAGCTACTTCGTCCGGCGCACACACACACACATGGACACGATCCATCCCCCCTTCATTCTTCCTGGGGGCGGCTAGATTAGTCTAGAAGACGGGCACCCATTCAAGCCTTGATAATCAAGCAGCGGACGGTTCTAGCATCGCGGTAGTAGCGCGCGAATAACGAAGCTTGCGATGCGTGGTTTTGGGCGGAAGAGCAAGCTCGACGCCTACGCCACACTTCCCCCTTCACTCTGGACACACGCGCTTGGTGTCCAAGTGACCTACCTCTCTCGCCAGATCCCGATCACCATCTTAACGGAGGATGTGTGGGCATGTGTTGGCATCGACACGCGATCTCGCCCAGCTAGCACGGCGGTTAGTGTAGTCTACGACTTAGTCCGCCCCCCCCCACCCCCGTCTACCAGGCTGCCGGAACACTCTTGCCGTGCGTGGTGGCCCCCGCCATGTGGTCGATGGAGAGCTGGGCGATGGAAAGAGGCGGTGTATCTTACCATAAGGAAGAAGAAGGGGAGGAGGAGGCGAGGCGAGGCGATGAGTTGGCCACGGTTCTCTGCCCTACCTACCTCTCTTCTCGATAGGTCTCGGCGAACTTACCACTTAGTTTTGAATATCCACACCGCCACGGACGGGTCTGGTGGACTTGATGTCGCAGCGGCATTGTAATCGAAACACCGTTTCCTCTGAAGAGAAAAGATATGCCTCGTCATGAGATGCGACCACGCCCGCAAATGCGCAAAACAGCACGTCTTGGCACACCCAGCTCGATGGAGGGCAGTGTCCGTGGCTGAACATCCCCCAAGAAAACCACTCGCCCCAAGTTTCCCTAACGCCAAGATCATCTTGACTGAGGCACGAAGAGTAAATGATCTCGAGCCCGACAAAACAATGCCCAAAACTCGTCTTCCCCAAACGCCAAGACAACCACCTGGCGAGCCTCCGAGCAACAACGGGGGGGGCGCAGACGGCGTCTGGTCTGCCCGCCAAGAGCGAGGCGGTGTTGTTCGACCTCCCTCGCCGGAACCCTCGGCGCGGCGGTGGGGGGGGGAATGGAAACAACGGACGGGGGAAGGCCCGAGACCCGTACTCTCAGGCCCGACCGTCCCTAGATACCAGAATTCCTTCAAAAGAGAAAGCCCATCTGATTTTGACTTCCCTTCTCCGGACCACGCGTCGGAGCCAGGAAAGGCCCACCCCAACCCAACAAACGTCAGAACTCTGATAGTTCTTCCCACTTTTATGCCTTAACCATGGAATAGCCCGTATCTCGGAAAGCAATCGTCATCTGCCGGGGCAGATAAACAGAGTTCGCTACGTAAACCCGAGTGAAAAAGTGGTGTGCGACAAGACAGGACTGGACAACCTTATACCGCGCGCTCGGCTCCCTGGGGAGCCCGCACGTAGTCGGATGACGATACTTGCCTCTAAGCGCCCGCGAGGAACAGATGCTCTCGCCTCCGTGGATTCGGGGGCAGCTGACGATGCCCGGGCCAGAAGGCCACCAGGGCTAGAAGTCTACCTGCCAGCAGATGACCAACCGCAAAGACCTGGCAAATTTGATGGCAAAGAGTTGTGAGCACACACAGAGGAGTCACAGAATGATCACCCAAAATGCCGCCCCTCTTTGCTTGTTCATTAAATTTTTGTTCTTTGGGTCTTTGGCTCAGAATACAACCACTCACTCACTGTAGGGACAAAAGCGAGTGGATTAGGTAAGGGGAGACCACAAGGCCTTATCCAGAGAATTGCCTGGCTCGCGAGCTCAGAACCAGCTCACCAAACACGCAGTCTCCCCCCAAAGTTCTCCGAGTGGACGCAGTAGCCCTCTGCGTCCACCCGTGCCAGTTCCTCCCATCCCATCCTGCCCATAGCCCTCCGGCTTGCTCCATCCGCGAAGCCCGCCAGTTCCCACCTTCAAATACCGTCGCTCATTATAGCTTCATTCCGTAGCGTTGGGGACTACCGGCCCAGTCGACCCAAGAGAGTTGTAGACCCGGCTCTGTAGCGTAGTTCTGCGATCGCCCGTTCCAAGGACGGGGGCGTCATATGTACGTTTGAACAGAAGGTTGTTTCGTAAGCAGGATGAGGAAAACGCCAAACGCCGATGCTCGCGATAACGAGGTCGCATGGGGGGTGTCGTAAAATCGTGAAAACAAGTATAATGGATGAATCGAATCAGCAGGCTGAAAGAGAACTCAAAAGACCGCCGGTCATGCGTCCTGCCCGTACAGGTGCAAAGTCTATCGTTGTACCAGGTTGATTTTCCGGTCATTTTCATTGTTCCGCCGAGGTTTGTTTTACAGGTGTAAACAACGTGTTGAAAAAGTGCTGTTCAGACAGGGAGTGAATCAGAGACCCTCTTCGCCGGCCTTGCAGAGCTTGATCTCACGGCCCCATTCGGACTTGAGGACCTGGGAGGCCGTGATGCGTCGGGTAGGATTAGGGTCGAGAATGGAGTAGATGACATTCCTACAGCGCGCCTGGGAGATGTTAGATTGAATCACTGCCAATAGCAGCCACGAAACTTACTCTATGCAAAGACTCGATCGGTCCATACCCCTCTTCGTCACGGCGGCCCTCCAAGTACCTGGCGTAAAACTCGTCCTCGTCCTTGCGGGCGACGCGCCAGAGGTGGCGACCAGTACGCATAGCCATGTAGATGACACCGCAGGCCCAAACGTCGACAGCACGAGCATCAAATTCCTTATCAGTGTACTCTTCGGGTGCGATGTAGGGGGCTGAACCGCAGAGACCGGAGACCATGTGGGGATCTGTCTCCCAGGCCATTCGGAAGCATTCGCCGTTGCCGAAATCGGTGATCTTGAGGCCGCCACGGGTGGTGAGCAACAAGTTCTCGGGCTTGAGATCGCGGTGAGCGACACCCATCTCGTGCAAGTACTCGACACCACGCATCATTTGCTTGAAATAGCAGTCGGCCTCCTGGACCTCGAGCTTGCCGGCCGATAATACGAGCGTGTACAAGTCACCACCTGCACAAAACTCCATGACTTCGCAGTAGTCTCCCTTGGCGTCCTTGAGCAAGTCGAGGGTGTGGATGACGTTCGGATGGCGAAGGGAAGAGGAAATGCAGAACTCGGCGGTCAGTCTCTTGCTGTACTTCTTCTCGGTCTCTTCGGGTCGGCGACGGAATTCCTTGACGGCGAACAGCTTTTCGTTGCCGTTCTCAATCTTCTTATGGGATATCCTGACAATTCCAAAGGCACCACGGCCAACGACTTCCTGGCATTTGCCATATTTCTCGACCAGGGTGGTGGTCGCATTGGGGCCGTTCTTCTTGTCGCCAGCCATATCTTCCCTCTCTGCCTTGAGGGTATCTACCCAGTTGGAAACGAGGGAGAGGTCATTTTCGGGTTGGTCTTGCTTCTTCCCGATGAGGGTGCGCCACATGTCTGAGAGCTTCTCTTGCCTACGACTTGACTTGAGGTGGTGCTCGTGGCCACCCTGCGCCTCGGGGTTGACCATGAATCGGTGGAGGTCCTTTGCAGGCGTTTTGGGCGGTTTGACGTTGTTCTTTTCGGGGACTTTTTCTGCGGTTGTTGTTGACGGTTTCCTGCTGGGGGGTTGGGGTTTCGTGCTCTCATTAAAGCTGGAACCGCGCGGGCGAGAGGGAACCTCAATAGCGTTTCTGGTGACGTCTTTCGTGGAGAACATGCGCGTGAGCTTGTCCTTCATAGAAGACTTTTCGGCAGGTTTCGGCAGGGCCTCGTTGGACGAATTGCCGTTCGTAATGGGCTGGCCATTCTGCGGGGTCAAACGCGGCGATTTTTTGCCGTCCGACTTGACTGAGGAAGGTTTGGAACTGGCCGCCGAGGCGGTTGTTGGACTCGCCATTGCTGGGGATGCGGAGGGCATGAGGGTGAGCGCGAGCGCTGCAGGGGTTGGAAGTTGGCGTGCGAGGTTCGGCTTGGACGCGAAGTGCGGACGACGGCGGTATATAGGCGAATGCGACCGACTGCCTTTTTTGCCTCTGCTGTTTTTTTCTTTCTTTCCTTGGTTTTGTCTTTCTTGGTTCCGGCTATCGGTGACGGGCCAAGTGGTGTCAGCCGCGGAAAGGTGCAGCAGCAAAAAACCGCGGGTCGCAGAATTGCGCGCTCTCTATGCAGCAGAGGGTAGAGGGGCAGCTTTTGGCGTGTTATGCGGGCTCCTGCGACGGGGGGAGGGTGCCTGACTTGCGACTCGAGACTCGGGAGTGCCGTCTTGACTTCGAGGCTCAAGGTCTGACAAGGGCACGCTGTGGCGTAGAGAACGCCTCGGCGTAGTGGAGGGCTCGGGCCCAAAGAGACGTGACTCGCAGGGCAGACAAAATGGCAGACCTGTTTCAACCCCTTTTTTTCTAATTTCGTCCCGGCAGAGGAATTGGGGTTGGGGCCGTATTCAGAGTTTGGGAAAGAAGAAGTAGAAGATCGGGAGAGGAGGTAATAAGACGACGGAGTTGGGACGGGGGTGTAGGGATTAAGCTATTATGTAGGTCGAGGGAGAAGAGGAGCCAAGAGAGATGGAGGTCGAAAGTCGAGGGTCGGTCGAGGCGGTCGGAGAGTGAGCGAAGGCCTGGTCAGGTCTTTTCTCTGAGGTGGTCCAGAAGCGGCGGGCAGGAATGGTGGTCCAAGGTCCCAGTAGCGGTCAGGTCTGGTCTCGCAGCGAGCGCAGCGCAGCAGCAGACGACAGTGGGCAGGAGGACAGGCCCGAGGGAGGAGTAGTCGGAGTGATTGGGGGAGGGAGGGGGGAGAGGAAATAAATCAAAATAATAAAATAAAATCAGCAGGCAGGTCGCGACCGCGGGTGGCCTGGTGTAAGTAGCGCAGTGAGCGCAGCGAAGGATGTGTAGCGTCTTTTTTGAGGGTAAAGTAGAAACCAGAAAGTAGGGTCAAGGTGGGCGTGGGCGTGTGGACGTGGGCGTAAGGGAATCGAAGGCAGGCGTACGCAGTACCTAGTAGGCGTGGGCGTGGTGGGGCAACGGAGCAAAGACTGGATGGCCCTGCAGCTCGGTGCAGCAGTCGTCGTGGTTGAGAGAATGGAAAATCGGAGTGCAGACGGGAGTCGGGAAAGGTAGCCTCCACCGGCCTGGTACCCGTACAGATAGCTACACCTTTCTAAGCGGAGAGGTCTCTACAGGTACCTGTACTCTCAGCGGTACCTTGACGCGCTATTGTTCGCAGCTGATGGCCGGTAGATCCTGTTGTGGTTGGTATCCGTACCGTCAGGCAATGTAATTACCGTCGTTTGATAGTGGTGGTGCCCGCTCCTGGAGTCTTTGCTGAGGGAAATAAAACAGCCGCGGGCGGTGTAAGCGAGGTGAGGTGTTCGGGTCCGGTAAAGGTAAGGTAGACTGGACTTGCACCTGGACTGTCCAGGGGATTCGGATTGGGGAGGAACAATAAGGTGTTCCAGGGAGGAGGGCTGAAAAGGCTTGGTCACCGCTAAACTGTCGATATGTCAGCAACCCCACGAGTCGTAGGTTTGTTGGACGGCAGACTTTTGCAGATGATATTGGTGTGTGTGTGTGTGTGTGTGTGTGTGTTGCTGTTCTGTTCTGTTCGTTCTTGGTAGAAGTCCGGCGAAGGCGTTGGTATTGGTACCAGCACCAGAGATTACCGTCGGGGCGAGAGGGATGGCGGTCCAGATCTAAGGTGGTGTAGAAATCGGGACTTGTCTGAGGTACCTTACTATGCAGTACACGACAACGTGATGGTAAATTGGTGCCGGTCCTGGTGATGGTGCGCGGCGACTGCTGAGAAGCGGCTGGCTGCTGTCCGTCGGTGTGGGCAGATGCCTCCAGAATGCGCTTGTAAGCGGTAGCTAGCTGCCTACCTTGCTTAATCACCGCCGAGGATTCCCGGACGATGCGTGCTGGATTCTAGCAGGGCGGTGGCTGGAGTTGGAAGTGGCTGCCACCGTCACGATGAGGACTAACACAGTTTGATAGGTTTAAGGAACTAAAAGTGGCATTGCCATAATGTTGTTCTTCGTGGGTGGCGTCCTCAGTTCCTGTTTCAATGGACAGCCTCCGTACGGGGAAAGGAGTCTAAAATTGAGGAATGGATGGCTGTGGTTAGGGTACGCGAGAGACAAGAAGACAACAGGGCTGCTGAAAGGAGAAAGAGACTGTTAAGAAGTACCTCGGCGGACAAAGGCGGGATCCAGAGACATGAAGAAAATAAAGGCAGTGTAAATTTTAATGACGAAAGTATCGAAAAAGTACATGGACGTAATTCATGACATTGGTGTTAGTGTTTTTTCCCTCTCCGCCTTCGTCACCTTTCCAAGATCCAGTTTCCCTCAAACTTCGACCACAGCCACCCCCAGCAGTAGAGCGGATACAAAGCGGGAAGCGGGCAAACACATGCAGTAGGTAGGTAACAATAACGTAGCTGCAGAAGATGGTTGGGCTGAGTGGACCGGCGTGGGATGCGAGAACAATAAGGTTAGGGTAGGTTAGGGTAAGGAAGATGACCGATAGACGACGCGGTTGAGGATATCCATAAGTCACCTCGACATGGCAGCCCACGGCAGCACCAGTACAGTACAGTACAGCAGTCGGGTCGTCCGTAATAGATGACCGACGAAAATGGCGGGATTAGGAAAACGAAGGGCAAGACGCGCAGACACGGCCAGCGCAAACTGACTAGTCAAGGCACGGAGACGGGGTGACGGAGTCGCTCACTTGGAGGTTCCATGACAACAAAGTCCGCCGACTGGACGAGTCGGCAACCGGAAAGGCCTTGGATGGAGACGAGTTGCGCATTTTCGGTCTGGGGCAGGCCAGGTACACGCCGGGCCTGCACGACCTCTTACCTAACAGAGGTATCCGTCTGAGCCTAGGTTTGACCACTTATTACTTTTGAAATTGCAAAGTGTTCCATTCCGTACGCTGTACTCGCCGTGTCGACTGTACAGAGTACCTGCTGGGCAGCCAGTTTCGACACGCTTTGTTGGAGTCAGTCGGCCAGCTGGATTCTGATTAGGTACAATCAGAAAAAATGTAGGGCAACTTACGTAGGCATGTCCCCCGGCGATGCCCGCGGCCCATCGTTGAGAGAGGCCGCGGCCTGCGACAGGCCAGTCGCTGCTTATCTAATTCCGAGTGAAGGGTCGAGAAGGCAATTGATTTACCGCTGAGTGGTAAGCTTGACGAAACCTGCCAGGTGCACCGGATGGAGTCGGAGTCGGAGTCGGAGTCGTCTTGTGGCGATGGACGTCGTGGCATTACGTAGAATTGCATCCGTCATTAATCCTGCCTTCTTTTCTCTACTCGGGGAAGCCCCGGAGACAGTGACAGTAGCCTGTAATAGCAGAGAGCTGCGCAGCTCATCATTTTCCCGTTGGAGTGAAGGAAGGTAGCGTGGGTGCCACTTGGCATCGCCGTCGACGTTGCCTTGCCGTGCTTGCCTGGTTCTGCCCTGATTGCGTTGCAAGCACATGGCAGCACAAGATGGCTAGTACAGCAATGATGAGCAGTGATGAGTGTGAGGGGTGTCAGGGCATGTGTCAAAAGGATTCGAGGTGTTGCTGGCTGGTGAGTGGTGTGCGGTTTGATGGATGACATGGAGACATGCCAGACAAGGGAAACAGGGCTGCGGCCTGTACCCTGTGCCTCTGTGGCCTGTGGTGCAAAGAGTGGGCATCGAATCGAATCGGACAGAGCCAAGATTGAATCTGCAATGAGAAAAGCGGCTTTGCGAACGGCAGTGGGCTGGCTGGCTGCATCCAGGCGCGAGATTTCAGATGCGAGCTGGGCCAACGACCAACAATGTGTTCTGTTTGAGAAGAGCCAAGAATGGGGTCTACGCAAGGCGCACAAGGGCCTGCCTGCGGACTGTGTGTCCGATATTGCTTGGAAAAGTCTTGGACGACCTCATAGGGTGGCACAGGCACAGCGTTGGAGAAGTTGAGCCTTTTGAGATGAGACGAAGGCAGCTTGTGACGCTGACAGAGACAACCACCTTCAGCCTCCATCAGTTGTCGTGTTTCGCTTCTCGCTTCTCGCTCTCGCTGCCGGGAGACCACAAGGTGACGATGGGCATGGTGAAAGTTGGGACTGATGGAGCACCTTGTGTTCTGGTGATCTTTTATCCCCTCGTTGCCCCTCAGTCTCCGGACTCATTTCGGGCCATCGGGGTTTTTTGTGCGAGGTTTGAGAAAAACTTTTCGTGAGGGCGAAGAAAAAAAAGACGCGGAATATTAAAAATGGCACAGAGGCAAATGGACAAATGGCCTAGGGCCAGCAGGAGGAAAACCGGAGAGAATTGCATGTTCGGCGGGAGGAAGGTAAGATCCTGGCGAGTCTGCTGGGGAAGGGAAAGAACCTGAAAAGGTACGTACTGCCATCTGAGGTGGATTATTCACTGAGGCGCCCAGTATCGCGGCAAGCGCCGTACTGTCAAATCGTATTAGCCGCAGCTCTCCCCGCACAGTGTTTGCGCAAGCCGATGACGTTTGCAGCTGCAGCTTTACTACGAATACTCTGTACTTCCACACAGCAGGAAATACCAAGCCGGCTGGAGGTACCGAATTACAGGTCAAGCCTTGTTCTCCATTCTTCTTCATCGGCCGCTATCGTGAGCGAACTCCATCTTTTTCTTTTTTTTGTGTTCCTTCTTTTCCCTTCCTCGATTCCATATCACAACTCATCAGCACTCAGGAAAAACACCAGCGCAATGCTGAAGCTCATAGCATTGAACCACGGTTTTTTCCCTTGTCCGCAAATCCTCATCCCCTCCCGTGTGCCCTTTACCCCTCCACATCCAAACCCCTCCTCTCGTCTCTGCAGGCAGGCAGTATTCGTACAGAGTACGGATTCCCTCGGTCCCTCCCCATCACCGTCCAATCCCCTT